AGTGCTTCAACGAGATTGAGGTTTCAAGAGATCAGAAGGCTGACGATGGCAGAAATTATTATTATTTTTTTATTATTATTATTTTATTATTATTGTTGTTGTTATTATTATTATTATTTTGATATCGTTATGTCATCACTGAATCGATCATGATGATGATAATGTGATCAGTGGTGGGGATGTTGCTGAAGGATGTGAATTAGTCATGTCGATGATGATGAGGAGGATGATGGTGACGAGAATGTTTATGATGATGAAGAGAAGGTGAAGGAATGGGGATGATGAAAAATCATCCAATCAGCAATAACATTTCGTTTTGTTTTGCAGCCAGTAAAATAAATTAATTTTTATTAGTTGTTCTTTATTTATATTATTTAATATTACTCATTCATTTATTTATTTAACTCTAAGTTTTTATAGAGCTTGTCTTCTGAAATGAAAACTTGAAAAGCAACTTCCTCAAAACGTGGAGAGTGACGTAACGGAAGTCGTAGCCATCTGGTGAGATTCGGCGATTGGGATGGTATGTTGTTTAATAAATTTGTTGAAATCCACGAATTGGTCTGGTATGCTTAGGTTGGCATAGGTTTGTTGCTTATGTTGCCATCACTTTAAGTGTTTGGACTACAATGCTGGCAGGCGACAACATGAGTGAAAATAGGAAGGAGAGTAATTGAAGTGTTGAAGATTTTCAATTTATTTCAACACGAGTGGAAAAATGCAACCGAGATAATGTTGATGTTCCAAGTGTTTGAAGGCAGTTGACAGCATTTCAAATAAAATTATTATTCGATGTCTGAAAGGAAAATAAAATGCGTCAAAAGAAAGGATGCGATGATGACGTCACAATAAACACCAACCTCTGCCTTCGACAATAAATCCTTGCCGTCATGTGCGGGCTTCTTTGTGTTGTCTTCGTCGACGCCATGAAAAATTTCTTAACGAGTGAAAGAAGAAATGGCAGAGAAGAAATATGATGTTACTGTTGATGTTGACGTTGATGTTGCTGTTGATGTTGCTGTTGATGTTGCTGTTGATGTTGACGTTTTTGCTGATGTCGTTGATAATATTGTTGCACATGTTATTTTTTGATGGTGTTGCAAATTGTTCTGCCGTCGTGGCTAATGCAGATGTTGCTCGTTTGCAACATTGCCGAAAACGTGATTGTCAACGAGTGAAAAAATTATTTTTGAGAATATTTTTGTGGAACAATAATTATTAAGTTTGTAATTGATGAATAAATAAGCTATATATTGATAGAAGAAATAAAGTGAGAGTATTGAAATTTAACAGCGTGTGTTAGGTGGGGTAAGAAATACTGGTCTGTTCCAGCAAGGACGGCGCAGTTAAGTGACCTTGCCCCATGCCTGCTGCCGAGAACTCCACAAATTATTTTGTTGGTTCGTGTACACAGTCATCGAGTGTACGTTGTGAGAGAACAGATGTGCAATTTTTGACAGACAAAAATTATTTCTAAGTAAACTGATTAAATGATTGTAGATGAACATTTCGACAGCTGATATTATAAGAGCAGCTACATTTTATTGACTGCATTAAAATTTTTATAACATTTAATATATTGAAAAGTTTTGAAATCTTTCAACATTAATACAATAGAATAACATGAGCCAATAATAGGGCGTTAACATCGAAGTGTCAGAAACGCATCACCTAACGAGCACAACTTGCGTGTGTTAACATCAGATTTCATGTTAACACTTTTACACAACGAGAACGCATCATAACGTTTTAATGTGTCTTCAAAACATCAACACCTGTGAACAATTAATTAGCAGCAACAACAACAAGTGTTTGTTGTTGTAAACAAGCAACAATAAGTAACAGTTTCACACCATTGCAGCAACAACAACATAATTTTATAGCAATCAGAACATTTATTCACATTACACACACACACTTACCCACACGCACACAAACACACATACACACATGCAGACAGACTTCAAACTTTTCATCCACTTCCGGTCTGCAACATTCGGCTTGGAACATTCCGCAAGTTTGATTGAAGCGGCGTAGTTCCTGTCTGCCTGTGTATGTTGTGCATGTTGTGTGCTTGTTGTGTGTGTGGTGTGTGTGTGCACAGTGTACAATGCTGGATTAAATCGTGTTGTAGTGTTTGCTTTTTTGTAGTTTAAGCTGTGTGGCCTGATGTATGCTGTCGTGTGTGTTTCATTGTGTTGCGCTGTGATGTGTTTTATAATGTGTAGTGGTTTGCATTGTGTGTGAATTCTTGTGCTGCAGTGTGCGCGCGTCGATGCTGCCGCTCTTTGAAGCATGCTCAATTAATATTCTGCCCTCGTCCTCTTAATGATTTCTATTTTCAGTCTGTACAGCATGCATGTGTGTGTGTGTGTGTTTGTGTGTGTGTGTGTGCAATGTGGGAACGAACACACGTGGGTGGATGTATGCAGATAGGCTTTGTGGTGCTTTCATAATGTTTTCAAATGGAAAGAGGATTATTAAATGTTTCAAATGTGGTTTACTGTAGGTGATGCAATCGACGTCAATAATTTCACCTCGAACGCCCTGATAATACCAAAGTGACCACTAACCAGCATATCAGCATGGAAGAGGAAAGTGCAAGCGGTAAGTAAAGAAAACTGAAGACTGCTGGTGGAGACGGCATGGATGAAGCAAATAAATCATTTGATCAGACCACACAGACTCACATGCGCTTCACTTTTTTATACATCACACAGTCACGTGCATCCACAGGCACCTCACAGACGCACATGCACTGAATGACTGACCGACTGACTGACTGACTGGTCATCACGCATAGATGCACTAAGTACGTTGGGACAATGCAGTTAGATCGATATTCGCATGTGGCTGCAAGGCTTCAAGGATGTGAAAAGGTTCTTGTGTGACACCATCAAATAATTTTACCAATCACTTTTGATTGATTGGATACGCTGGGTTTCTAAAAAGGAATGTTGCTGTTTTAATTTATTTCTGAAAAGATTTATTGCCAAAATTTTCGATTGTCCTCTCTTTTTGTTGTTTGAATTAATTACTTTTTGTTTCAGAATTTCAGATATTTTTCAGTTTTTAAATGAAATATTTTAAGCAGTTGAAATAATTGACATGGTTTTCATTAAGGTAGGCTTTTGTTAACAATTGATTTTATTTCCATCTGCTTGGTTCGTTTAATATTTAACTTATTATAATTACGGTCTAATTTTTTTTATTTTAAAAAATTCGACAAGTTTTATAAACATTTTTCTAAGTTTAATGTTGCAACAATTTAAAGAAAATTATTTAAGTTGAATATCTATCGGTAGTCCTGTAAGTGTTTGGCTATAATGATCTCATAGCAAGCACTACAAAGTGTTGTCCTTAGTTAGGGATTGAATTGTCTGCCAACAAACGTCTGTGAATATTTCAAACAAGTTCAATCCACAAATTTTTACAAAATATTTAAAAGTTATAAAGCTGAATCGCGAAAAAATGTTTGTTACAAATTAAAATAATAAATGTGCACATTATATTCATATAACTCTATGAAAAAACAAACAAAAAAATGAAGTGCAGATAAAATAAATAGCAGTAGATAAAACATAAAAGTATAACACGGCATGCATACATGTCAACACACGCAAACACGTGCAAATTTCTGCACGTGACCAATTCATTCAAATAGCAAAATTGTTGTGTAGTGTGCCTTTTTGTCAGTCTGTTTGCCTGTGTCTGTCTGCCTGTCTGCCTGTCTCTGCGTCTATTGATTGAGGAAACGCGTCATAACTCCATGCTGCTTTTAATGAATTTTTACGACCCACCATCAATTCATTTGAACGCACGATGAAATTCCAACACGAATATGTTGAAGAAAGCCAACTACACCGTCTGTATGTATTCTGAATGTATTATGACACACACATACACACACACACACACACACACACACACACACACTGTGTTGTTATTGTTGTTAATTGTGTAATATCAGTGTGATGTTGTCTCCCCAAACACGTGACATTATGACAGTTTGTATGACTTTGACTGTTTAGCGGTTTCTACATGAGGCAACAGCTTTCACTGTCGTTTGTCTTTACTTTTTAAATGTCAAAAATTATTTTCTAAAAGTTTTAAAAATGTTTGACCCAATTTAACTTTATTTTTCTAAGTTGTTTGCGTGAAAAACGTTTTGTACCACAAGGGCAATCGAAACTTTCTATCAACTAGGACAGAATCTCCAAGATATATATTTAGTATTTACAAAGTACAGTGTCTCTATACCAACAACGAGAACAATTTATATTGTAACAGCACTTTAATGTTTGATCATGTAAAATATTCCCTCTAAATTGGAAACTTACTGTTTGGTTATTTATGAACTTTGGTTATCTACAAATCTGTAACTAAATTTTAATTCTCAATCGTGAAGACTACTTTTGTTTTACCACAATTTCATCAACTTCAAGGGTATGGTTGTTTGTTTGTTTGCTTTTTTTTTTATTAGTCTTTATTATTGCAGCTCTGACATACGCAGAACCACTTACAATGTTACAGATATATTATGTTATCTATATATCTTTTATTATGTTCTTCTTTTCTTCATCTATTGATTTGAAGCAGCCATCTTTTGCCACAAAGGCTGTTTATCATTTTCACACGACGTACACATGTATTTATGTGCACGCGCAAGCACCGCATCATATACGCTGAGTATATGATAGCCATTGAGATGTTTGACTCAGCGAGCATTTAAACCACCGAGCCATCTCGCCAGCCAGCATGCGACAACTTACGTCGTCTACCCATTTACCAACCTCGAAAGGATGGACGGCTGGGTTGACCGGGGGTCGGCTACCCGGATGAATCTGTAGAAACTGCAGAATTCGAACCAGGGTCGTGGGAGTAGTAGACGGACACGCTAACCACTCGGCCATGAGACCCTTTGCTTGCCTTGTTTGTTCGTTCGTTCGTTCGCTTGCTCGTTTGTTTGTTCGTTTGTTCGCACTACACCCAACTACACGTCACCGCATATTACAACATACAGCATATTACAACATACAACTACATTAACATACAAAATCACGAAGGCCGCCATAATAGCACGCACCAGCATGCACGCACACCAGACCCACCTCATCAACGCTCTTGTCCCTTTCGATTCATGCATGCGCCACAAGCAGCACTTTGCTTTATTAGTCGCCACTGCTACAGGCCACAAAAGTGCACGCATACAACGTACAAACAACGTGTTCACACGCAGGTGTCGTTCGTTTTAAATATTATCATAATTCTACATTTTCAAGTCTTCTCTGCTTAAAACCAATCGAAAAATGAATTTATTTTAAATAAAATTCATAAGTAAGTTTCAGTGATTTATTTTCATGCCCAAGTAAAAGTAATAATAGCGATGAATGAATGAAACCATATGAAATGAATCAAGATACATGAATGAAACGTCTAAAAATACTTAAGTAGTCCTGTCGGTCAAGGAGAACCTGTTTCAAACCACCACCTATCAATCCATCCCCTGACTTTAACTTTGTTTGTATCGAAGTGAAACGAAAGCTGTGCGAAACAACATGGAAAAGTCTTGTGAAACACACGTTCAAACTTCGCACGGAAGTGTATTCAAATATTCATGTGCCCGACTTTTTCATTCGCCACGAGGATAATTTATAATCTTTTCGAGGTAAATTTCTTCCCCAGACTTTTTGAAGCATCACCCGTTTTCATATATTTATAACATACAAAAAAAACAAATATTACATTAGTATGCCTTTGTATGATACACCTACGTTGTGTATTACACCATTCATTTATATGTACACTTGAAAATCTGCAGGTACTAAAACGAATAAATTTGATAATTGCAAATGAAAGGTTAAAGGTCAATTACACACTTCCTAGGTTCTGCAGAAGATTCAACGACACGCCACCAACGTCGTGTATAAATACGTGCTAAACGAAGCATCACACACGCAACATATAATAAGCGGGATCTTTTTGTCATACAATCGAATCGAACCCGGTCACTGCACGCACTGCGAAAATTGACGGGCGACTTTAACCACTAGGCCATCACGCCGCCCAAACATATTTTTTTACAAAATTTTCTACAAACGCCCAAGAGAGCTTCGGTAAGTTAGTTGTCCATTAAACAGTATGTGCGCCAAATGCCAAACAGTCGAATAATTTGACGAAATTTTATCAGTTGACGACGAAACGCACGAAGAACGGTGACATTGAATTCGGATGAAATTACTAGAAGAGTTCTTACTAAATTTAATGTTTTGCTCGTTTAAACAAGTCACAATAATAACTCACCAGAAAACAGTGGCGACTTACTAACGCGAAAGTAGAATGAAATTTAACGAAGGTCTAGTTTGATCGCTTTTATGAATTTTCGTGCTTTGAAAGAATTTGCAATTATCTAATTTCAAAGCGGTCAGTCAGCTAGGAAAATTAAGAGGTACTCTCTATATAATTTGACGATTATGATAGGTTGCAGTCATTAAATGGTTTACTAACCAAAATTAAAATATTACTTAGCTCAAATACACTACAATAAGCGAACATAAAAAATGAATATTCGTGGAAAACAAGACAAAGACGTCAGGCACCGCTGTTACAATTTAAAAAAAATTAATCGACACGATTTCCACTTTTTTCCAGATCAAAAATTACAACTCCCAGAAAAGTTATTATAAAAAACAGTAACTCAAAATGATACATGTCCAAACAAACTGCGTCAACATACACATCTGAAACCATTAAAACAGCTCCTTAAATGTTCGCAAAGTAACAGTTCAAAATTATGATTAAAAATTTAAATTCATCAGGAAAACAATTTTTCAATGCGGCAATCAATGGCAACCACGCCAATATCGTCAACGAGAATGCTAGGCTGAGTGATAGGGCCACAACAGATCAATGGTGGAAGAGGCGGAGTGAGGTGTGTGCCAGGGTGATTCCGTGTTCGTTGCATGCTTCGATGATGCTCTGGTCGTTAGTTGAACCTGATGGCGCCACTATGTACTTCACTCCAATCTAATCAATATGTAGCAATCATCTTATTTCTTCAGAACTTCAATGGATAAAAAGAAACAATTAATTACTTAATGCAGCAATGGCAGATTAAAATAACCAATTATACAACCCATCAAACTATGTGATGCCATATCATTTGCGTATAGCTTTCTAAATTTGTAAAATTATTTCATTTATTTGCCTGAAAAATCAATTCTAAACACAGAAAACATGGAATGGTTGATTGAAATTATTCTTTTACAAATTCTATTTCAAAGTCAAAACCCATTTCCATGTTTAACATAAGAAGTTAGAAAACTAAATGAACATGACAGCTCAACTTGAAACATACAAATTTCAATATATTTGAAAAAGATCTAAAGCAATGTTATATAAACAGATCGAACTTGGCTGGCTCTGTCAATGTTGTCTCTGAAGGGGAAGAATGCATCGGAGCTGAGTGCAACATCGGTCAACTTCATCATCCATGAGTGAATCTCCTCCTATCATGTTTCATTATCACCATCATCATTCTCATCTTTCTCATCATCATTCTCACTATCATCATCTTCACGATTATCATCAAAATCATACCAGAATCATTCATTAAGAGTAATATACCAAGACTCTTCAAAATTCTTCAACTCAATTTTGAATCATTTAGTTTTAATTTAGAAATAATTATATATCTGAAAGTATTCTTTAAAAGTAATTTCATATTAATGATACAATAACAACCTTCGATAGTGGTTCCGGGACGACTTCAAACGATTTCTCCCAGTTGCATTTGTCAACATCCTGCAAGATGTAGTGCATCACAATAACCAATACAAAATAGGAATTGTAGTATTATATTTACACTATAATATTTAGGCGAGAGATATAAACGCGTTTGTTTTAATAAAACGAGCATCAGACCCACTTCAAACATTGAAATCAAATTTAAATCAAATACGATCAACAAATCACAATAGTCCGCAAGAAGCTTGGCACGTCGTATCACATAAAGTACGCTGGGTTGGGTTATATTTTATTTGTTATATTTTAAAAGAAACCATAATTAAGAGACAACAAACTCACCTGACCAACAGTTCCTTCAACAAAATTATCGATAGCATTTGCAATCTCTGACCTCTTGACTCCCTTCTTGAAAGTCATGGATGCAACACGCGGGTGATGACGTAGCCACCTGTTTATTAAGCAATTAAAGTAATATGGAAATCCATCTATGTATCTATACGTGTAAGCCTTCTAATTCTAATTTTATATTGTGACCATTGACCAACAGAGCACCCAATAGACGTAACAAGCTGCATATTACGTACAACACAACACCCAACTGACCAGTTAGTGGCCTTGACACCAGCAAGTCTTGTGCAGTGAATGCGTGACTGCTGACCCGCACCTATTCCTATGACCTTTGAAAATCATATTGAACAAGAATGACATGAAAATTTTAGCCAAATTCAAATATTGTACGATGTGTCAGTTAAAAAATTTACACCTGTCCATTTTTGGCATAGCAGACGGAATTGGACTGGGTGTACTTCAATGCAATGGTGGCCACGATCAGATCTATGATGGCCTGCTCTGGAAGCTGAATGTGGTTCAACAGTAGAATCTTTATTATTGTTTCCAATAAACTTGTTACACAAAAAACAAAATTATTATTTTAAAATAAAAATATTTTAATAGTTTGGAACAGAAATCTTATTTGTTGAATTCAATTCTATTCCAGCTTAATTCTCGTTTTACTCATTCATTATTGAACTGTCTAAACCATATCTCTACAATGTTTCAACCGAAGCTAAAATATATAAAAAACCATGAGTTACATTATCCCATAATTTGACCTGGCTACACTCCAGGTATCAAGCGTAAAACAAACACAATCCAGCATTAACACTAACTATAAAACAAACACAAAACCAAAACGAACGTTGCACGAAACGAAGAAGAAAGGGACATGAAAGTTGAACTTACGTTTTGGTGAGTGGTGACAATATTTTTGAGAAGGTCCCTGTTTATGACGGCATCATTTCTCATCTGCTCCATCGTCAATCCAAACACAGTCCTTAGTTCCCTGGCAGAAGGCTTGTATGCCTTATCGATCTTATTAAGGGGTGAAAATTTTCAACGATTTCTAACATTTGCCTCAATGAAGGAGTTTATTATCGCAATAAAAAGAGAACTGAATGAATATGACAACGATTAATATAAAATGTTGACGTACTAAAACAATAACTGGTCTCAACATTATTTTAGAAAACGGATGTTAACATTATCAAAAAGGTAAACAAAAAGAAAGCCGGAAAAGCTAATGTGATAGTTGTCTTACTTGAATGATGCAGTAGGCACCTCCCTTCTTCTTCTTCAATATCTCCAATGCTTCCAAATCATAACCTGGAGCTATTATGCCATCCGATACCTGATTAATTGAAAAATTATAAAAATGAAAATTAATTGTATTTTTTTCCAGAATAAATGTTAAAATATAAAAGGTATCATCTTTCTATAATCTACAAGATATGCAAGAACTAAAAAATTTTTAATAGGATGATGATATAGGTATTGTAATTAATGGTAGAGATTACATAAACCAATGATGACATTTGAACCATGATACATGCATCAACAACAAACACCTCTCGAGATATAATCCTGGCTGTGATGACATCACAGACATCTGACAATGCAATGAAGTCACCAAATGATGACATACGATCCGATCCTGTTCAGTTGTTTTTTGTTTATTCCAACTTTAAACGATTGTGTTAATCATTTCTATAGAAGTCATTAACATCAAACTAACCACATAAGTAACCCAACAATAACACCATCATCAGCAACTACATCAGTCACAGAAGCTACCCAACGACACAACAAAACAACAACCCACCGCGAGCCCTAGCGTAAGCAGAGGCAAGTGGTGAGAGCTGATCAAGAAGGTCATCCACCATGCAGATCTTGGCATCTTCAACACTCAGCTTCAGGCCAACAGCAGCTCCTGCAGGGCTGACATGTTTGAACGATGTCGCGGCAGGCAGGTTCAGCGATTGACTCAATTCTGAAACAAGTGGCCATCCATTCAGCGCATCGAGGAGGTTTATGTAGCCCGGCTTACCATTCAGAACTACAGATTTTTACATTTATCTACAAAACTCTTTTATGGTATAAATTCTGGACACAAAATTTTAATGAAACTAATTAAATTTTTACAAAGTTTCAATGCTAAGTCATTAAATGTTATGCAGGTAACAACAACGACAGCTTAATTAGAAAATACAATTGAAAACTTGAAGATTGTACAAAATAATTTGTAGACAATAAATGAATATTATATACTTTTAAGGGGTAAAGATGGCAGATGAGTGTATATCTGGGCGTTCGTTTGGTGGGGATTGATTCCATATCTTTAAAAGATTAATAGATAATTATTACAAAACAAATGTTGAATAAACATTTTTTTATACTTATTGTACTTTACTGCTCAATCAAAAAATTGACCAATCCTAACTGAAAAATAGTTCCAGATACAATTTTACAATCATCAAATAACATGACTTAATGAAAAAGCACTTATAAGTCTGCTGCAACCAACACATAAATCCTCAATCACCACCAACCAGCCAAACAATAATCAACAAACACAGGACAAACCCAGCCCCATCCCCACTCAACCAACAAACACGTGACCTCAAGGACATCTGGGCCTCTCCTGAACTGTACTGTTTCCTGAAGAAATCAGAGATTGCTATGTCATATTCACTGGTGTGGTTGAATGCCTGTTTCATACAAAGTATTGAAATTGTAAGCATTCTAAATGGCAAAGTGAGGCACAACTTTCAATAGCACAAGCACACTTAAGCACGCACATACTTATTATATTATATTATTCTTTCATTACCAAACTAGGATATGTTAATGCAAAGGCTGACACTGAATTGGAAGTATATAAAAATATGAAAATAGGTAAATTAAAGAAAAAGGGAAAAAAAATTGAATGAGTAAAAAACTGAATTGAGCAAAATAAATTAATGTATTTAGGCAGGTGAGCAGCAAAATGTCATTGGCTCTCAAAATGACCATGACGTTAAACAGGATAATCACGGGGTAGGTTTATTAGCACACATGTTTATGTGCATGTCGTCAGTTTTTACTGAAATTATTGAATGTTGACTAGTTTAACAAGTACACAGACAAAAAAATAATTTATAACGAACACAAATCTAATATGCCAGAACTGTTATCAGCAAAATTAACAAATAAGATTTGATCCATTTGATCAAGTTACATTTTGTAATCTTTCTTTATTGCCGATAACATCAACAATGCCAAAACTGTTGTCCTTAATATTGTCAGCCATATTTGCACTGCAGCATATTTATCATCTCAACACTTGTTTAACTACCACCACATTTGCATATACTTCAGACTTTTATTTATTTCTATTTTTATTACTCATTTATGATATTTTATTGAATTGAATATTTGTTCACTAATTAAACTAAATTACTTACTTAACAATTTTGAACTAGGAAGTTAGGAATTAAGAAAAATGTATTTTTAAAAAATATTGAAATATGTGTAAAAATAAAAAAATAATTGAACATTTGCTACAAAAAAACCGGCATAATCAGCCAACCTTGATCATGAGAGATTGCCTCAAAGCAGCTGTGGTATCCTTGCTGTCAGAATGTTCTATTTCTTCAAGCACTCTATTTTGAATTCATAGAGATTTCAAAGTTTAACTGATACGTTTAAAAAACAGAAAATGTTTAACTCATTGCCTTTCAGTACTTTTCATAATCATTATTCATTTATAAAGAGAAATGCGTTAAACTAGAGCTCAGTTCTCATATGAACAGGCAAGATGAGGCATACACTGTCAACGCAATCTACCTAGCTGCACGGTAAGCACAAGTATTCAAAGTAATTCCAAGAAATTCAGTATGTGAAAACAATAAGATGACAGCTACATAAGTTAATTATAATTCTATGCCAGGTATATACAAACATCATGAATACTCCTAACCCTAATTTCAGTACACCTATTGAGTAACAAAATCATTGTTTTAATTATTTCCAGCAACAAATCACATTCCTCCTAAATATGCACAGCTTTGCAAGCAGCACAACAAAATGAAACAAACAAGGCCCACGTGTCGAACCTGTCATAATCATTTGGATCACAGACGACGGTCACTCTTGAATGGTTCTTAGCTGCCCCTCGGAGCAAAGCAACACCACCTGAGTTAAAATATTGATGAGCAACAATACAACTGCTATTGTCTTACTTATTAATTTTTGTTTCTGTCATCAACATCACTATAAAACATATCAAAAAAAATTTTTTCAAATAAACAACTTCACAAAATCTACATTCCCATAATCTCTATACAATCTTCATCTCTTTAATCTCCACACAATCCAACTACTCCATTCCAACATATGAAAATGATCCCTTCCCAACAGTTTTGTTTCACCCCGATTTTTTGTTCACAAGCTGTTGTGAAATCTCCAGATGAAACGTTTTTGTTGTGTTTGTAAAATTAATTTAAAATTTTTCGACTCAAAACCATTTATAGCATCACATAAATAGCATTCACAGACAATTTGCAGCATGTAAACATTTTTAAGTCTGTAACAAATAATTTATAAAAAATCCGAAATTTCAAAGTTAAAGTTTTGCGAAATATTAAATTCAGAATGAAATGAACATTTCACCTATGTCAATCTGCTCAACAGCTTCTTCAATGGTCACATCTGGAGAAGACACGGCCTGCACGAATGGATACAAGTTGACCACAACCAGGCTTCATTCAGGAAATTTTATGGCGAATTTAAACATTATGAGTAAGCAAGTTAGGCAGAAACGTTAAAAAGAAATGAAAGTCATAACTAGAAAACCGTTTGTTAACAAAATAATTTATTTGGAAAGCATTTTTGCATTGTAAAAAAAAATTGGTGGTTGAATTAAAGTTTGAAATTTGAATGATTGAAAATTAAAAGGAAGATGCATGGTCGCCAGAAGCTAAAAACTTTTAAACAGTCAAGTTATAAAAATCAGATGATATAATATGAAAAAAATTCAAAAAATGACAACAAAAGCATCATGTAAGTCTAAGTACCATATTGGTGTCTAGCAATTAGCTCAAAGTGATACTAATTAATGAATGATAATGGAAACTGAAAATAAATGCTAATTGGTGATCAACTCATGAGTAACAAAAAATATATATAATGGTGAAAGCATTCTGGTTCCTTGTTAAAAATTATGAAGTTAATCATACAGACATAGATAAAAAACATCATTTATCAAATAATAAGTTAAATAGTCAAACAGCTATCCCACAATGCTGTTCATGTTAAAAGTAGAAGAAACTTCCAAAAGTAAAGATCAAACCCTGATATACAATAACAAATAAAATTAAACACCAAAAAAATCACAAACTTAATAACTGCGGCAATAATAAACACCACTTACTTTATCAAATTGTAATTCAAGTTTTCTAATTCTTTCACATCTGACTCAGTGTCTTTTGCCAAAATTCCTGAAATAAAAACAAAAAAATAAGTAGTGCACAAGAAAGCCATGAACACCAAATTAAAAATTTTATTTATAATAAATTAGAAAATAAAATTTCCATACTGACCAGCATGAATGGCTGGATGCAAGGTTTTCACCCTTCCTTTCAGAAGTTCTGGAGACTTTGTGTAAGTGGATATCTCACTGCACAGAGGAAACATTCATATTTTTGGTCATTGATATACAACATTAATTAACATAATTAATATTATACACTCATTAACATAATTGAGATTACCCATTCATCAGCCTATTCAGCATTATGCAAATATACACATATTAAGATATTTGAAATTATACACTTACCAGGATATTTTGACATGATACATTTATTATCATATTTAACATTATACATTTATTAATCTATTTGAGATTGTACATTTATTAACATACATAATTCATCAGGTGGTCAAATCAAATACATACCAGACATCAATGCCTTGCTGCTTCAAGTGGGTCGAAGTACCACCAGATGATAATATCATATAGCCAGCATTAACCAATCTTCTGGCAAATTCTATGATGCCGGCTTTGTCATAAACGCTCAAGATTGCTTGAAACATTGATTTTTAAATGTACATATAAAATTTAAATTAAATGTTAATCATATCAGATATCACATAGGTTAGAATTGTTATTTATACATACACATAGGTTATTTATACGATAAAGAATAGAATAATAGATGCATTGTGTCTGAGTGAAAATTTAATTTTAAATTAACATTGTTAATCATATCACATATCACATAGACATAGGGAATGAAACAATGTCTTATTGATTTACAATCCAAATAGAAAATTGTAATAAAATTATAATAACTGACCATGTTTACGATGATCTCCAGACATTATTCTTCAGATGACAGTACAATCTGAAAATTTTGCAAAATTTAAAAAATAATGCCACTCTGTACTTATAATATATGATTTATAATTTATATATAAATTATATAATTATTTATAATACAAAAAAACAAATTTATATAACATTTTTTTAATATTATTTATATGCAATTAAGTAAATTGCTTTTATAATATTCTTCTACTTCTGAAAGATGAAAAAAAAACCTCACTAAAAACTTGTCAAAAGTTTAAAATTAATTTAAAATTATTATTATTATAATTATAATAAGAATAGGTAGAAACCTAACCTGAAATTGTTCTTGACAGAATAAGAACTTCGAATTCGTCCTAGACGTCAGGCTGAGGACAGGTCGAACAGACAAACGCAAGAAGACGCTTTAAATTAAAAATAAAAAATTTTTATGCCACAACCATCAAAACGACGGAAACAACATGCGCAAACTTACAATCTTATTATCGCCCAGCGTAATACATTTCTTTGCCTGGTTAAAAGTGTATCTATGACGACAAACGCGTTTTATACAGACGTATTGATAATTTGTCGACTTTACCTCCATTATTCTATGTAATTATTTATTTTTGAATTTATTATTTTATTTATGTATTATATATATACTTCTGCAACTTTAACTACAAAGCAAAATAGCCGGTTCAGTAAGTATAATAAGTCTTTCCTTTTGTTACGTTCTATTTGTTCCTAGTACTGGCATTCCTACGTACTATCTAGCTATTTCTTAAGTTCTCAATTCTTGAGGCAGCCGAAAATTAACAAGAGTTGGATTTTCATAATTTCATTTTTGAAAAATTCTTACATAACCAGTACACACTAAACATGATAAAATCAAATAAATTAACCTTGTTTTTTTACCAATGTCCACAAAAAGCTTTTACAAGATAGTCTTTTGATTACTATTTTTTATACATAAAAACATTTTCTAAAACTTTAATATATTTGTGTGGTAACTATTGTAAAATAATATTTTAAAACTTCTAAATAACCTTAATTGAAAGTAGCAGCATGTGAAAATTTACATAAAATACGTCCAAACAATTTATGCTAGAAATATAAATTGGAAACATATATGAACATCATGATCAATAAACTTAATAAAATTAAAACATAAGAAAAATAAGAAATCTACCCATCACACACACACATATAAAACAGCTGTGCTTTGATATTTACAAAAAGTAAGTTCATCAAAACGTTATTCTTTTTAAAAAATGTGCAAAGACATCTACACAAAAAACATCATAGAATCTAACATTTAAATTAAACATAGTGCTCCATTGTTGACGATTATTTTTATTTACCTCAAAGTATATTGCAATTCAACTACTAAGCAAGATTAATGTTTGAATATTCAATTACATTAATTATTAATAATAAACTAATTAAAATTCGTTTGCATTAATTATTTGTATGCTCTTGTAAACGCAACATTGTTTATCCGGTGCAATTAATCATAACAATTAGAATTATTGAAAATTAAATTTGAAAAAAAAACGATAAAACTATTATATGTACAATATAATATATCTAAGGCCTTTATTATGAAAGGATTAAACGAATGATATTAAAAAAAAGAAATCCAAAATCTCTAAAAATAAAAAATGTGAATGTGGATTCAAGTAAGTACTATACATCAATAAATATTCACAGTCTACGTGTATTATAAACACATGATAGAAGAAATGATTCCATTACACCATTAATACAGTTCTTATTTAAAAGTTTATAAGCAGAAATTTTGTCTCTTATCGAAATATTTAAAAATTAATTAATAATCTTTTAATCAGTTTTGATTTTAATTTTACTTAATCCTCACTGTTCTGATTGAACTAATTATATTTGCATGGATAAGTTAATATGAAAACATGAAAATGTTATTTAAAAAAACAACTACATAAAAACTGGTAGAATTGTCAGAGGACAATTCAATTAAACAACATTGAAAAAAGTTACGGCTAAGAAAACAGCCAAACTCAATACATCACCTACAAAAACAAAATGTTCCAACAGATGAGAGTAACTATATTGCAACTGAAGTGGTGTAGTTTTATGAACAACTACCTTAAAGGAACAACTCAACCAACCAGTTTAAACAGTTTCAATGATGTGACAATCATAATTTTAAAATAAATCCCTCCAAAAATTTTAAAATAAATCCATCCAAAAATTTTAAAAATGAATAAACCTAGTAAATTTGGACTACAGATGTGTAAATTATTGGTGGTCAGAGATAGCTGTTGGTGTAATGTTGTAATGTAATGGTCTCCTGTCTGTTGTGCTGCCTTATATTTTCCTCAAACTCGAACATCGAGTTCTGTTAACAGCAAAAAATAATATTTATTATAAATTTAATATTTTAATAAACTGTAATTAATGAATTTGTATATAATAAAAGCTTAGCATTTTATATATACATACTTTATAATAGTATAATATGTAAGATAATTACACGAATATGTAATATGATTAAAAAACTCAAAATTACCATTTGAAAATCATCATCTTGCCAATATGGAGGATCAACTCCAATGCTCACTGCTCCTTTATTCTCATCGACCAATAACCCTGTATCCAAGCCAAAGCCATCCACCAAAATGTTATCGGGGTTGAATGAAAACAAATTATTTGTGCTAGACGATGATGATATCGGTGTAGATGGTGTAACAATTCCATCAACATTATCAACATCACCAAAAATATTTACTATGTCTGGGTTAAATTCATTGATTAGGGATTTATCTTGACTTAAACAATCAGTAAGTTCTTCGTGAATAACTTTGCTTTTGTTACTGTCACGTTGGACTTTTTTTTTAATATCCAACTCGTGGGCCTCACTTTGTTCCAACTCACCAGTTAATAACTTTTTCAAAATATTATTTTTATTTAGGTCATCTCTGTTTTTAGAGTTTAGAACTTTATTAGATGAATTATTCTTCTGTTCTTTGATACAAAGATTCAGCATACCTTTAGTGGCTAACGCTGCGTTACTTCCTTTGTTAGGGTCTAAAGGGCACCTAGCTCTTAGGAACTTTTCCAATATACTCATTTTTGATTCTTTGATAGGAGAAGTGATATGTTGATTGGCTGGAGAGATATCAAAACGGTGAACCATGCTGTTCATAAAATTTCTTTTTTTTATTGGTGGTGGACTTTCAGGTCTCTTCATTCTGGCATAGTATCTATGGTCTTCCAATGCTGGATATGTTCCCTCGTAATGTTTACTTTTACTCACTTCAGAATTCTGCTTGTTTACATTTAGTTTTACATGATTTTGCTTGCTAGAATCTCTGTCGACACTGCTGTGTTTATTCTTGTTGACGCTCAGAAAGTTCTTGTTGTGATTTAAAATTAATCTTGTGTTAGGCATTGATGCTGAATGACGCAAAATTGACCCACAAGATGAAACAGCAGCGACAGGTTTCATTCTATAAAAATTGGGACAAAGAGTACGCCGATGGCCGAGCACCCCAGAAAGACAACTATTGTTATGATTGTTTCCAACATCATTCTTCTCAAATACATCTTCATCTGTCACATTTATTAAGGGTGATTCAAAATCATCATTATTGTCCTCATTAAACAAATCAAAATGTTTGGATGGAAAGGAAAGATCAACCTTGGAATTAGTTGTTGACTCTGCTGCTGCTGGTATATTGAAAGACAAATAGTCATTATCATCATTGTATCCTTTATTATTGCAGTTTAATAAATCTTCAATTACATCATTATCTGATTTATCATAAATATCAGAACCAACAATGTTGAACGAATCATCATTAAAATCAAAATTTAATGGAGGTAGACTTGTATTTAAATTTTTTCTTGAACAACATGTAAATCCATCCTTTTTACTTTGTTCTTCAACGGATTTGTTATAAAAATTTTCGATGTGATAATCTATCGACAAATTTTCTTCACAAATAATATCTCGGTTTTTAAATTCTGAATTGATGTATAAATATTCTTCATCCATTAAAAGATAACTATGTCTATAAATAAAACTTAACTAAGTCTTTTGATCTGTAAAAATTGAAAAAAAATTATATTTAGCATTTTATAATTTAAAAACTATCTCCAACTGTATATTATAGAACTTTGATCTGATAATGTACTTAACTTACCATTGCTAATTTAATAATTTATTTGATATTCTATATTAAAAGTTAATGATTAAAACACTAAAAATTTGATAATTCTAATTTGGCTGCACTCTTAGTTAAACTTTTTTGTTAATGCTTCACAATCTTTGTGCCTATCAAATAAATTTTGATAAATATTTATATCACTAAAAAGTATTTAGTCACAGGAATCTGTCATCTGTGGCTAATTGGTTGAGTTCATTTTAAATTTGATGAAATATAAATATTAAAAACTATTTATTATATGTGTATACTATAGTACATATAATAATAATCTTACATAAATAAATATCTAATAACTTACTAAATTACCAAAATAAGTAACAGGAAAGAACAAGTCAAGCTGCAGCGGTGTTCTTGTCTTGTTGTTGATTATGTTAACTGCACAGTACAATGTATCAAATAACGACGTATGATCTCTTCTTGAATGTTGTTATTTATTGTTACTAAATTTGCAGGCAGATGAACCAAACAGGAACAAAGTGGAAAAATCTGACTTTTGTTTAATAAATCCTTTATAATTAAATATTATATGTTCATATAAAAATTATTTTAAATAATAAATAATTTTAATTTGTTTTGTAAAGTTCATGTTGTGAAACAAAAACTTAACATAAAAAATTTTAATATGATCATAACTATATAATTTATAATAATAAATAATATGATGAATAAAATATTCTTACTAATTCAAAAAATAATCAAATAAAATTAATTTATTAAATTTTAATGATAAATAATAAAGAAGAAAACTGAACAAGTATAATTAAGTTATAACTGAATAATTATAACTATGATCTCTTCTTGAATGTTGTTATTTATTGTTACAAAATTTGCAGGTAGATGAACCAAATAGGAACAAAGTGGAAAAATCTTGTCTTTTTTTATTAAGTTTTTCATCATATGTATTATATAATTATATGAACAATTGAACAACTAAATTACTAAAAGACTAAACTAATTCAAAAAATAATCAAATAAAATCAATTTATATTTTATTTTATAAAATTTTAAGTAGGCAACTGAACAATTTTATTTAAACTAAAGAAGCTTACTACAAGAATTACCTACAGCAGCCTTTGACTGGAAGTAGAACTTCTAAATTGTTGATGTAAATAAAAATTGTTGAACGAAATTTAAAAAAAATAAATACTAAACCATTTTTAAAATTCAAACGAAATAGAGAGAGAGAGCAGCAGTCAAAATTACGCGTGCATTATTCTGCTATTGTTTCGTAATGCGGATGGATGCATCGCATAGCATCGCTAATTTATTATTAGAGCACGTTAACTATGGACAGCTATAAGTTCACGTCGTTGTCAATCTCACATTCTTAGAATTAAAATACTCATCTATTGAAAATATTCATTTCTCTACCTACACATTGTTTTTAATAAAAATTTATATAAATTGACATTATTTGTTGACCTATTAATGACATTTTAATATAATACAAAATTGAAACAGCGAGAGCCCAGTAGCCGTAGTCATATAACAAGAATAAATATAACGGCCTTCGCTTACTGTCAACGGTCGAACAAAGAGCTTAATTCCGGAGGAAAGTTGGAGGGTAATTTTTTTATCGTTCGAGTCAAAAGTTACAATCGTATATCTACTTATTATAGAATATTGCTTTTATTTAAAATGTTAATTTTTTTTAATTGTTATTCAATGTGGTAATTAATTACTTTTATTTAGTACACAAATGCAGATTAACATATATAAGAATATCCTTATTATCGTTACATATACCATGTTATATATATCCATGGACCGTGATAATTTTGTAATATTCGACCATGTAGTTTTTATATAATCGCTAGGTTTTTAAAAATTTGTTTGAAGAATACACATTCATTTTCATTTTTTTATAATAATGTATTATGAAATTCTTTTTGTGTTTTCAGACATTCTAATTAACGTTAATATAATTTCAAAATTTATATTCTATAAAGATATTATAATAATTTGTTGTAAAAAACACTAGCCTACTATTTTGCATAAGGTATAAATAGTTAAAATTTAAACACATGTTAATCTATGCTATTCACAATTATAGTTGTGGATTATTACGGCCCCTTGTGTGCATGGTATTATTGGCTGATCAATGTTACAAATGGCTGATTTCCTATATATGTATATTCTTTATATAAGATTTGGTATAAATTTAAAAAATAAAATCGACATAATCGACATTACCGAAAATAATTAAAAGTTGAAAAAAATTGAGTTTCTTTCCATATCCCTGCTTCAACACATAAGAAAGTGTTGTATATTGGTAAAAAAGCCTCCCCTTGATTATAACCAACCTTCCCTCTTCTATAACTTACCACTATTCTATCCGATCGATCACAAATCATGTATATTACATATTACTAGGTTTTAGCACCAAGTCTAGGTAATGTCCGCGACATTCTCACGAGACAATAAAACTTCGCATTCCACTTCGAAAGCTTTGTGACACTAGTATGTTTTTTATAGACTGATGAGCAAAGCGAACATTTTGCTGTACGAATCGCAACTATTTTGGTTGGGGGTGTCAAATAATATGAAATTCATTTGCATAATAAGTGATACAAAGTAGAATACATTTCTTGCGATATATAAACTGTCAATTTAATTTACTCAAAAAAGACTTATTCCTCCAGTCAAGAAATTCATCAACGTCACTATCATCGTCATCACTTTCTTCTTTTTTGATTTCAACCTTTCTAACCGGCTGCTTGGATTTTGCTAAATATTCAACTTTCGACCACATGATCCTGTTTGCGAACATCAAAATCAAGAAAAATCATACTTAAGAGAAATTTATAATCTTAATCATCTTAAAATTTTAAATTTAAAAATCAAATAAAAACTCCCAACATCTGTTCATCGATTTCATCCAAAAGACGCTGCTCATCTCTTTCCTCGTCATCTTCCTCAATTATGCTTTCCGAAACCTTGTTAAATAATTTTCTCAATTATTCCAGTTGTCATTAACTTAACCAACTAACTATTGCAAATGTAACCGACCATTGCTTCTTCCTTAATTGCTTTTTGAAACAATTCCATCTGCTCATCCATCTTGTCTTTATATGGAATATTTCGGACCTTTAATTAACAGTAATAAATAATTATCATTTACTTTATATAAATCAATGAAACATATATATTGATATTGAATAGTTAAAAATTTATCTTACAAACAGTCGCAAACGAACAGACCTCTTGAGTTCAGATCATGTTCATAAACTTATAATAAAAATGTTGACAAAACAAAATAAAAAAATACACAAAAGTGAAGAAATGTTTAAAAAAAACAATTAAATGAACTGAAATAAAGCGGATAAAGAAGGTTAAAAAAAGTTAACTTTTGCATCTAATTTTGGATCATCGAAAAATCCTTCAGGTATAAATTGAGCTACATCTGCTGGTAGCTCCGTTTTTGTATCTGGTATTATATCTGGGTCTGTATTTGCTGATGTCTCTATTTTTCTATCTGAATAATAACAAAAAAACCATATCACTAAGAAAATAAATCAATCAATCAATCATCGTTTAGCGTCCAGAGACCCAGTTTCCCGAGGTAGGACGTAATGTAGAAAATAATTAATTAAAGATATTTAAAATACCTTTGAAAGTTTTTGGTGCATTTAAATTATCATCAGTAGTACATCCATTGGCACCGTTGTTAACTTTTGTTCGGGTATCAGACGGGTTTGTGCTTCTAGACTCCGTTTTTTTTTTCAATATAGATTTCGGTGCTGAGCCAGATGATGGTGTGTTGACATTTAGAAGAGTAGTACCAAGAGATGTTGATGATGGATTTGAATTACTTACAAATGGTAAAGCTGTTGACGTTTCTTCTGAGCCCGAAACTACAAAAAAGGTTCAAATCATCGTTATCAGCATTAATAACACGAGATGCATTTACTTTTTCTCTACTTTAATCAACAATAATAAATTAGAAAAAACAGACAGACGCTATCTTCTACTATAACTTTACATTATATTTTTAATGTACAAAACTTCATGAATAAACATATATATGAGTGTAATCACTAGTCTTCGAATGCTAGAATTAAATTAGACATAAAATTTTTTTAACATATTGTGTGAAAAATTCAACACTTATATAGCATGATAGCATTTGTCAGTCTGACCAATTCAGGTTAACAATGTATATTACGAATGTGATTTACTTTTCATTTTTTTGTTGGGAACTTCATTGAGGCTGTCAACACTTTTATTAATAGATTTATTGATCTGTGATTTCAATAAACTCTGAAAAAAAACAACATTTCATTGGTTTTCCAATTTCAAACGTGAATATTAATATGATCATCTCAAAATAAAAAAAAATAAATGAATTTTCCAAAGATTCATTTATTGTTTGATGACTCACTCAGTGTGCTGAAAATATGAAATGATTATATATATTATAGCAATCAAAATTTAATATACTTAAATGATCTTAAGACAACCAGTTAATTGTCAAACAAACTAAAAAAATTCATTAACACTTTAAAAATAAAATTTTGTTGTAAAATTTATCAATCTGATCTGACAACATTCCAAAAAAAATTCAAAACATTTTCTGTAACATAAAAAGTTTGTTGAAAAACAAAGATCAATTCTGTACTGTTCACATGAAACCTTCTATTTATGAATGTATGAAAAATTTATGACAGGAATCATAATAAGAAGATTCTTAAAATAAAAGTTAAAACAGAGATTTATAAATACTTCTTTATGTGTCCGACTCAAAATGTGAGCATTCCACATTAATTCACTCTTAATAGGCAAACAACATAAGCTGCAACTCAGTTGATCTAAACTGTTATACGTTTGAAAAGGTTAAGAAAAACTTTTCAAAGAATAACTAGAAGAACATCACCTATTTTGTTTGGGAAACAGATGAAAAATTTGATAATTTTTGCCACAAACTAATATGTACTAATGTATTGATGTCAAAGTGATTGAAATAAATTTTTACAAAAGTGTCTAAATAAGAATATTTTCGTTAATCAAAGAAAATTTAATTTTAACTAAATTTCACTAAATTAAAATCAATGCATCCACATTTCCTCCAAATTCACCCAAGTAATTTTATCATCAAATAAATAAGTGGAACTGTCATCTTCTAACAGTAACAAGTCAAACCTAGAGTCACACAGGATCAACATACTGTGATTTTTTATTTAAATATAATGTCAATAAATAAATTAAACCTAATCTCCTTCTAAATCATAACCACCCTAAAAAAATATTCAATCTCCAACAAAACCATTTAAATAAATTATGAAAATTATGACCAATTAACCTTTACATTAAGCCTTCAAACCTACCAAAATGAAACACTTCCCATTTGATTGTTAAAAAATTTAATTAAAAAAAATTACATGCATTTGGTATGCATGCTATAATTATAATTTCTTAATAATATTCTAATTATTTCATTAAGACATTATAAAAAAAACTAACTAGCTAGCCCTAACTAACCCTGAACTAACCAGCTCATAATTAATACTAAATATCATATTATAAGCTCAAAACTATTTTTTGTTTCATAAAAACATTTAATTCACTATACATTTTATTTTTAAAAAGATAGCTTAATACTGAACATTGTTAAAAAAAAGTAAAGTTTGGTAAAGTAATTTTTTTTACATTTTTTAAATTAAATGATGCAAATTATAATCATATAATGTAGCTACCAGGCGTATGTACCTGACACTATAGGTGAATCGGTTTAATTCATAATTTAGTTAGTTGTTTACAGTTAGAATTTGTGAAATCAAGTTAGTGAAAAAAAACAATAAGAAGGACAAGCACAAGATGATAAAAAAAGGATATTTTGCAAAAGGGGAATCAATTTTGTTTCTGTTTGATTGTGTTTTCTGCTTCATAATTTTTCTTAAATCTTCTTGACTAATTTGTTTCTTTTTCGGAGCTGCAGCCATTTTTAATATTATAAATTTGTACTGTTTCAATTTCGCTTAATTGGGTACAAACTATAGCTTACTTTTAGAACACTTGTTTATGCAAAGACATCTAAATTTAATAATTGTAAAAAAATTAATACTAAATTATTCTTATTATAATAATAAAAAATTAAGTGCACTATTAATAATAAAATAAACATAAATTAATAAAAAATCATTATTGAAACGCGTTTAGCTCATTAAACTTGATAGTTCATTTATATACAATAATATAATGTCAGTTTCTACATGTCAAACACTCAGACACTTAGCTATCTATGATCCTTAAAATTGCTGTTCTGGCAAAAGTTAATTTTCGTTTAAGCAAGTAGGTTCTGGTTTGTCTTTTTAATATTTGTTTTAAATATAAAAACGTGAATTTAAATTTTTTTACTTTTGCAAAAAAATAAATAATGTACCAACTAACACAACTGAAGACATATGTTCAATAAACTGCCAGCAAGTTTTACCGGCACTATATTTTGGCAGTAAAATAAAAAATTCCAATTACCACCAGTTAAAGTTCAACTCCTGACAACTTGGCTCCTTCACGTTCGATTATTTTTTTTAAGACGGCTAACTTGGTTTTTGAATGAGTTATGCTGTAAATCGGTTGGTTAGTTATTTGTTCCCAGAAATAATTTTTTAAATTAAAGTTTTAAACTTTTTAACAATTTTTAAAAAATTTTTAAATGAAGTTATTTTATAAAAATTATATTATAAATTATATTAGGACAAATTATGTATTATAGATTGTTAGTTCATTATTCGAGAAAATAAAATTTGGAAATAAAAATTCCGTTTTAAAAAGTTCTAGTAAAAAATGGATTGTTAACTAAAAAAATTTTCATTTAAAATTCTTATCTAATTGTTTTTAGATTTTAAAATTTACAATAAAAATATAAAATTGCTATATTATAGAATAGAGAAAGACTATATTTAGATAGATTGACATTTTCAAATCTCTTTAGCAAAGGTTTTTTTGCTTGACAATTTCACTTCCCTACCTACTTGTTTCACTAATAATCTATCTCATTATATTTCACAAGTTAATTTAATATATAAGTTAAAACTGAAGCTAGGAGACAATGGAAAGTTTTGATTTGAAAGACTGGATTTTCTCTGCTATTTTGAAACATGTTGAACAATGGAAGAACAAGGCAGTTATTATCAATTTTAATAAGTTTGGCAAGAAGTTTAGATTTTGTATGTTAAAAGCTCTCTGGTAAGGTAAAGTAACCCGATTCTGAATCGTATATGTTAGAAGTGATAAACTCAAGAAAAATATGTGCATTTCCATAACAAAATAAGTTAGTAAATGATTATCTTGTAGACTTATATGAGAAGAGTTGGGTTAAAAAATGACCAAAGTAATATGGCTCTGGTCAAACTGTATCTAGCCTTTGGTAAAACATTATACAGAAAAAATTATAGAAATAAACTGCCCATTCAGTTAATGAAGCTAACTTTTATTTTAACTCTTCTCAGTCGCTAATGGTTGAATCCAGCTCTAGGTCCAATGTTCAGACTAGGTGTGCTGTTTAACAATTATTTTAGCATTTTTATTCTACACAACCTTACAGCAACTATAGTTTTGATGTAAAATTTGACATTTTAAACATCTACATATAATTTTTTTTGCAGCTAGCAAAGGAAAATTCAGAACCTTAGAAAATTGACGTAAGCTGGATCTAGCTTGGACCATTTTTATAATTTAAGAACATAGTGATAAAAATCTCAAGACTTCTGGCAGTGCAGTTTACTGAGGTATAACATGTGTGCATTTTAACTTCACATATCCCAAAAATATCAACCTCCTGGGTTTGTTTCACTCCTCTGACATACTCAAAAACTAAAAAGTGCTTTTTTTCAGTTAAACTCAGAACAAAACTGAACCCTTTCAAATCTCTATACACCAGTTCTCTTTGTTTTGTTCTAATTTGTCCAACTTTCCTGCCCCACAATATTCGTAAAAAGTAACATTTTATAAATAATTTTTGATGCTTTCTTGAGTTATTAATTTTATAGAAATTATATAATTTCATTTAAAAACTACATATAGTGATGGCCTGGCTTCCCTGTTTCGGTTCACTACGACCTACTTATGCATGTCTGGTGTCATCGTTATTATTACTGCTAACTGATTTGTGCATGTCAGAAATCATCTCCCCTCCGCACTTGGTATATTCAACAACCAGCAGAATTGCAGCCAGCAATTTTACATACTTCAAATTACATAAAACCGGAAGGATTAAAATTGTGTTGAACTCTATTGATGGCGACGCTGACTTGTACATTTCCAGCTCAACACTCTACCCCACTTACAACAGTTATGAATTAAAATCAGCCACTTGTGGTGAAGATGTCGCAGAAATTTTATCAGATATGAAAAGACCTTTAGGCATTGGGGTGTTTGGACATCCACTCATTGATGAAACAACGTTCGAACTGCAAGTGTTCGCTTATGATGATGAGGGTGATAACGAGGCAGGCGATCTTGCCGATAACGGTGAAGATGGTAAAAAAGATTCAGTGCTTTGGACTATATTCGTTAACATTCTCAAAATCATCATAGATGTTTTAGTATAGTTTTAATGTTATGTTCATTTTTCACACATTAAGTTGTAGCTTATTTTAAAGTTATTCATAACTTTTTAACAACAATTTAAATAAAGCAAATCCCTTAAATTTTAACATTTGACAGCTAATTAAATTAGGTGAGTGCCTTTTATATATTTGTTGACTAAATGTTAATTTGTCATGCATTGTATATAATAATACACATGGACTCCATCGAGAATTTGCATTGTACATAGCAAAATGTTAGATGAAATGTTCAAACAATTGACATAGTGTTATTCAGACGGCAAAATTGTCAATTGCATAGTACAAAAACTCAACTGTGACATTAAAAATATGTTCAAAAATTGTTATCACTACTACGTTTTTCAAGTATTTCATCCTATTCGTCCAACATCTCCAGTCGAAGCATGGTGATGATGGTGTTTTGCTTTGTGTCGTGTTGATTGGGCTATTAGGGATGACGCCGATCCATGCAAGAAATTTTCTGTTCAATTTTTTCATATTAATTAAGAGCTTAATAAAATTAAATTGATGTGTAAATAAATATTTTTATTTATTTTTATGAATAAAATACCACTTTGATTTTCAGTGTATTAATATTTAAACGATAATGAACAACATGTTAGATCATTATGTAGTTTATCAATCTGAAAATAATGGAGATACAACCCATTCCCTTTGCAATCGAATCCAGTCACTCTATCGTTACGCCATCGCACCGTCCACCATTGGTTATTAATCTAATTCTTACTTGAATCACCAGCGCCCATCTTTTTTGATGACGACAAACGTTTCTCAACGACCAGCTTGTCAAGTTGCTTCTTGTAGAAGCCATTGTAATCCAATCTAATTAAAAATTAATCCAGTCAAAAAGAACAATTTATTTATGCCCTGTGAAATGTAATAATACGTAAGAAACTGTCGATAAAAAAGTTATCAAAAATACTATTGTCACTTTGTATTACAATTTGATGTTAATTCACAACTACAATTTCAAATTTATTGTGTTCTATTTTTATGAAATCATAATACGTAGGTAGGTGGTACCTGTGAATTATGTTCAGTAGCTTGTGCTCGCATTTTGATACACTGTAATCAACAATTTTGTCGAGAAGATCGACAAGATATTTAGAAAAATTAGTATCAAAATTGGCTACTGTCAGTTCATAGTTGTCATTGCTCGTGATTTCATCCATGTGCTCGGACAGGGCCTGCAGGCGTTTGTTTTAGAGGAAAAAATTTGGAAAGCATAATAGTTGCCGTTAAATTTGGTTTCAGAAGCGTTACATTTTATAGTCATCGACTTAATTAATCTCTTGCATATTTCCTGATGTCATTTATATCTGACACTGTTTCGAAACATTACAGTTAAGCAGTTGAAATGTCTCATTTACTTTGTTGATCACTTTCCTTTTCTCCTTTTCATCTCTCCATGACGCACTCAGCGATGAAGACAATGATGAGGATAACGTTGGCTGAACGTTGTTGGAACTGTCGAGGTTGGCACTTAGTCTCTGGGATTTAATAAAAAATACACTTGTTCAAATTTCATACAGAAATGTTCGTAATGTTTATTAATAAACGATCTATTACCACTACCTTAGTTTAATGATTTATGACAAATTTTTCTATTTGTAATACCCATGACACGATACAACGACAAGCACGTTCACTGAACCTGCATGAAATTGCAAAAGGTAACGCAGATCATCATGAGTTTATGAAGAGTTTTTAGGAGATCGCTATCAGTGAGCATGCAATCTTTAAGACAATTGCTCAGCAGGTCTGTGTGATGCAACAACACTTCGTCAATGTTACTTACCTGTCAGAATTTTCATCAAGTGAGAGTTCAAAACTAAATACTAAACAATCCATGTTGAAAGTTGAATTTGACAAACGTAGTCTTAATGAACAGCAGCAGATCTACCTTCGCCATGTTAGCTTCAAAGATTTGCCACTGAGGCTCAACAACTTCAAACATGACGTAATATTCAAAGTTCTGTACAAAATTCAACATTCTCTGTCGCAGGGCATAGGCGTGTGAGCACAGGCTTGCAGATGTTGATTGCAGAATTTTTGATGACTTGTCCTTCACCCAGACACTTTGATAGAAGGAATGGTCCATAAAAATTTTACATTAAAATACGTCGATTGAAATTTTAAAACTTATGAAAAGTAAGAAGTAAGAATAAAGTGAGAATAAAATAAAATATAAAAAGTAAAAATAAAGAAGTCTAGCAAGTATAAAAATGAATTTTGCAGATGATTAGTGATGGTACAACATGCATCACACATCTTTTAAAAGCATCCTTCTTAATTTTCATGTCAATCAATGACAACATAAGAGAAACTTTTTCAAATAGCGTTTTAGTTAATTGAACTATTTGTAGAATGACATAGTGTACAAACTTGCACAATTGTCTTTCAACGTGCTTGGCGTAGAAAAAATGTCGAGAAAGCATCTGATACCTTGTAAGAGCCTGGAGATATAAACGACATGAAAAAATAACTGAAAGAGGAAATTAAAAAATAAGCGATAGAGTGAAGACTACATTGAACGAATGACTGATCGAGCAGCAGAAATAAAAAATGAATGGAAGAAACTTTTCGGTTGAGGACAAGTGAGACAGGCCAGTGAACAGTGTAGTCAAATGAAAATGACTCCAAGCCAGACAGGCGAATGTCTGTTACTTCCTTATAATCTGGTTCACCGTGCAAATTGTAGAAAATATAGAAAAATATACAAGTATATAAAACACATTACATAAAGTTAGCAAAATCGTTAGAACAATTTTTAAAATAAATTAAACATTTTAGGTGATAATGAACAAAAACCTTTTTCCTGCTTTGTCTCAATTGATAATATTTTGAAGAGCTGAGATACCAGATCAAATGGAAGCAAATCAACTCTGCAACAAGGAAAAAGATAATTTAGAAAACTATAAAATGTATGAATGAATGTATGGATGGATGTGGATGTATGAGGACGATGCAAAACAATGATTGAAAACATGTTGAGTTTATTAGAAGAACTTGTAAAAAAAGTGGCAAAAATAAATTCTAAATATTAATTTCACAATTTAAAAATGAAAGACGGAAAATTGTGTGGCAGACACACAAAAATATTTATAACAATATAGCAAGTGAATAAGTTTGAGGGAATAAAAGCAAGAAGAACCTGAGGTCGTCCTTGTATGGATCAACGTTGGCAGTGCTCGTTCTCAGTGACAACTCCAATAAGGTCTCCAAACGAGATAGGAGAATTTCTTTGAAAAACGAATCACATAAAAATTAAGAATTGTTCCTTTGTATAAAATCAAACTGATCAGGTAAACCCATATTTCTGTTCAACAGTACGATGAAATGTTATGTGAAACAAACTGTTATGTGGAATTATTCTCGCAAAATCAGAAATATAAGCACTTAGGAACAAATCAACATTTACGTCCTATTCCACTACTTGAGATTGAGTGACGAATGTAAGAAATAAATGGGAAGAGAATCGACCAACAAACCATCGGCAGGTTTTTTCAATTCATGTTCTGTGAGGTCCATGAACTGAACAACAAAGTCTCCTTGGTCTAACATGAAGTAGTGCTTGATAGACCTGAATGCAATAACGTCACTCAAGCTTCAAAAAAACAAAAACCTCTAACAAAAAAAGCTAATATGATTTTGACAAGATTAAATATAATTAACGTTAGAAAATGACAAGTGCAGTACATGGAACCAATAAACATCGAAAACATTCCGAACAATTTTTCATTGTTAGAAAGCTTTATTTTGAGCAATGTTTCTCTGATACGTAAAGCTTATGACTAACAATTATAGATGAAAAAAAAAAAATAAATAAATGAATAAATAAATAAACAAAAAGCTTAGTAACCAAATAGCTTGGCTACAAAAATTAAGAACGAAAAGAAACATGAAGACCAACTAGAAAACCACATGAAAACCAACAAGAGAGCCATCAACTAACTAACCTCAGTCTAGCCATGAGGTCCATTTTGTTCATTAAGAGATCCAAGAGTAATGAACTTGCATACTGAAATGCCTGCTCTATCTTATCAATGTACAATCTCTTTTCTAATGTGTACATTAAACTTTCAGCTGTTGGACACTTCACATCCAAATCTGTTTGAAGATAGCGTCAAGAAGACCGTATCATTTAATATTCTTGACTTAGACTAAAATGAAAAAAGCTAAGTTATTTTAAAATAATTTGCAATAATGATTCAAATATTCAAACGCAAAATTTGAACTGAATAAATATTATACCATCAACTTGGCAACAACAATTTTAACGTTTCAACAAATAAACATCTACAATGGCTATCCACTTATGTATGCACCTCCCAAACACATTTAAAAAAACAAAAGCAATTAAACAACTACCAACCACTCTGTCTGACGACATTCAAATACTTTCCAGTGTTAAGTATTTTGCTCGAGAGTTGTTCAAGGAATGCAGGCACACTCTCTCTCCTTATGGTGTATCGCTGTTCCCAATATGTGAACATCGTGTTAAAGAAAACAATTTCAAAAATACCACTAAACATTTGGACTAAGTGACCAAACTGCCCACAAAGCCATCATCCTCAGACTAAAAATAAATAGAGCTACAATACAAATGTACATTGATAGATTTATTCGTGTTTCTTTTGATAGATTTATTAACACCGGTTTAACACAAAAACTTTACTGAGTCAATTCAAGAAGTTGGTTGCTTCTTGATGAATAACGCAGATGGCAAAACGATGGTTGACAAATGAACAACGTATAAAAGAGTAAACATCTATCTGAATAATTCAATAAAGAGAATCGACGAAGGATATGCATCATTAAAGTCTTCATTCAGTTTCTCCTTTTGGAAAGAATCATCTTCCTCTATGAGGAACTATTGAGTGATTAATAATTAATTAGTTAGTTAATTGATTGATTAACATACCAATTAAGTGTTGAATAATAAATTGGTGATTGATGGTTAGTAGGCTAAATCAACAACTAAGTAAAAACGAATAAGATTGTTAAAGCAATTTAATTAGCCACTTAATATGGAAGCAGAGACATACTTCAGAGTACGGGTCATTGATTATCCCCTTATATATCCAATTCTCCAGCATCTCGAAGTAGGGAAGACTGGCCTGGGTTCACAGAAAAAAACATTAAATAACAATCAAAAATAATAATAATTTAAATAATAATAATTTAAATAATAATCATAAATAATAATAATTTAAATAATAATCATAAATAATAATAATCTAAATAACATTCATGATCATAATAGCACCGCCTGTATTTCCATTATAATTCCATTCTTTCCACTTAATAAACATCTTTTTGATTTAAAAAATCTTGGGCATTTCACTGCAACTTTTAAAGCTTATATAAAGGACTTGCAAGTAATACAGGCAATGTAATTATTTTATATAATCTATGGAGATAAGAAAAACTAAAACAGTGCAGTCAGACAATGATACAAACTTCTCTGGTGAGATGCAAGCAGAGCTCCTGTGATTTAGAATCTCTGGTAAATATACATAAATATATTCATTTATTGTTTACTGATATTATATATGTACTGATTGAAACAATAAAGATATTTTCGAATATTAATATCATCAAACAATTTAAAACCACTTGGTACTGTTATTGATAACACACAAATTAAACTATAAATGAATGAAATGAACTGCATGCACGGTAAATTACGTGCAAGTTGAACGGAGAAATAAAGAAAAGCAAACCCAGTATACGAGGAAGTCTTGGAGTGCAGTATGCTTAACACATTTCCACCAATGCTTTGAGCCTGTTAATTGTTCACGTCCGGTAACGAAGTTCAATGCAAAGAACATAAAAGTAGTAAAAAAATTGTTGACCTTATTAATGGGGGTTAACACCGAAAATAAGACTTCCATAGTTCTCATGGATGGCTGGATGTAGAACCAAAACTTTTGCAGTGTTAAGTTACCCTAGTGAAAAATAAAATAATTCAATTCTGATAGATTAGTCTAGAAGAAACATATTCTTGGCCCATATTTAAAATATATATTTATTCATTTACATTTGAGATACACACCTAATGATTTAAATAAGAACAAACCGTACCATGTTTGATTGGTGTTCAAGTTGGGCCACCAGGACTGCAAAGTCCTGCAAGCAATAAAAGAAAACAGTTACTCTTATGAATTAAATCAATAAGATAGTTTTATATCATGAGAACTTTTTCAAATTCAAGATAAGGTTCAATCAAGTTAAAAAAATCAATTATAAAGTAACAGAATTATTTACAATAAATAACAATAAATAAAAATAATTCATAATGCTAGTTGATTGATAATTTTAGTAAAAAAAAAAGAAAAAGCTTGTAAAGAAACAATGAAAGAAGAAAGAGACTCTGATGAGTGATTTCAAAGTAGCTGCCAGTGCCTGGTTCACCAAACCAAATTCATATTTTGACTTTTCTGTTAAAAAAAAAGTAAAAACATCTCAAGTTAAATTATTACAGTCAAATATAAAATGAATTTTAGTAAATTGAATGGAAAAACAAAAGAATGGAGAAGCTGAATGAATGAACAAACCTTCAATGAACCTGACAACCATGGAGTAGTTGGAACAGATCGGAAGAATTCGTTCAGTCAAATCTCTCAAAGACTTATCTGAACGTTATAAAAAATCATGAACAATAACATTATTCCAACATTAAGACCAATTTCCAAACATCTACATAAGACCACATAGGTTCTATCATTTGGTGTTTTCTGTCATGTTTATTATAAACAGGAACTAGTAAACAATTTTGTGCAAGATTAATTAGGTTAATGGAATCTTTCACAATGGAATGAACACTTGAACCGACCTAACTTCTTGTGCACAGTAAATGTTCTGACAGCAAAAGGGTCCGTGAGAGGATTTGAATGGATATATGCGCCATCAATGCCCTTCGTTAAATTAAGTTTGTAGAAGTTTTCAAATTAAGGAATGGTTGAAAGTTGTTAGGAGGCGGTTTAAATAAATTGTAAAAGTAGGACGACAACGAAACTAAATCCAATAAAAAATTTGAATTCTACTGGCATTGATTTCTGTAAAACATTAACGTAACATTTCACTTTAAACAAATCCTTGAATGATACTTGCAAATTTTTTATTAAACCACAAAGAAAGTGATGAAATAAATAAACAGTTCAAAATAATTTGAAAGAAAATTAAAATTGAAAGCAGGTTTGGAGACCTGGCAACAGAACAAGAGATCTTCAACGATAGCAGCTTCTTGTTCAGACAATGAAAGTTTTGACAAATCTTGCAGATCCTTAAAACATTTTCAAATGACCAATTCATCATAAATTTAAGCTATGAAACCAAAATTTAATTAGGAAAAATTTAAGATTGATTTAAGATAAGAGTGATTTCAAAAAAACACAAATAAGCAAAGTTTAAAGATTTTTAAAACCAGAGTAGATACATTACTGTGAGTTGTATGTAGTTCATTTCATGTGGATTGCTAACTTTGGGCATGTTTCGATTTGACATTCAAGAAAATAAATTTCTGCACACTTTGCAACTTTATTTTAAACACCTGATTCTAAACAAAGATTCCTGTACTTAAATATTTTTGCCTTTTTATAACGACATCATTTTATTTTGTCTGAAGTCATCTAAAAACTTTGCTGTTGAAATTTTAGAAATATTTTGGGTTCACATTTATTGGACAACAAGTATTTTCTCACATGCTGTATGTATAAAATTCATAATGTGAAACTCTGAGAGGATCAAATTAATTTTGTTTCAAATTTATTTTCAAAGGCTGAAAAGTTTTTATGATAGTAAAGAAAAATGTAAGAGTGAATCTAAAAAGCAGCATGGTTTTCAATCAAAGTTATATTTTAAAAAATCCAAAATAAATTGGTTTTATATAAAATGAAGAATTTTGAACGATCCAGTAAGAACTCACAAAATCGTCGGCATTGGTTGGCAAAAAATCCAGCGAAAGATTTGGTCGACCTTCTATCCACTTAGGAAATAATGAAAGTTTTGAGGCCCCTTGAAATGCATATCACGTTACGTTATTGTAATAATTTGTAGAAATAAACTAAAAATAATGAAAACCTTTTTTATCTTTATCCTTATTTGAATCAATTTTGATGGTCTCAATATTCACCAAGGAAGATTCCTTCGTTGTCTTCTTTTTCAGTTCTGCCTGTATCTCTTCGGAAAGCTAGAAATATTTTTTAAAACAATCTGCAATTTAAATAAATGTGCTATATAGATAGCTTCATCAAATTGCTGAAAGAAAAGAAAGACAAATTTTTGAGCATTTTTCTAGAAAACAATGTGAAAAACAGAAATGTATATAACTACATGTAATTAATTACAGATGAAACTCACATAACTTTAATATAAAAAATATAACTAAATGGATTTGCTTTAATAAACAAAACAGTTCAAAAAACTGATTGAAAACACTTTTAGATAAGGCATTTGTAAATATTAAAAGTGATCTTTGAACAGAACCTTTTTCAATCCTTCAGAGCTCAATGTTGATTGAGGTTGGGTGGTCACCTTCACGGTTGATGATTGTAGTGAAGTCAATTTTGATTCAGACTTTGAGTCCTTTGCTTTTTTCAGCATTGATTTAATCTAAATATTGAATTCATGTTTTAAACTGATAAAAATAATACAGATATGACAAATTTATAAAAAAAAATGATTGATATTGAGAAACATTTAAAGTTCAATGATTAAGCAGCAAGAACATTTAAAGTTCAATGTTCAATGATTAGGCAGCAAGAACATTTAAAGTTAAATGTTCAATGATTATGCAGCAAGAAAGGGAGATAGAAAAAGAGAAAAGAAAGAGAAAGTTCAAAATTAAAATTTGTAAAAGAATGGAGCAGTGAATACTTAACCTGTGCATCAGCACTGAGACGGGACATCAGATGAATCAAAGGGTCTAACTCCCTCAAACTGAAATAAAATTACTGTGCTTTTTATATAAATGTAATGGTTTGTTATATATATATATATATATATATAAACAGTGAAACTTAAACCAACTTTTTTGATTTTAGCTGCTCGTATTTTGAAACGAACTCATTGGGCTGATTAGATTGATCAGATAATTTTTTAATGGCTTTTTGAGTTGATACCTTTGCGTGAAAATAAAAATTATTTTTATATCATTTAAATTTCACACTATGTTAGCACAAGACAGCAAGTTATAGAAATCATGAATGAATAAAATGACCTGTGTGCTCACAAATGGAGAAATGCTTTTTTCCAAAACCTCTGTCAACACCTCAGCACCTGGACCTTCTGAAGTAGAAGCAACTCTTCAATGAAACAACAAACATTAATTTTTAATGTAATTCAGTTATGCAATGCAATGTAAATTAATAGACAAACTCCACTTTTTCAAGGAGTCAAGGAAATGAAGTACAGTGGCATTAAAGATTAAATCATTTTTATGTTTATGTTATTGACATAATGTAGTTACTAAATTAAAGTTCAGTAATTTCAAGTAATTATTAATTCAACAAAACTTTAAAAAAAATTTCAACCACCTCAAATTTGTCATAAGTTCATTTACATGATGATGAAGTTTAAATTCTCGAGCCATTCTTTTTATTTAAAAATAGCGAGAAGAGAAGATCAATTTGCTGTCTGTGGAGTGTGTGGAATAGAATCTAACTAGAATCAGGTGAAAACTGTTTGTGCTTTCATTCAATCTTACTTGTACATACAAAACAAATAATTCAAATATAAATATATACATGTATGTAGTAGAAATTGTTTAGTACTGTACCCACATATACTGTACACACACACACATATATATATATATATATATATATATATATATATATATATATATATATATATATATATTATTATAACTATTAAGAGAAAACTTAATATAGCATTTGTTATAGCAGTTTTCATATATATATATAAAAAACCATAATTATAATATAATTTTAATTACAATTGAAATAGATGAAAAAATATAATATAAAAATAAAACAAATAACATTAACTAACATAAATATAAAATAAATAATAAAACATCTACATAATATAACTTTTATAACAAAACACTAAAATAAAAAACATACATAAAATAAATTGTAATATTATAATATATAACGAACCTGAAAATAAAAAATATACTATTATATGTTTGTTGTGTATTCATATTGTATTGGGTATATTTAGTAATTCTCTATTGATTATAATATAACTATAAAAAATATGAAAAAACAACCTTTTTTAAATAAATAAATAGATAGATAGAAACACTCAAGTAACTCACAGAACAGGTCTGCTACTAGTTGATCTGGGGAAAGGTTAATAACACTTTTTTAAACTTAAAACTTAGTAGGTGATCATTGATCAAGAATGGGAAGCTGAATGCAAGATGCAAAAAAACAGTTTGGAGTTGACTGACAGCGACAGTTGACACTTTTTAATTAATTTAATTAATAATTTAATTAAATTTTATTTTAAGCTTACATTTAACGACGAAAGTTTTAAAATAAATTAAACTTTTCAGATTTCCTAACATAGCAACTATTCAGTTAGTTAGTAGTTCGCGATAAATAGCATATAGAATATAGATAGAGTCATATATGTAGGATAAATAGGTAGAGTTGTTAAGTGCAATTGAAACCGGCGCACAAACGATAACACAACAATCAATGGGTAGGCATGGGCGTTTACGATACTGATCGGTGTCGGTATCAGGTGCTTGATAACTCAGCACTGATGTAAGAGTATTGTATACTTTATTTTACATGTATGTTGTATATGTGATTGTATACATATAAAATTGATATATATATATATACAATTACATATATAATATATAGATAGCATGTGATAACATATATCGGGTTCGGTGTGGTCGGTAACATAACAACTGAAGATATCGGATCGGTGTCGATATTGATAACGATGCATCATCAGTTGTTTACATACTGACTGACAGACTGACTGACAAACTAACAGACTGACAGACTGACAGACTGACAGACTGACTGACTGACTGACTGACTGACTGACTGACTGACTGACTGACTGACTGACTGACTGACTGACTGACTGACTGACTGACTGACTGACTGACTGACTGACTGACTGACTGACTGACTGACTGACTGACTGACTGACTGACTGACTGACTGACTGACTGACTGACTGACTGACTGACTGACTGACTGACTGACTGACTGACTGACTGACTGACTGACTGACTGACTGACTGACTGACTGACTGACTGACTGACTGACTGACTGATTGATTGATCGGTTGATTGATCGGTTGATTGATTGATTGATATACGTTGGTTCTTTCTTGAGTTTAGTCTGTCTATAACATGGATATATATAATATATATAATATTATATCCATGGTCTATAATTTAATAACACTAAATTGCGAATTTCGTTAACTCAATACAGTTCATAATAACTTTTTTTATTTATTTTAATTATTATTATATCGATTATTATTTATTATTATTTTATGTCAAAAAATCAATAAAAAAAGAATTTTTCTTAGTCATAATAATATTTGACAAAGGCCTTTCAAACAAGCTAGTTCTTCTTAATTTTGTGACTTTTTATCGTCTTATCAATCCATTCCACGAAGAAATAGACGTCTGTGGCGAAGCTGGTTTGACAGTATTCTGAGAGCTTTTGGGAACTGTTTGATCCTCCTGTTACAAAAATAATTTTGTTCTTTACTACCATTGTTATTATTATTGTTGCTGTTATGGTTGTAGTTGCTCTGGTAGTTATTGTTGTTGTAATTTTTGTAATTGTTCGGTTTGAATTTGTTAATCAAAAGCTCGTTCGTTTCTTCGTTCACGTAAACAATAAAGTTAAAAGTTGTTGAGAAAGTTCATACGGACAATGAAGAGTTGATTCATGTGAAGATGGTATTAGGTGGTCTTTACCGATTATGTGACTATTTAATGTTATAATTATGTTATACATGGAATTACATTATGCATGGGAGTTATGCCTCATCTTTTCGAGAATTGAACTTACAATAGCAAACGTTTAATGCAAAATTATCCTCAGCAAAAGTGTAAAGTTTAAATAATTCAAAAAAGAAATTATTATGATTAAGAAGCCAAAATTTCCATGCAGTGAAAATTAAAATTAAATTTGCAACTTTTGTCGAATTTTTAAAGCATCATCTTAAACTTCTATAAATCTAAGTTCAAATCAAAGTAACCTAGTTCTTGTACATTTTTTAAATTTTAGGATGTTTAACGAATTTGTATAAGCTGTGAAAATGTTTAAAATAAATTATCAACTTTTGTGAACCTGCGACGAAACTGTGGATGCCAAACAGAGTCCATCTATCTTCGTGTGAAGCTTTGCATTCCAATGGTCCTCCACTATCACCCTGCATATTTATACTTGTGATTTGAAGATGTTACAAAATTTAAATGTATGTATACGTTGCAGCGTACCATGCACACATTAGGATATCTTGAGCCGCTGTGCGTACCTATGCATATAACTCCATGTGTGAGTCCTGGAAAACCAGGACAGTTCGATCTTATGATCATTCTCGTCTGCAGCAATGCGTTTGAAACTTTGTCTGAAACAATGAAACATCACTTTAGCATTTAGTGATATATTTGTTATTTTTTTAAATAAATTTTATAAACAGTTTTATCAAGGAAATAATCTGCTTCTACTTTTAAAGTATTTAACACTATTTTTTATTCTGTCTGTAGCTTAAGCCATCTTAAAACGTACCAGAATCAATGTGCTTGTATCTACACCTGAGCACGAAACTTATGAACTTATAGTATTTTTCGAGAAATTTATGCAGCATGTAGAGAAATCAATAAGAAACAATGGCTACCTTGTACGGTTCTGCCAAACCCTGAAGCCACGCAAACAGGGAAACGACCTGGGTGATGCTCTTTGCGGGGAAGGCAAATGTTTCGAACCAGTGAAGAATAGCCAAGTTTCCGACTTAACCGTAGAAGAGCAATGTCGTTGTCCAATGTCTTTTCGTTGTAATGTTGGTGAACGTAAATAAAGTCGGGTTTGAGCATAATCCAGTTGCTGTCACGCAAAAAAACCGACCCGACACTTATTAAACATTGAGACGGTCGAAAGCTTTAAAATTTTGGTAAAAAATTCACCACTTAATCACTACATTAATTTTTTATGATTTACTTTAAATTTTATAAAATGTTAAGTAACGAAAATTATTTCTAAGTTAATTTTAAAAAATTCCAATTCAATTGAACTAACGCAGCACCGAAGACTACTACGCAATGCGCAGCGGTGACGACCCAGCGGGATTTGATGACGGAACCGCCGCACAGCAGGCCCTCGCAACTTACTTTGACTTGCCATGGAAACTCACCGGGCAGGACTTTCTCACCGTATATCACGTACTTGCTCTTGAACTCATTCTTATTGTATGCTGTCCTACTGCCACACTCTGTTGCGACGTACACACACGTTACGTACACGTTACAGTAAGATGAAACGCTTTCACAGTGTACAAAACAGTATATTTGTTAATATGAAACTCTGCTAGAATGTACACACGATAATATGGAACTTTTTTAAAAAGTAAGTACAACATTTGCATGAAATTTATTACATTATAAACAAAATTGTAAAGAACTTTATTAAAATATAGAAAAATTATGTGAATATACTTTCACAAAGTTGAAAAGTTGAAATGTTAAACCTTCTTCGACACATTTCAGTGCGACTACTAAATTTTCCGGGCAACCATTGCTGTTGCTGCTACGTTTGTAAAAATTTTTGGTTAACAAAAATTTACAAATTTTAATAAATTTAACAGGCATTGGAAAAGAATTTTTATATTATAATTCAGCTTACAATTCAACCAACATTTATATACTGTAACTTATTGAATTCAAATAATCACTAATTTTAAAAAGCATACCTACATAGTTATATTTCGATATACAATGTCCTCCTCATCCAGCTCTAAATCAAATTTAACTGTCCTCAGAACGACATTTTTCTTCATCGCTTTGTGGTACAAAGCTGATCTTCGAAAAATAATATTTCTACGTTAGTTTTCTAAATATAATGAATAACGCGCATTGAAAAGAATGAAATTTCTTTCGGCAGTTCAATATTCAAATCGAAGCTTCTTATTGCATTATTTGATTTTTCAACTTAATCGAATTGTGAACACGTTGAAGGAAGTTTTACTCAACATTCAAGAAACAATCGAAATCACTTAATTCGCATTCTGTTAATCCGGATATTTTGCTAATTTGGATTGCTTTTTCGATATAGAAATTTCCTATTTATCTCACGATATAAAAATTATGTGAAACGAGTGCAAATAAACCTGAAAATTTAATCCGAATAAACTTTCAAGAAGAGAAAAAATGTATTTAAATAAGATCTATAAACAAAATTTGAAGCATTTCCTCACATTTTATTTCATTGTATCGGCTTATGATTACATTTTTTAAAGAAGTTTTAATATTTTATCATTAAATATTTGACTGAATTACCGTTATCAAAGAGCAATTAAATTTTATTACATTGAATATCACAATTAATATCGCAGTTCTTTTATGGTGAAATAAAAAGAGCGACTGGTATTATACTCTCATACTTGGTCGGCCCGTAAGAATGGCTACGTCGACTTCACTGAAATATTATGAATGTGGGTTCGATCTCATGTTACGTGTAACTTATAATTCACGTAATCCGAATGAATATGACGTTCCGTTTTACACCAATTTGACTAATAACATAAAATTGAGGGTGGAAACGGGGAACAACGTACTACTTATACAGAAAGACGTATGTGACAGCCCTAAAGTAACATTTCTGAAAGGTAAAAATTAGATAATAGAGTAAAAAATAAATAACACTTGGCTTTTTGAAGAACTTTTATACCTTGCAGCAGCGCTGTTTAAATGCATAACCGCAAAAAATTAGATGTGAAATAATTAAAACAATATGTAGGGTAACGTGGGGTAAAACGCCTACTAGGGGTAAGAGGCCTCCCGTCCATGTTGAGCGAAATTATTGTGCTGCAAATTTTCTTTAACTGCCATAATATTAGATTATCTATGTAATTAAATGGTCTGTGTTGTGGAAGCCGCGCGTTGTTTTGGTTGATAATTAATGAAAGTTTATGATTTTAGGGCTATCTGTTACAAATATAAACATAATCATTAAAGCTTTTTCTCAAAAACTGAAGTTATTCTCAAAAAGTTGAAGTAAGTGATAAAATTTTGTATTATTTACACTATTTAACACGATTTTTTTTAAATCTAAATTTTAATCCATCGTAGCACATTATCGGTTAAAATTTTACAATACACTTTGGGGTAAAACGTCCCCCTATAGTTAGGCTAAAACGCTCCCTTTTAAATAATGTAATTAAAGAATAATTTTATACTAGAACTATTTGATATTGTTTTAATCCTTAAAATTAAAAAATGAAATTTTACAGTTGTTTGTTGAGTTCCTTTTAAACTTTAACTTTAACAGTCATACTTTTTAATTTAACTTAACAGAATGCCACGGTCTTACAAAAGAAAATCAGCAAGAGGATCATATATTTTCAATATTTGTTAACATTGTTTTTATAGTTTTGTTTAATAAATTTGATTGAATATTTAAATTTACCAATGTATTTTTAAACACTATCTATGACATTGACATAGGGTAAAACGCCTCCCAGTAGGCTTCTTACCCCAACGCTGGGGTAAGAAGCCCCTTTATCAAAAAAGTTTTAATGGCAAAAATTTTTTATTGGGTCGTTTTTATTTGTTAAAATTATGTATTTATATAAAATACTATGAGTGATCTTTCTGGAATTTTAAAAATCTTACAGTTTTATAGCATAAATGTGATTTAATCGAACTTTTCCCTTGGAGGGGGCGTTTTACCCCATGTTACTATACTTGTATTTAGCTTTGATACAGAAAGCCTGGTTCCATTCAGCGCGCCAGTCATCGGCACAAACGTTCAGTTTGTCCACCCCTCTCAAATTTATTAACAGCTCTTTTTTTCCTGTTATTGTAACTTTGCGATGAAAAATTTAATTTTGTTCAACTTCTTAAAAATGGCGTATTTAATTTCGAAAATCTCACCACAGGAATCTTCATCATCGCCTACAGGACAATCTGCCTTTGAGTCACATACAAAATAATTTGATATGCATTTTTTACGTTCGCCTTTGCAACGATATTCATTAAACCGACATTTTCCTTTACGAAGACATTTAAAATAAATTTCATCAAAAGTTTAAGTAGTTTTTTTTCTAAAAAAAAAATGAAAAATATTACTTAGAGAGCGTTTTTATCAACCGAACTACCGAACAATTTGTTATATAAATAATTACCCTCAATTCTATTCTCACAAATAAATATATTATTTTAATAGAATTGTGTTAAGCAGTTTATGAGTGAACTAACCGCAAACTTGGGGACTTTCATCATCGCCGTAAGGACAGTCAAATATCTTATCGCATAAAAAATGCCTCGACACACACCTCCCACGCGTACAGGAGAACTCGTGCATTAAACAAGCTTTATGTTCAAAAACTTTGAAAATTCATATTCATGGAAATACGATAAACAACAATAAGATTAAAGTTACAGCAGTTAGATTCATCGAGATCGTCGGGACAGTCCTGGTAGCGATCGCAAACTTGGTCGTAGGACAAGCAAGTTTTCAGTGTAGAACAGAACTGAGCAGTTCCGGCAGGACAATCTGTAGTTACATTTTATTCATTTCTATTTTCTCCCTTTGATCCAACAAAATTATGAAGAACCAACCGTTAATGGATGTTGCTCTGTTGAAAACTGAAAAAATTATTTGATTACGTTTTCTTTTAAATAGAAATTACAACTGAAATATCAATGTTTAAACATTGAAATATTAACGTTTAAACATGGAATATAATATAATAATAATATAATAGCAATTAAAAAATAAAAAACAAAAAAAACAATTGTTTTTAAAAATAAGAATTAGTTCAAACAAGACGATGCTGCTGTTAACTAAAATCTTTGCAGAAAAAAATGGATTTTGTTTTATAACTAATACAAATCCATTCACCCACACACACACACACACACACACACACACACACACACACACACACACACACACATACACACGCGCGCACTAACGCACACACGAAGTAGATGTAGCTCCTGCAAAAGCAAATTTTGCTAAATTCATTTAGATAATGTTGTTTTAATTAGAAAAAAAATTATTAAATTATTTTGTTTTGAACACAAAATTTGAAAACTCCGAGCATCTTGCATTTGTGGCGCTTGGAGTTTTAAGTTTTTCTATTCAAATCAATATTTCAGTATGTCGGTTTTATAAATTTATCAAAATATACATTTGCAGAGGAAAAAGAAAATGTGTATTTCATCACATATTATAAACGAAAATTTTCGCGGAAGATAATAAATACAAAAAAGTAAAACTTCTCACTCAAATAAAAAAGTCTTGATGTCGTCGATGTGATATGGCGAGAAGTGGCGTGAAACACGAGGCAAACTGAAAATATTAACGTGACGCACAGAACAGTTGTAAAAAATACAACATTGTTTTTTCTCAGCGTAAATGTTGCTAGGCTTGAGCTTAGGAATGGAAACAACTGCCGAAGGAACACCGAGCCCGATTTGGTGCCTGAGGACGGAATTCTGCTGTTTGGAAAGCAAGTTAATTCAATAGTTTGGTTTTACAAATATTTTTTCAAACTTTGTCACTAAATCAACTTAAAAATTCAACGAGCTATTTTAGTTGAAATTTCAATTTTTTAATTTTTAACTGTAATCTTCATTCTTCTAAAGAGTAAGTCCAGACGGTAAAAGTTCCATACTCGCATCATTTTTATTGCGCAGTTTCCTGGTTCGAATTCTATCTAAATACTACCCCGAAAGTTATCATACGCCTCGTGCATATGATGCAGTGCTTGTGCATACACACGTATGCACATCTTTTGGTAGAGGTACACGTTGTGTTGAGTGGTGTATCTATGTACGTAGATATAGTCTTTCGTGGCCAGACGTGAAAGTTTTAATGTAAGGAGCTCGGTGTTTGTATGTTATTTGATCTAAGTCTTTTCATGGCTTATTTTATCAATTTTTTTTATTGAAAATTCATCCAAGAATAAACCCTAATGTGAAATATATAACTAGACTTTAATAATGTTTTTAAGTAATTGATTGTTCTCATCAAAATTAAACATCGAGGACGGGCCAAATATTAGATGAAAATTGAGGTTAAGCTAGTTTTCGGTATCATTTTTTTTAGTTTTTAAAAATCGTACAGTCTGCAATTTGTTTTCACAAGATGTTAAAATTATTTTTTCATATGATTTTTCATTCTTTTTTAAAACGTCTAAAAATTTTGCTAGATAGATTTTCTTTCAAGTTTTGTAGAAATATTTTTCTCCATACTTTCTTAATGTTTGGCAGTTGATTGATGTTAGGAAATGCAATTATGTAACTGGTTAGACTAATTATTCGGCCCGTTTTTATTAAATAGCATTTAAAAATTAAATAATCGTGCTCACGCGGACATTCTCGAATCAGTGATTATTTCCTATCTACCAATCACGATGAGGGCTTGAAGATTTTCTCGGGACAGTATAATCACAAAACTGAACTAATTATACCACCGAAAATACGCCTAACTAGGTTCACATAAATTATTAAACTCAAACAACACAGACACAGTTACATAAACACACGTTTATTTACAAGACGAAAAACGTTATTGGGTGTATTGTGTATTCATTTTAAGAAAAAAATGTACAAATGATGCATTGACTGTATACACATAGATTTTAATTTTGCAACAAGGTAATGTGAAGATGATATTGATGAAGATAATGCCAAGGATGGTCTGTTCTATGCCCACCAAACCAGTCATAAGCTGTTTGATACATAAAATTTTTACTTCCAAACTATAAAATGGTACTTATCCTCAAAATACTGAATAAGATATTGGAATGGAAATGTCTCACAACTCAAAAATCTGAATAAGATATTGGAATGGAGATGTCTCACAACGTATCTAGATGCTTAGACCCTTAGTTACAACAGGGGCCTCCATCACGGGTTTTTATACAATGACGCAAATTCTTTAACCTACGGAGAGCACCTAAACTACTTGAAACTTTGAAGTTGTTTAGGTGCTGCCCATATTATGTCAACCTTTTTTTGTGTATTTTGACTCCCCAGTCACAAAATGTTACAAATTTTCAAACCCCTCATTTAACGCGTCACAATTTTTGACTCCCGCCTCCTTTTCAAAGTTACCTTTTAAAAAGTTTTATGCGAATTATCAATATTACGAATAATGATAAAAATTCCAATCAAATACGTCTAATGGCGCTGAATCCAAATAAACAGGCATATAAAAAAACGCAAAATTTTGATCACATGTATAACCTTTTTTTGTTAAAAATATGTTAACAAAGTTTTTATTAACGGCAGAAACTGAAAAGTGGATGTCACTCACCGGATTTAATTCTAACCCTCTAACCCCTCCCCGTGTTACAATTTTTTGACTCCTTCCCCACGTCAAAGTGTGAAATCCTTTATGGGCAACCTCTTGGTATAGTTCTTGCAATTCAATATTTCTGTGCGACATAATCATAAAAAAAAACAATGAAACGTACGTATTAAAATCATGTTTACATATAGGTATGCTTTAATCGGTTGTTTGCCACATCGAAAAATTTGATTTGATTGTTAGATACATTATTTCTCGTTTCATTAAAATATCTCATTTGCATTTTGCCTATGTTTGAACCATTGAGGTATAAGTTACAGTTACAACTTATACAAAAACCTTATAAATTTATAACCTATGCCTAAAAGGTTTGCACACAGATCGATCCTTGGTTGGGTTAATTCTCAATTTTGATGCGCTGATGATTTCTTGGATTCCACATATATTAACATTCCATTCCATTGAACAGATTCGAAAAGCAACCCAAGTAAGTAACAATATGCTGGTAAATCAATTTTCATTTGCTCAAAAGATCTTTGTTTTAAATAAAAATGTTTTCATTTCAATGTTTATTTTGCTATTTTATCGCTATAACGTGTTCGCGGTGACGATCAGAATCGTTTAGTTTTTTTTTTTAGAAAAAAAGAATGACTGAAGGTAAAAAATAAAAATTTGGAGTTATTTGAATATTTTTGCAACATTTTTTTACATTTAAGTTGTTTGTGTCAATGATTTTGTTTCGTCGTACTTCACCATGGGTTGTAGTTGTGTGTGAACCAAATCCACTGCTAACATAACACATAACAGGCTAAAAAGCTAAACTCTACTTTTACTAACAACTAACTTACTAATTTACTAGCAACATTTTGCATTAACACAAACGAAGCAAACAAGAAACTAGCTAGAATCTAGAGAGGTTTTCTTCTAGAAAATAGATCACAGGAAAAGAACTGTGTAAAATTTTAAAGTTAATTATTGAATTAATAAATTAATTAATCATTGAATTAAGTATCGTTCAATGACTTGAAGGCTGTTTGTTTTTATATTTTTAGGAGACTTAACTTTAGTTTACCAATGGTAATGGTTTGAGTTTAATGTTTTTAAGCATTTTTAATTAAGCATAAAAATGGAGATTTTTAATATTAAAAAATTTAAATATATGTTGACCTAACTAAAGATTAAAAAATGAATTGATTTCAATTGTAACATGTTATTGATTGTTTTAGTTTTAGGAATTTAGTTCAATCTTTAAATATTTTATAAGACAGCAATAACCTTTGTTTATTAAAAATATTTACAAATTATAATTATTTGTGTGGAGTTATTTTTGAATACTGGCTGACATATCTATTTACAAGATTGTTTGGTATGAATTTTCAACTTAGTTAATTTTTTTATGTTTTATTATTTTTCAAGAAGCTGATAATGTACATGCAGAAGGTGAACCAAATAAAGGTTTGTCAAATTGTTAATGTTTGAACATTTTAAAAAAATTTGAAAAAGTTGAAAAAGAAAAAATTAAATGCTAAATTTTTATGTATTTCCACCAGAAGATAAGCCAATGGAAAGTCTTGCTGAAACGTTTAAACAAAACAAATCTTTCTCAGTGCTGAATGGATTTGTTTCTGAGAAATCGTTGAAGGCGGTTGAGAAACTCGGCTTCAAAGAGATGACTCAGATTCAAGCACAATGTATCCCACATTTGCTGGAGGGCAGGTTGGTGTTTTGCAATAAAATTTCTGTATGTGTGTGTGTGTGTGTATTGTATATGTAAGTATGTAAGTGTGTGTGTGTGTGTTTGGATGGTGTATATGTATTTATTTTTGGGTATATGCAGAGAGATTTCTATATCAAATAAAAATTTTCAAGCATTTTCTAAAAGTTTATAGTATAGAGGTGAATAAATGAATATAATCATTACAACTATTTGCAAGTCTGTAAAGGATTAAAGGAATTTTTAGCAGAAGTGATTTTTTTTCAGAGATTTGCTGGGTGCAGCCAAAACAGGTAGTGGCAAGACGTTGGCATTCCTCATTCCGGTAATTGAGCGCATCAATAAACTTGGGTTCAAACCAAGAAGTGGTAAGAAATTTTTAAAGATTTTTTTAAATTCACGTGGTTACACTGCATATTTAAACTAATGTCATTATGACTTTAGTGTTTTTTAAGATTATTTTTCATCGGGTAGATATTATTCATTCGCATTTTGAACTAGAATATTATAAAACATTTATTTTATCTTTTTAAGGAATTAAAAACATAAACAAAATACATATTTATTTTATGATGCACGTGCATGAATCCATTAAATACCTGATGCATTTCAGGCACTGGAGCAATAATAATTTCACCAACGAGGGAACTTTCCATGCAGACGTTCAAAGTTCTGGAGGAGTTGCTCCAATTCCATGGCCACACATTTGGCCTGGTCATGGGTGGCACAAATCGACAGCAGGAGGCAAAAAAGCTTGGGAAAGGAATCAATATTCTTGTGGCCACACCCGGAAGGCTCTTGGATCATTTACAAGTTTGTTCATTTATTTATTAATTTTTTATAAATTTTGTTTTTTATTTAAATCTGCTGACAAATATAGAACACGCCGGAGTTCATATTCAGCAACCTTAAAGTTCTTGTAATTGATGAGGCGGACAGAATTCTTCAAGATGGTTTCGAAGAAGAAATGAGGCAAATCATCAAAATTTTACCAAGTTCTTAATACTGGCTTCTTGATTTACATAAATTTTTATTTTCATTATCCATTTTATTTTTTTACTTTTTAATGCTTGTGGTCTCTCCTGACTTTTATTTACTTTTTGAAAGATAACGTTTTAAATAGCAATAATTTAATTTTTTATTTTTGTTCTTTTTTTCTTAGGAAAAAGACAAACCATGTTGTTTTCTGCCACACAGACAAAGAAAACTGAAGATCTGGTGAAGGTGTCGTTAAAAAAAGACGTGGTGTATGTTGGTGTCGACGATGAAGAGAAGAAGGCCACAGTTGAAGGCCTGGAACAGGTTTGTACCTTCTTCCTTTCATTTCTTCACAATTATATTCTTAATTTTATTTTTGTATAAATAAAGTTTTTAATTTTAATTGATTTAACAGACATTTTATTAGACATTCAATTTAAAAACATTTTATGTTCGTTCAGGGTTATGTTGTATGTCCGCCAGAAAAAAGATTCTTGGTGCTGTTCACGTTTTTGAAAAAGTACAGAAATAAAAAAGTTATGGTGTTTTTCAGCTCCTGCATGGCTGTCAAGTATTTCCATGATCTTCTCAATTACATTGATTTGCCCGTCATGTGCATACATGTAAGTTTTTTTCAATACTTTGATTCATAGTTTGCACTGGTGGGTACCTCATTTTATTCAATGCGATAATGTCTATATCACTGCTTAGGGACAGCAAAAGCAAGCAAAGAGGACTGAAACGTTCTTTAAATTTTGCAACGATTCAGAATCCATATTGCTGTGCACCGATGTGGCAGCACGAGGGTTGGACATTCCCGCCGTGGACTGGATTGTTCAGTACGATCCTCCAGATGATCCCAATGTAAGTTTATATTTGGGTTATGTCTTCTTCTGCCTGTATGGCCAGTGTTTATAGTATGTGAACTGTTTATTTAGGGTGTATACTTGTGTGCCATTAGTTACTGTAATGTACTTTACTGGTCGATGTTAGCACTGATGCCTCTAGATTTTAAATATCAAGTTGCGTCAGAATGACACAATTTTAATAGAAAGAAGTGCACCATTGCTATTTGTTACTTCAGGAGTACATACATCGAGTTGGGAGAACGGCTCGGGGTGCGGGAGGGTCGGGCCACGCCCTCCTTTTCCTCACGTCAGAGGAAATTTTATTTCTCGACTACTTGAAAGAAGCCAAAGTACCATTAAGTGAATATGAAATGAAATGGAATAAAGTTTCTAATATTCAATCACAGGTTCGGGTTTTTTTTTCGTTGTGATTTTTCACCTCGTCTCCTCTTTAATAAATTGTTGTTGAAGTAATAAAATCATAAGTAAACACGGTTTCAGAGAATGAATGGCTGATCGGTCAGTTTTACTACAATAGTGTCTGCAGTCTCACTTGAAATAATATTGTCTCTTTAAAATAGCAAACCTTCATCGCTTCTTTCATTTTTTTCCTAATCAGTTGGAGAAGCTGCTGGGTAAGAATTATTACCTGCACCAGGCTGCCCAAGAAGGTTACAAGGCATTCATTCGTTCCTATGTCTCTCACTCCCTTAAGACAATATTTGATGTCCATAAATTGGACCTGCAAAAAGTTGCTCAGTCATTTGGTCTTCTCGTTCCTCCACATGTCCCACTCAGTAAGTTTGAATTTTTTTTTTTCGTTTCGAGATTATTAGGAACATATTTGTTTCTTAAATAGTGAAATTTGTTAGTTGGTATTTTGCTTAGCACTCTCAATAATGGCGTTGTTTATTGAATATTGCAATATTTACAAGTGATTTTTTATTTTTTAAACCCAGTTAAACAATAATATTTTAAATATATATCCGTTTTTTCTTCCTATTCTTTGCTTTATGTCCTTAATTTTCTGTATTTCTTTTAGTTTTTAAAAATTTACTCCTGATTATTCTATATTTTGCGTGTCATATAAATATCTGTATTTGTTTAGGTTTGTTTCTTTAAAGTCTGAATCATTAAAAAGTAAAAAAGTATAGATAGGCAGACATTTCCTGTCATTCACAACCATCTGCCTCACGTTCAATTTATGAGTACCATTTTGAGAACGAACTAACATTTTATAAATTTTCTTTTAATGACCTATTGAGTCAAATATTTATAAAGTCAAATAACTAACATTTTATAAATTTCCTTTTAATGTTCTGCAGAGTCAAATAGCCTTAAACGGAAGAATTCGAACTTCAAGTACGAAGGGGGAATTGACAAAAAGAGAAAACTTGAAAAGAACAAATTTTATAAAAAAGTTTCATCTCGCTCAAACAATAAATCAAAAAAATGATAACATTTGTTCACATTGTGGTTTTTTTCATGTTGTGTTCTGTATTTATTCGATCATGAGTACGTAAATATAAAACCAGTTTTAATGCACGATCAGTTTGGATTGAAGTAACAGGTGCCTACCTAGGTTGTGTACTTGTGTCTTTATTGCAGCCGAAACATATTTTGTCGTGTAAAACTTGCAATTAGTAAACATCATGTAACTGAAGTATTTATCGGAGAAAGAATTGTAGTTTTCATTCATTTCGTGTCGAATGAGTGAAGACTCACGATGGTCGAGGTGAGCTTTTATCTTATTTTTTTTTATGAACTCATTTTGATCTTGTTTTAGTTTTAATGAAAGTTTATTTTATCAGGATCGGTGTGCAGTTTAATGATAGGGAGCCATCCTGTGACCAATGTAAAGAACGTGTCCTTTACAAACTGACGTATCTTGAGATGAAGTTCGAGATTGACTGTACAAAAACGTTCAATTTTTTAAAATTGGAATGCTTCATGTGATCCTCAATGGCGTTAACGTTTATCAAATTGTGAACAGTTTCGATGTTGGTTGAGTTAGAAATTGGCAGAAGAGAGGTATCTGGGCAAGATTTTAAAGGCATATTTGTGTAGCCGTAAATACGGGACGCTCTTTTATAAGCAGGGTCGATGGTTCACGAAATCCGGAATGCAATTTAATACGGAAACATTGTAATTGCTTGATAATTGTAAGGGACAAATTGATTATTGAAACCTTGTCCAATAAAACTTAGAAAACATTTTTAGTGAATTTAGCCTCGAAGATGAGAATAATTGGTTCCAAATTAAAAAAAAGTAATTGAAAAAATTAAAAATGCACAAATATCAATTGAATTTAATTACGTACTTTCTATTTTTCCTAGTATAAATTTAAACTAATCAACTAATAGAATCTGAAAAGACTAAGTCACCATATGAATTAGTTCTTTGATTCTCTAAGTGTGATAATTTCTTTCTCCCTTTATTACAAAACCTTGGAAACGGAATATTTTTATATCTAAACTAAATCAGACATATGTTATATCCAAACAAATTCAGACAGCATCATCAGTCGCATTTCTCTTGTGTAGACTTATTGTGGTAGTGATCCAGTCCATGTACTTGTAAACGTTTGATTCGAAACTTTGCTTGCAGGAATCTGTTTCCAGGTCCGTGATCACTCCTGTTGAAAAACAATTAGTGATTTTTTAATAGCAGTTGAACGGCGCGCAAGTCCGTCATTAACAAATTGAAACCTGAAACAAAACTGTGAACACCGAACAATGTCCATCTATCTTCTGTAGCAGATCTACAAACAAAAGGTCCCCCACTATCTCCCTTCAATTAAAATATTAACATTCCGTTTGTCAGTTCAAGAAAATCTCGTTCACATCCATTTAATACAAGCAAGTTTGTAAAATATGTGAAATTCATTTAAAGAAACTGTTTTTAGAGTTGAATTGGATTAAATTTGAAAAATATACAGTTTAATTCTGAAAACTCACTGACCAGACATGTACTTATTGTACTTTCCTGATAATAATCTCCTGTCGTTCCGACACAGAGCTTGCTCGATTTATTATAGAAACCAGATTTCTGTTGCAATCTCAGCAGACCGCAATCATTTCTTATTATCATTCTCTGCTGCAACAAAGTGTGCGAGACCTGGTCTGAATGTTTGAAACGTGTCATTTGCAGTATCATTTATTGTTAGGGAAACCTTGGTTTTGTGTTAGTGTGTATTTTTTAAATATTAATCTAATTATTGCACTTCAACCAAATTTTCTAAAATTGCATTTTCAACAAGTTCTGAATAATTTTAATTAAATTAACGTTACCACAAATTTTTGCTGTTAACCAGGGTGTCGGAGTTGAAAAAAAATTTATACAACTCCAACTCTTGGATTGCACATTTTAGAAGCCGATTCCCAAAAAATATTTTCAATTTCTGCTTTACAGTTTAAAAAAAAGTATTGTCTGTTGATTAAATAGATAATTTAAAACAATCAAATTGAACTGACGTCCTTCCTTTCCTTTGTGTATGTAATTAATCTAAATTCATATATTAAGAAAGACTAGAAGGTCTTTGCGTTTTAACAAAACAGTCATTGTTTTTCTGCAGCGAGACAAAGTCATTTTTTTAGTTTACAAAATATATAAAAGTACCAAAAGGGGGAATGTTTTTACATTATTGTTGATTTTATTTCAATCTATGAATATTCTTCTCACTAAACAGCTAAAAATTTGCCTACTAAACAGCTGCAAAATTATTGTGACTTCAGTTTCACAGACGATGAATTCTTTATTTGGTAAAAATAATATCTTCCTAAAATAAACTAGTTTAAAAAACAACTGCTGAATAAACAAAAAATTCAAACATTTCACAACTTCAACACTTATGTCGGAGTGAAATAAAAATTTTTCGACTCTTTTAACGTTCCGACCCCTATTACAAAAAAAACTTTCGACTAGAACACCCTGCTTGTTTTAACAAATGTAGTTTTTTGGAATCGTATGGATACGTTGGTAAGCGGAACGTATCAAAATATTTTCTAGAACAACATTTATTTTTGAATAAGATAAAACAAAATCAATAGAAATTGCACAACCACTCAAATAGATACTAGATCAAATATAAATGTGAACGTAACAAAACCTCTAATCGTTTTCCCAAAGCCACTACTAATGCAATAAGAGAAATCTTCCTTACTATAAGGCTTCTTTGGTAGGCATATCGTTTGTACGTACGGCGAAATATTTATTTTTCTCTTCAATTTTATTAAAGCAATATCATTCTCATGATTTTTTTCCACGTAATCTTTATGTGGCAGGAGTGCTTCAGCTCCGTATAGCAGCCAGTTGTGATCGTTCATATAAACAGCTCCGACTGCTACCGTACAATCTTTTGTGTTGAAAATACTTTGGGGAAAAAAATAAACTTTTATAAGAATTTGCTTAGAAGTATTAAAGTACTACTGAGCAAAGTACTACTACTTGAAGTATTAAAAAAAGTAGCGTACGCTTTATTGAGCATGACGCAGTGTGCAGCCGTGATAATCCAGTCTGATCTTATGACGCTTCCACCACAAAGCTGCCTACCGCAGTTCAATTTCACTTGCCAGGGGTACTCGCCTTTTGCCACCTTGTCACCATAAATAATGTATTTACTTCTAAAGTTGCCCGTTTTTACGTGCCTTGAACCGCAATCTAGATTTTAGTAATAAATTTTGTCGCCACGTGATCGTACACAGATGACTAAAAAATGTTACCGTGCGATAAACAGGTCAGAGAAACAACGAGATTGTTCGGACAGCTGTAGTTTGATTTTCTATTAAGAAATTTTAAAACATTAAAATATCTTGGAAACATTTTTTACCCTTTGCAAAATTATTTTAAATTATTAACAGCAATTAATAAAATGTTTATAAAATGTTAACAAATTTCGAAAAAATTTTTTTTAAAGAAATTTGATTAAATTTGAAATAATTTACTTGACAATGTTAACCAATTTATAAGATCCACTTTCCTCAACCACATCAAATATGACGGTGCTTATTGGTGGCGTCTTATATAACGTTTGATTTTTCTTGAAATTTCTGTTGTTTTCAAAATATTTATTTGCTAATTATTATTAATTTGCTGATTTTGTTAATGCTCAATTTATTAAATCAAACTATAGCTATTCTAAACACAACGTTCACTCTAGTGTTTTCCTCGGCTTTTGAAACTGTTGACCATACTATTCTCTTGAGACTGCTGCATCTTTCTTTTAATATTACTGATTCTTGTCTATCTTGGTTTTCTTCTTATCTCTGTAATCGTTTTTTTTCTGTTGTTCTCAATAATTCTACTTCTAACTCCTCTACTCTTACTTTCGGGGTACCTCAGGGTTCTATCCTTGGCCCTCTTCTTACTCTATACTTCTGAACTACCTCGTATTATTAATAACTTTTCTTTCTCTAGTCAACTATATGCTGATGATTCTTACATTTATACTTCTTTTCCTCCATCTAATCTCAATAGTGTTCTTCATAATTTATCTCTATGTCTTTCTTCAATAATCGCTTGGTCTGACTCTATGTGTCTTAAACTTAATCCCTCTAAGTTTGAATTAATTTGTTTTAATAAATCTAAACACTCTATTACTATTCCTCCTATTATCTTACCTGATTCTAAAACTCTAGATGTCTCTCATAACTTTCGTAGTCTAGGTTTTATCTTTGATTCTACTATGTCTCTCTCTTCTCTTGCTAGAAGCTCTTACTTTCATCTACGTAGAATAAAAAAACTTTTGCCTTTTCCTGATGATCCTACTCTTCTCCTTCTTGTTACTTCGTTAGTCTTATCTAGGATTGATTATTGTAACTCGCTCTACTATGGTCTTCCTGACTCTATACTCTATCCTTTAAGTAAAGCTTTTAACTCTGCTGCTCGTGTCTAGTTGCTCGTGCCCCTTTCTTTTCTCATATATCTCCATATCTTGTTCTCTTGCACTGGCTACCTATAAAATATAGAATAATTTTTAAAATTTGCACGTTCATGTATAAGTCTCAATCTAAATTATTTCCTAAGTATTTATCAGATATATTAATTGAACCTAAACGCCCCGGTTTACGATCGTCTTCTTCTTCTCGCTTTTTCTTAACTCGTGTTAAACACTCTTTTGCCTTACCAAATCTGCTTTTGCTTTTTCTGGTCCTTTTCTCTGGAACTCTCTACCTACTTCTCTGACTACTTCTCCATCACTTGCGAAGTTCAGAGCGGATCTCAAGACCCATCTGTTTTCAAAATTCATTGAGGAGCGCTGTTGAACATCGCGGAAATAGCGCTTTATAAGCTAATTGACTGACTGATTGATTGATTGATTGATTGATTCAAGTTTACTTTAAATTAAAATAAACCTAACGTGTTTTTTTAATTATCTTCCATTTATTCAATCTATGATATATTAGTCGCTAAAAAAAATCAGTCCAGCAAACTTGATAATGAGCAAATAAAAACGAACTTTTGTTTCGCCATCGTGCAAAACACTTCATTCCACTCAACTTTCCAGTCTTTGGCACACACGTTGACGTTTCTTTCACCATTCACGGTCAACAAGAGCTCCTTCCTACCAGTGAAATGAACTGCCAATGTAACAAAATTATTTCGGATTTTTGAGATTAGTAGTAGATTGAAAACCTTATCAATTTAAAATTTATACCAGCAACAGTTGGTTGTATAAATCAAAATCAGCATTTGGAATTTCATCTAAATTAAAGAAAAAATGAATAAAAAGGTAGCAACTGCACGATTGTTCGTCGTCTCCATCAGGGCATTGCTGCACTTGATCGCAGTACTGTTCATTCGGGATGCATCTCATTGTTTTGCCGTTACAACGGTATTCATCCTTTCCGCACTTACCTTTCATGGGTTTTTGGAAATTTTATAAATTAAAACATTTCAATCAAACCTGAAAGTTCCTTGGCTAACTAACTAACTAACTGACTAACTGACTGAATGACCGACTGACTGATTGACTGACTGACTGACTGACTGACTGACTAACTAACTAACTGACTGACTAACTGACTAACTAACTAAATTAGTTGGTTGAATTTATCAGAAATATAAAAAATGAGAATATAAACCGCAAACACTGGTTCCTTCGTCATCTCCCAGAGGGCAATCAAGCACCCTATCACAGAGGAACAACGTTGAGATGCACCTGGCGTCCATGCAACGGAACTCCTCTCCAATACAGGCTGGGTTCATTAATTAGTTTATTGAACGATTGATTACATTACACAATTGTCACTATATTCCCCATGGTTAAGTCGGAGATCCGTGCTCGTTGTTAGATGATTATTTCCTTAACATTTTTGTATATAATTGTCGTAAGGATTGTGTTCTATTCAAATTGTCAAAAATTTACTTTGACAGCCTGTTTTTAAAAACTTTGCAAACCTTCTACCCAGTACGGATCTCCGAATACTTTTGTCATCCCTATTTCAACATTTTATTTGAGAAAAACAAACTAGTGGTTTTGTTGCAAACCGCAATTATTATATTTTATTGACTTAAATTGGATTAAAAAACGCTGAGGCTGGTGCACTGACTGCAGTTGCTTTCATCGCTGTCGTCAGGACAGTCTTGGTAACGGTCACACATTTGGGAGGACTTCATGCACTTCTTTGTTATCTCGCAGTACTTGATCGTCCCAGGAGGGCAGTCTTTAAATGATTTGCAATATTTTCATTCATTATTTCAGTGTCCACAAAAGACGAAATAGCAAAAGTTTTTCTGACTAAAATGGGTAATAAAAAAACTGCTCACAGACAATTGCTAAACGTGGACAAATGTTATATTTGTAGAATAATACAAAAATTACAGAATTAATTATATTTCTTTCTGTACTAAATGTAGTGTTGGAAAATTGTATTATATTAATACATGGAAGGTGTTCACAAATCTTACACGCGTATCATTCTTATTTTCATGCTTCAACAGAAAACATCGGCGTCACGGAAGCGCTAATGTTCGCTTGTTTTGCAGCTTAACATGGCTTTTAAAAGTATTCGCGTCGGAATACCTCTCTGAGGTGATGAAGGACTACGAGAAACTTACAAACGTCTACATATATTTTTAAATAAAATTATTTTTATCATACAAAAACAATCAACTTGCCATTAAACATGGTGGCTCTACCGTATACTGGAAATGAAAATTTGAGATTCATTACTATAAAACGAACAATCATTTTATAAGACGATAACATTAGAAAGAAAGAGAACCTAAATGAATGATTCTTGATGACAGATTCAAAACACCGCTTGAGAGCTGATGCAGGACAAAGGAAGTTAGAAGTATGCATGCCGTGCTGAGGGCCGCCCATATAAAGATAATTAATTTTTTCCTGATTTGACTCTCATTTTCACTACTTACTCTGCCGATTCTGATTTAAAAATTAGTTTTTGAACTTTTTTCATTTTATACAAAAATAATAAAAATGTTTTAATCAATTCATTTCTAAGTGATAGTTTATGAGAGTAGAATAAATAAATAAATAGTTAAATTTACTTACCGCTGCGGATAAGAAGGAGGAAGATAAGGAGGTTCCTTGATAACTTCATCTTCGTTATTTTCATTCCTTGGCATCTTTTTTTAATCTTACAGTTTGATGTTGAGTTTTCACGGCAAAATTGTTTTCCTATCTTGACATGATTTGATGAAGTCTCGATGGAAAGCTTACAGTTCGTTTGGTCTTCGATTTTAGTGTATATGAGATGTAAAAACTTTCAATTCTGTTGCTTTGAACTGCATAACACTTTTATTTAAAATATCATGTGTTTATATATTGAAGTCTTTTGTAAATAAACAAAGAGCTTATATTCACTAATAAACATCCAACACGTCATGTTTGATAAGACTTGAAAAAGTGTATACGGTTTTCTATATAAGGATGATTTGATGAAAGACAATGAAGAATTACTACGCTTGACATTCTAAGTAATGAAAGGTTCAACACCGCGCAAAATGACCACACGTTGTATGATGACTGACTCACGGTGATATGTATTCCAACTCTACAATTATTCATTAATTATATTGTTTATCATCTGTTGCCTGTACATTTAAAACACTTTCCAATTTCATCTTAATTGCAAGCATGATACACTTTTGATTCCATCAAACATTATGTCCACACGTTAAAATAGCTTTGTTAAACATGGCAATTTTTGAGAGTTCAATTCAACACGGTATTTTGGGTTTTTTGATCTATAAAAATCGATATTAGCGTCGAGACATCTTATCTTGGTCACCTTTTTTTTATTTATGAACGCGCTATAACATGTAAAACATTTACAATAAAGCTTAGCAACAACGTTAATTTGCACGGGCATTATTTTATTTTTAGTCCAAAAAATTAATTATTTTCAACAGCTGAATTTATCCAGTGAAGATAAGAATGCACATTTGTGTCAACGCTGTTTTGGCAGTTTTTAGAATTTCTTGGTATCGACCCGAATCCTACAAAATATTATTTAGGATATTTATTTAATTTTTTGAACTGTAAAAAACAATATACAAAAATTAATAAATAAATAAATAATTTAATTAATTAATACAAAAAATTAAAACAAAGGCTTATACAGGCGACTTTAACCACTAGGTTACCATGTCGCCCACATGCATATAACTACATATATAATTTTTTCATAACCTTTCACCATCCTCCCCATATATAAATTTAATCTACCCTTACCATATATAAGACTATGAACACCAAAGATTGTCCATCTGTCCATTTTTTGGTATTTACAAGCAAATGGTCCGCCGCTATCTCCCTAACAAATTCAACTTTCAATAAATATTTATGTATTATAAAAAACATCATTTTTAAATATAATTAATACTATATTAATTATATTATACTGTGATTTCTTTCAAAGACATTCGCATTACAATACATTCACTGAACTGTACATATATTCGATGTGCTCATCCCGTCTTTTACTCCGATGCAAAAAACGTTTGAGAAGTTTTCTATGAATGGGTTGTCGTCGCACGCGTCTTTGATCGCCATGCGCTGCTGCAGTAAATGTGGAGACAATCTGTCTGGTTGAGTTGGTGTAATGTTCTTTTAATTTGGAAGTTGATTGCACGATCAAAATGTTTGGTGTGGTCTACTAAATTTCACGTTTTAATGTTGGAAATCGTTTTTGAAAAAATTTATACCCATCTAACACAAACCTATAACAGTACATAATATTGATACAATTTCAGAGTGAGGATTTGTATATTTGTCTCATACATATATATATAGATTTGTCTATATATTATTTTATTATTTTTAAAAACAATCCATATCAGATGTGACCTAACTTTTGTTTGTTTTCCCAAATCCAACGCTAACACAAACAGGATGCTCTGAATGCTTGTAAGGAGTGAGGGGCAGACAGATTGGTTGAACAATTTTAGAAAATTGTATTCGCCTGTTAGTTTTCAACAGCCCAATGTCGTTTAAAAACGTCGTGTGGATGTAGTTTCCGTAAACGATGATTTTTTCTAAAGTATATACCGACCAAGTCGAATCTTGCAAATGATTGGCGCCCACAAAAACGCGACATTGTTTAGGAAAAAATCTGACATGGCCGTTAGTAAGAGATATATAGATTTAAAAATAATTTTTGGTTATTCGAAATAAAAATTTATTACACATTACAGATGAATGAACAATTGATAATTAAGAATAGAATTGCACTTGTTATTCAGTTCCATGGAATGAGGTTGATGGAGGCAGTGGGCTGCTGTTAATAACCACCTGGAGTTGATGATGGATGCACCGCAGACCACCGAGCCACACACCAGCCTCACGTACCACGGATACTCACCTCTCTCTGTTTTCACTCCGTTTATTATGTAACCCTTTCCTGGCTTCTCTTTCATAAGATGCCTCCTTCCACAAGCTTGTTGTTTTAAAAATACAATCATGTCAGCGTTTCATTCAAATGAATGTTGGTTGCTGACTAAAATGGCGTCGAATGTGATCGACGCTAAAAAATCTACACATATGGTGATAAATGTTTTTTGTTCATTATAAATAGTTTCATATGATTTACAAATGTTTCGTACATTCTTGATGGCAGTGCAGTGCGACAACAAGGTCGTTTGGACAACTCCTGTTTAGCAATCTGTCAATAATCGTTTAAAGATATGTTAAATTCACCAAATGACAACTTGCTTTTATCAATACATCGGTCACATTCATGGAAGTATAAAATTGTAATTAAAACATTATTAATTTTATATTTGCACGAATTGATTAATATATCAATGTGACCAATCAAATCCATACATTTTTTCGATTGTATATGGCTTGTCTTTGAAATTCCTTTGTTTTTTGAACTTTAATCTCGCAATCGTACGAGGCGGTAATGCTTTGACATCAAACTTTATCAAACTCGTCCTAGAATTGGCATTGAAAATTTATTGTAAGAAGTTTTTAAAGAGTTAAACATTTTGCTCAAAAATATAAAATATAAAACATGAAGAGTACGCATAGTTAGCTTTGTTGCAAAACCATTCATCCCATTGCGAGTTCCAGTCCGACGAACAAATATTCAAACCATCTTGACCTCTCACAGAAATTTTTAACTCGTTTGATACCTTCACTTCAACTGCGATAAAAATTAATAAATGATTTCTGTTCAGTTCAAACGCTGACTACTGTGATGGGATGGAAGCACTTACCACAATTGTCTTCGTCATCTTCGTGCGGGCACTGCGTATGGTCATCGCATTTTTGTTCATAGGGAATGCAAATTAGAGGAAGACCCTTACATCTCAGCTCGTTCGTCGGACACTTACCTGAGATATTATAACAGTGAGTCGTAAGTTCGTACGTTGCAAACGACAATATAAAAAAAATCATGAACCGCATTTTGTCCATTCAGCATTATAATGTGATACATAATGTTGAGAGTTAGCGTAATTTGCCGACTGCTCAACACTCACTGCTTACCGCACACCTGGTCACTTTCATCGTCCTTCTCTGGGCAGTCGTGAATGCCATCGCACAAGAAGTCCATTGATATGCATCTGCCATTCCGACACTGATGCTCGTTGCTTTCACAAGCTTTGTACCATTTAAAGTTATTATTTAATCAAATTTAAATTAGTTTAATTGTTTTCGTGATATAATAAATTTTTAATTTAAAGAAAAGCAACAACAAAAAGGAGTTAATAAATTTGAGTACTGACCGCAGTTGACCTCATCACTATCATCTAGGCAGTCCTGATATCGATCGCAAACCTCCTCAACAGCCAGGCATTTTTTGCTGGCTGGACAGAAGAGTGCGGTGTTTGGCGGACAGTCTATATAGCATATATAATATTTAATGGCTTTCATTTATGAAGCGCATAGCCACATATTTGACGTTTGAACTTTATATTATCAATTTTCCCATGCCAGTATTTATCAAAAATAAATTATTATGACCATTTCTTATTATAACTGTTATAAAAATGTAAAAAAATTAGTTACCTTGTATATTTGACGGTTTACCAAAAACTGCAATAAAATAATTTTCATGATTTATGATCTTTTTACATTTATTTAAATCTATTTAGCATCAGACCACTCACCTTCATCATATAATCTGTTTGCATTCCACGTAAATGGGTGAAAAAGTAGATTAGTCAGAAAAGTAGATGCAATGATTACCGAACTGCAAAATAGGACAGAGAATGCCAAAGTCAAACCTTTTTTGCTTTTCCTTTCGTTGATTTGATTGCTGTCTATTGTCATTTTACTTTTGTAAAAAAAATTAACATTAACATCACAACTCCCTAAATAGGGTACTCATTACAAAGAGCTCGACAATTAAAGCGCAAACAAATGCAAACAGTTTCGGATCGCTTTCGTTCCAATCTCCCAGTAACCAAAATTGATGTTCAACATTAAACGACTATGGAAAATACAGGTAGGTATAGTATGGGCCTATACGTACATATAAGAAAAGCATAATAAGTAGAAAACCGGGAAGAAAACGTAACTTTGGATGAAATGCCGAGCAAACCGTTTGCATTGATTGATAAATTAAATTAAATCAACTTTAAATGCCTGCATCAATCACCTACTAATGTTCATGGCCAGTTTCTATTGCTGACATTTCATCGAATAATCATTTTCCTCATTTTCTCACAAAATTAAAATTGATTCAATTTGAAAAATTATTGCGTAAAAAATATTTTTTTACGCCACAGGGAATTAATTTGTTTACTTTAATTTGCAAACATTTTTATTGTGCATTTAAGATGATTTTTGTTATAAAAAACGTTTGTAAATATTAACGACGCCACTTAGTTTTGTATTTTATGAAGCTTAAAATTTAAAAGCAGCGAAAGTCATACGTTAAATTATTTAAATTATTATGTTATGGTTGATAAATTTTATAATCATACAAATGACATCGATAACATTCACACAAAGAGATTCATAAAAATTTTTGTTCTCAAAGATATTTAAAAACTTTGGCTTTCTTTAATTTAACAATTACGCTCTCTGGTAACATTTGTTGTTTTTGTGAGTATATATATGTTCTTTGGTAACATTTGTTGTTTTCGTGTGTATATATATATGTTCTCTTTCGTTCTCTACGGAACATTGATAAAAGTTGATATTGTTTTGTCGCACTTGATCGTATTTTGAATTCTTTCAAAAATGGCTGAACGCAGAAAACAAACTGTTGAGGACTTAAAGAATGTAGAATTTGAGAGCTCCGAAGACGTCGATGTCTTGCCGACGTTCGATATGATGGGACTCCGGCCTGAACTCGTTCGTGGGATTTATGCTTACGGTAGTTGTTCATGTTTTTATTTTATGTTTGTTTATTTATAAGTTTTATATATTATCCAATTTTGTAGTTTATTTATTTGATAGATAATCTGATAAATTATAAGTTTAGCCTTCTTATAATAATAATTATAATCTTATAATCAGTTTATTACTTTATTTATCTATCAAATAAAAATAAATAAACTACAAAATTGGATAATATATAAAATTATAAAATTTATTATATAATAAATATTTATATATAATATATATATAATATATATAATTTAAAATATATAAAGCCGCTAAAGCTATGTTTTGAGCACTCACTGCAAAATTAAGAATTGTGTGGTACATGACATGATAATGCTAAAGATATATTTGGGTCTGAGAGTTTCAAATTGCTACATTCCGTATCCTCTTTCAAAAGTATTTTTCCTTCACTATATTCATGGTACAATGGTACATTTACTATTAATATGGGAATCGAAAAAACAAGTTCCATGGACTTGCACTCTAAAAGTTTTTTGATTTGTTGTGTACCATACCATGCTTCTTGGCACAGGTGTGATGTTAGCATTGGGGCTAACACTAACAGTTTTAATAATAGGTTCAAGTGCAGCAACAACAGTGTTTAATTTTAAAAATTCTGGTGACTCGCTCAAATTTTTACCAGAGATTTATTAATTAATCTAAAAAAATTATTGTTGCAGTATTTAATTTATTTTTTATGTTTTTTTTTTATTTTTCAAAAGTAAAACATACTCTAATAGCATTTTAATAATTTAAAAAAAATCGACTGATCACTTAATTTTTTTATTTTTCACCACAATCACGACAGGATTTGAGAAACCTTCAGCAATTCAACAGCGAGCTATTAAGCCAATTGTCAAAGGAAGAGATGTCATTGCTCAGTAAGATATTTTTATTCAAAAAATAAGTTGAAATAATTACTTTTATTTGAATCTTTACATATATACTGATATTTTTATAAATGCGCAGGGCTCAGTCTGGCACTGGCAAAACAGCTACATTTTCCATAGCCATTCTTCAGAATATTGACACCCAGATTAGAGAAACCCAGGCTTTAGTGTTATCACCAACCAGAGAACTGGCTCAACAAATACAGAAAGTTTTGTTAGCACTGGGAGATTATATGAGTGTACAGTGCCATGCATGCATTGGTGGGACAAATGTTGGAGAAGATTTAAGAAAGTTAGACTATGGACAGCACGTTGTTTCTGGAACTCCAGGAAGAGTTTTTGGTTGGTTCTTAGTCTTATTTTTAAGATTTTTCAAATATTAAAATAAATTATTTAAAAAATTATTAATTTATTTTAATTTTCAGATATGATCAAAAGAAGAACACTGAGAACGAGATCCATCAAGCTGTTGGTTTTGGATGAAGCTGATGAGATGTTGAACAAAGGCTTCAAGGAGCAGATCTATGATGTGTACAGATACCTACCTCCTGCGATCCAGGTAGCCATCATATCAGCAACACTGCCTCACGAGATACTGGAAATGACCAGCAAGTTCATGAATGATCCAGTAAGAATACTGGTCAAACGGTTGGTCACCACTTGTCTATTATCAATTGTTTTCTTTATATAATTAATTTTTTTAATATTTTTTTCAGTGATGAGTTGACGTTGGAAGGCTTGAAACAATTCTTTGTGGCTGTTGAAAGAGAGGAATGGAAATTTGACACCCTATGTGATCTCTATGATACACTGACCATCACACAGGCTGTCATCTTTTGCAACACCAAAAGAAAGGTAACTCATTATTTTATTTAGTTAGTTAATCTCCGAGTTTGGTATTGGTTTTTAACTTGAATCGAATAATCAGCACTGCTTAACAAGTTACTAACTATGCTACACTGTTTAGGTGGACTGGCTGACTGAGAAGATGCGTGAAAACAACTTCACAGTGTCTGCTATGCATGGAGACATGCCACAGAAAGAGAGAGAGGCAATAATGCAGGAGTTCAGAACTGGTGCCAGGTAGGATTCTTCTTTTGATGCTAGCCTAATCTACACTTGGTCACATATATGTATACATTTAGATGCACACATTACATGCAACCTTCATTGATAATATTGCTCACTCTAACATTTTGCCAACCATTCTAGTCGCGTGTTGATAACAACTGATGTCTGGGCTCGAGGCATTGACGTGCAGCAGGTTTCGCTGGTCATCAATTATGATCTCCCTAACAACCGTGAGCTCTACATACACAGGTCTGTGATAAACTCATTTTTTAATTTATAAAAAAGTTGCAGGTAATAAAAATATATTATGCTAATATAATTTATTTTAAACAGGATTGGAAGATCAGGTAGATTTGGAAGGAAGGGTGTGTCCATCAACTTTGTGAAACACGATGACATCAGAATTTTAAGGGACATTGAACAGTACTACAGTACACAGATTGATGAAATGCCCATGAATGGTAACTATTTCTGATAATTCTTTGTTTCATTCATTTTGTTTCACTTATTTTATGATAATCTAACCCACAATTTAATATTATTTTCAACAGTTGCTGACCTTATCTAAGAGAAATCAAGAAAAGAAAATAACATTCTGAAACTGATTACTTTGCTTTGAATTTTTTTATGTTTTGTTGAAACTTTTAAATAAAGAAATAAATTCAATTTAGTCACTGTGTTTTGTTTAAAATTGACAAATAAAAGGCGGAATTGGACGCATTACATGTCGTCATCAGACTCATCATCAATGAAGCCTTGTAGAACGCCGTCTTCAAGAAATCTTTTGTACAGAGCCATAAATTTTATGATGAAAGCTTCTATGTGATAAATTTGCTTCTGGCCTGTCTGCATCCTGTGCTCGTAGAAGGCGGCCATCTGAATGACCTGCGATTTCAACTGGCCATCACAGTTCTGCAGTAATTCATTGAGCAAACCCTGGAATAAAGTTTACATTTGTAGATTAAACACTTTTGACATTTGTAAATTATTTTTCAGTAAAGTTGTTGATGAAGGTTAAAAAAACATTTCAATAAAATTGGGTTAGTTATGAAAGTTAAAATATTATAGCTAAAAATGTAATTTGAAGGTAAAGACGATTACTTTGATGATGATATCTCCTGGTATGCAGTGGGACATCAGTTCATAGATCCTGCTGCGAACTTCTGCAACTCTGTGAGTGTGGAGTAACAAGTGAAAGATGCTTCCAAAATATGTTGGAATTAAATAAGAACAACAACAATGCTAATTTCGGTAATTTGTTCTGAGTAGAGCAGGTTGCAAAAATCTTAATGAAAAAATTGTGGTACTTATTAGTAATGAAAACATTCTAAACTTTGAAATTACAAATTTTAATTACAAATAAAAAACCAGATAAGTGCAGCTTACAAACACAGCTCACCAAATTGGAGATATGAAATAAGCTTGAACAATAAGATGTGATACTGTTGTTGAAGATTTTTTCATAATAAATGAAAACTTTTTCATTTAATGCATTCCACTTTTTGAAACAGTCACTTATCTTAACATATATTTTGCTATGTACCGCAAACAATTTTTTAAAATCATTTTTGAAAAATTCTTCTATAAGCATACATAAAACATATATTTGAACTTTTGTATATATTAATAACGTCAACATACATCACATGTTAACATATTTGGAAAAAAATCTATCTGATTCATAGTTCTTGGTGTTAATGTCTGTTAATAATAAATTTAAAAGTAATTTGGACCTAATCAAGATAGACACATCAATCAAATGATCCAGGCGAAACAATTGTAATTCTTATTTTGTTTAATGGAAACATCAACCTTTTTGGGCTTTGCTGTTGGATGATCATGTTGGCAGTCTCCCTTAAGAAGACCTCCCAGTCTGGTTCAGTTATTTGCTGATCATTTGTGAATGGATATCGTTCGACTTTACAAACCTTTATGATTATTCATGCATGAAATAAAATATATAAATTTGAAAAAAAAACAAATGGATTGAAAATGGTAGAATATGGATGGCTAACTTCACAGATGAGCAGTGCTTTTCTCAAATTTCTGTTTGATTTTTCAGCAATTCTATTTGCTAATGATTCTGGTAGAATTAAATTTTCCTTTTTGCACGTTGCAATTAAGATTTCACTTATCTAGAAAATTGGTTAAAATATGAAACTAAAAACTGAAACTTAAAAGCTTATTCACAATCTTACATTTCAAAAATTATCTGTAAATACAATTGTTTTAAAAGTATTCAGTAATCATTCTGAACCTGCTGCATGGTGGGAGCGGGCACACAAACAGCAAGACATCGACTTCTTATAGCAGGAATAACTCGACTCGGAGAGTTACAGCAGAGTATGATTCTGCAGGTTGCCATGTATTTTTCCATTGTACGTCTCAAAGCGTGCTGGGCATCTTTCGTCAACTTGTCCGTATCATTTATCAGCACCACTGATTTTATTTAATAAGTGAGTAAATGAGAGTATTAAGAATTTTTACAATAAAAGTTGCACCTTTGAAATCTCTCTGTGAAGTCGTATCAAGCTGATTTGTTTGGGCAACTGATTTTAAAAGTTCCTGAATAACAACTCGATCATATATACCAACATCACTAGAAGAAAATTTCAAACAAGTATTTGATAATTATTTGACAATCTTCAAATTTTTAATAATTTAAGAAATACCTAGGGTTAACTTCTATGTGATAATTAGAAGCAATGGTGGAAAGTTCTAATTTTTTTTTTGAGGGAGTTGTAAATGATTGATGTTCTATCCTCAACTTTTCAATGCCATTGCCATAGAGAGCTCTCAACAAACACATGATTCTCGTCTTTTTACCAGCCCCTGGGGGCCCATACACCAACAAATGAGGAAAGTCACCAAGAGAAACCTTCAAATCATAAAAAATTTACATTTCAATTCCTTATCAAATTCCTTATTACTAAACCTTGTTTCAAAATAAAAATTAAAAGATTACAAATTTTTTCAAGCAAACTTTGTAGAACAATCTTAGATTACAGTCTATGTATGAGTATGAGTGACATTGATTAACATTAAATGATTATTTAAAAGAGTTAAGCTAAATATGTTTAGTTAGTTGGAAAGAGAGAAATTTTTTAAAAATGAACAATTGTTGAAGTGAACTTGTATCAAAAAGAAAAAAGAAAGATAAAAAAAATAGCCAGAGGACAAAATTATAAAACTTAAAAAAATGTTATCAAATGATTTATGAAGATTTTGAAAGTTAGTATGCTAAATAAAAATAATAAACTTGTGGACTAGTTTGATTTCCATGATTTTAGTTAGTGGCACTGAACTGCCAAACCAAAAGCAAAAAAAGATAATTCAATTTCAATCGGAATGTAATGATTATTACTCAGTTTTATTAGGTAATGTGAGTGTTGTTATCTTTTCAGTAATTAATTTGCACTCCATAAAATAATTGTAAACAAGTTTCAAGAGGTTTTATATTTAAAAATAATTAAAATTTAAATTAAAAATATTTTTAAATTTAATATAAAATATAAAAATAAATAAACAAAATATTATTAAAACAGAAGATGTCAATTTCTTACAAGTTGTTTCAATTTTTCAGCCTGTTCTTCATGATAATCCAGTTTGTTTAAAGAGGTAGGTCTGTACTTATCTACCCACAAACTCATTTCAAATCGTTTGTTTTAAGAAAATATGTCTCTTTTCCTTTATTAATTATTTAACTAGTCTTACTTAAACAGATTCCAGACTCGATTTTTATTTTGCTAAAATTTTGCTATCGCAACTACCGCGCTTGTTGTTTTGTTGAAAAGTGAAACTACCGGCAAACCAAATAAATTATCGTAAAAATTACAAAATTACATTTACAAAAATTACATTCACCATCTAGGAGCATAAATTCCACTGCTTCCTTTTAATAGAAGATATTATACCAATGAATGTTGTTGATTTCATTCTAGCTTTTTTTGCCAATTTTCTCCTGTCCAACATCTGCAACAAGGTATCAAGGGAACTTCTATCACGAATTTCGGAGTGAATGGGCATTTGTTGTTACAATCCTATCTACTTTTCATTGCTACCAATCTTTACGTGACTTGTAATCCGCGTCAACATTAGTTCTTTCTTATTTTGTGAAATGTTATGAATATTCAATATTTTTTTAGAAAAGTAATGGATATTCTCGTCCGTATAACTGTCAGCTTAGCAATTTGTTGAACGAATCAGTAAATATGTAAACATTGTAAACGTTTTAGTGTTTTTCAGGAAATCTGTTTCTTGACACATTATAGTTTTAAGACCAAAAAATGTATAAAATTGTGGAAACATGGAAAGTTAGTATCGAGAAAATAAATTTGAATGTCAAAAATAAAGAAAGAAAAAGCTTGAAGTTCTATTACACTCTTCCAAACTTTAGAAGAATCAATGACATGACACACAAACAAATGCGTTGTTTCAAACAACGTTGGTATATCGATACGTCCTTAACGAAGCATCACATCACATACAACGCACATGATAACTGATAGGTAGGAATCGTTTTGTCATAATGGAACCCGGTCACTATATAACAGGACCAGGCGATCTTAACCACTAGACCACTAGTTCATCCCGCCGCCAAAAAGACTAAAAACCAATAAAACGAAATGAAATACAAAATTGAAAAGACTAGCGAAGGTAAGAGACGGATAAATAATAAATGCGTAAAAGTTGACGCATTGCATTATTTTAAAATCATGGAAGAATGGAATTGCTAGAGGATCAAAACTATTATGTATCTCAGGTTTGTTGATGGTTTTGATCTATTACCACACAGTTTACTGGAATTGATGGAGATACATGATGGCATAAAGATTATTAATTGTATTTCAATAAAAACAAAATAAAAGTTTAATTTGGACATGTTTTTAAAATCCTGGATGACATGAAAATTTAAACTGTACTAATGAGGAAGAACAACTTGAAAAGTTGAAAGACCAGCCCAGATATGAACAAGTGACATTGAATAATGAACTGAACTGTGGTGAAAACGTTGAATTTAATAAAATTGGCCATCGATGGTAAACTATTTTGAAAACGGTCTCTTCAAGAAATTAAAGAGGATTGTTGATTGATTGAATGACTGATTGCACTCATTTTAGTTTATTGCAGTTAATTGCATTCTCATATTCATTAGACATAATGATCTTTGTGCTCGTTTTCCATATATAATTTTGGCATCTATAAGGATTTATAAAATTGTTTTAATATTTATGTTTGATACGATACTAACGAACAATTCCCTTCATCTGTGACGTTGACAATATTTTTAATTCAACAAGTTATATTTATTTTTGGACTATGAAAATAAATTGTTGCGTTGTTTGTGTCAGCACGTTTTTTCATAAAGTTTGTTAAATTGAAAACCAGACTTTAAGCCATGACATTTTATAACAGAAAAGCAACTATGTAAGATTTTATAAAAAAAACTTTTCTTCATTTTTTTGCTTTCTGTCTTTATTTTAAAATAAACTCAAATTATAAAACAAATTAAAATCGAGTTTAAATTTTCTCATTTTATAATAAAGTATTATAATTGTTGCTTAAAAATTCAAGCGTTTCCTTCTCGTACTCCAGCGGAACACTTGTTCAATATCGACGAGCTCTGATATTTTTTTGGACAATCGTTTCTACGCTGGCAATTTTGTTGGCAGCCGTTTCTGTCGATTTTATATCGCATTACGCAACACACGTACTCAGTAGAGCCGTCCACATTGGTAACTGCGATTTTGGTCCTATTGTTTCTTCAATTAAATATATTCAATAAAATCAAAAACTTTTTTTGCAGTTTTCAGCAAAGCCATGCTTTTCTACGGTTTCTCAAAGTTTCAACTTTTTAAACTTTAGTTACTATTTTTAAATTTTCAAAAACATTTTCTTCATGTAAACATATTTCGAAATGTTGCAGACTGTCCTGAAGGAACACCAATGTTCTGCCCGGAGAACAAGGAGTGCATCAGTGAGAAGCAGGTGTGCGACCGATTCCAGGACTGCCCCGACGACCGAGATGAAATTAACTGCAGTAAACATTTTTATATTTCAAATAAATTTTAGTTTATTTGTTTCAATTTTCCATACCTACGCATTCGTCATTAGTTAGGCGGATAAGCGTGCAAATATTTTTGTATTTCTTTTAACAAATTTCTGTAATACCTACTATTTGACCAGTTTTACAAATTTTTAAAAATGTCCATGAAATAAAAATCTTTTTGTAACCGGGAACACAACTTTTTTTTAATCATTTACTTCTATTCAAACCAGGCCGGAAATGTAAACATGAAAAGTGCAAAACTTCTTCAAAGTCCAGCTTTTATCATTCGAGATTCAATGAGAACTCCTTTGAGAATGAAAATAATTTCACATCGGCGTTACCAGAAATTAGTTACCAGACCTGCAGTCAGTGTGTCTGACGGCATCGGATGAAATTTTTATTATAATTTTCAACGAAAATAATGACATGATATGTCAAAAATTTGCCAACTAGAGTCATTAAAAAATAATACGAATTCAAAGACATACATCTTTTTGCGGCTTGCTCCAACGAAATCCAAGCTCATCTTGGAGTTAAACCTCTGACTAAATCTTTGACAAAATGTGACGGAAATGTTATAGTTACATTGTACAAGACAATACAATTATTAATACAACTGCATTATCATGAAAGTATGAAACAAATTTTAGAATCAAACACATTGCTTATTATTTCTGCTTTGGAAAAATGCTACTGAGTTTAAATATTTTATTTCAGAATGCATGAACGACACATTTCAATGTCGAAACGGCCGATGCATTTCAAATTTGTTCCTTTGCGATAGAAACGACGATTGTCCAGATGGCGAGGACGAGGATGTTCAGACTTGTGGTTAATTTTTATGTCACTTACCTCGTTGATTGTTTCTAATTTAAACACAACATTTCCAAACATTGTACTCATTTATTAGTTTATTGTTATTTTGAAAAATTTGATTCTGGCAGATGCTGGTTCTTATGTATCAATGCAAAATATAAAATATTCATGAACTTCGTACTGAATTGTAAATGTCATCGTGCACTTATCGACTAATTTATCACCGCAATCCTTTTTACCTTATTCAAACATATGTGTTATTATATACATACATACATATAATGCATGCTATAGCGCTTTGAATGTTTATTATTTACTATGCGGTCCGTGAAAAATGTATAAAGGTGAAAAGAGAGCATATTTGATATCCTGCCAATGTGGGACTAAACATTTTTCTAAAGGAGTGATATGTTTGAACACTCTTGGCGGCATAATTTCGTAACAGTTAAAGACGCCTGGTTCTGCTCTGCAGTACACGGTTCCACTACAAAAAGTTCCCCGCCTATCAGCGTGTGGGATGAGTGGTTTCACGCGTACGCTATATGCGTTTTTGAAATCTCATCTCTGAATATTATATGCTAAAGAATGATCTTCAACTTTTTTTGCTCGCGCCAACAGACCAACAGGGTGTTGGTTTTGATTGGTGGTCTACGAAAGTTAATGACGTGATTAGGACTAGAACATATTGTTTCAATGTCGATGCTGTTTATTTTCCTGGATTTGAAAAAAATTTTTGTAAATCCATTTTGAATTAAAAGTCACCGATCAGTTTGTTAAATTTTATTTTTTGTAGGCCCATGTCTAAATAACTATTATCGATGTTCTGGAAGCAAAGTGAAATGTTTAGAACCGCGAAAGCTCTGCGACGGAAAGAAACAATGTCTGGACGGCGGGGATGAAGAAGATTGTGGTCAATTTTTTTAAATTTGAATCAATAAATATTGTGTACTCAAATTCAAATGTTTAATTCAAATTTTTATTTAAAAAATACAAAACGCACTTGTATGTACAACGCGAACAAATATGAACAAAGGTAACGTGAAAGTGAAACGTGAACGTAAGAAACACAAAAGATAACACACGACCCAGTTAAAATGATTTTTAATACTTTTTAGTAAGATGTAGCAAGATAGAAATGTACAAACAAATTACGTTCTTCATTATGAAGAAAGAAAATATAAAAACCTCGGTAAATTAAAATTCAGAAATGGTTTGAGACAAGTCGCACCCCCTTTACGAAATATTGCAAACTAATGAGACATCGTCTATTCTGCATTATTATGATTTGAATCTTAATTGCAGTGAAAGTAACAGAAAACGATTTGTTGATGATCAAAGTCGGCGGAAGAGCGTGGACGCCCGTTTGTTTCGACAGCTGGAGCGAGGCTTTGAACATTCAATTCTGCGTTCTGGCCAAATTCAGGCATTTCAGACTTTTAAAACTTCGTTTCATTGTTTTACAGAGTGTATGATTCAAAGTTAGGAAATTAATTTAAATATTTTTATTGAATTTTTCAATTTGTTAACGGTTTTGAAAAGAAATGCAATCAAGTCAAAAGCCATACCAAACGAGTTTAATACGACAACGTTGCACGTTAGGAATTCTTCTGGAAAATCTTCCCTCTACAGTTTAAAACAAAAGTTTGTGTTAAAAACCTGTTATAATTATGAATTATATTTAATCATTTTTAGATTTTTCTAAACCGGGTCTTATTATCATAAATTCTGCAGTGATGAATGGTGTAGCAGCATCGTTGGATTGGAGTGCGCGCAAGACGGTAACAAATTAAATACTCTTCAAAATTAAATATTCTTATATTAAGGAAGCGATCAATTTCAAGAATGCGGTAAACAACCATTATTTGAGAAAAAACGACCGTACGTCATTTACGGCACCAGCGTCTCTAGAGGGGAGTTACCCTGGCAAGTTTACCTGAGGTGTCTTCATAAGAACTGTGGCGGAGTGCTCGTAAACAAGCGTTGGGTGATGACAGCAGCACATTGCGTATCTGAAGCAACGTAAGTTACTGCAAGCAAATGTTTCAACTATTTAGAAAAATTCATTTGAAAATCTATTTAAAAGTTAACAAAAATTTAGTATTCAACATTTCAAACTTCTCATTTAACAACTTGTTTGTTAAACTTATATAGAAAGAGTATGTCAGTGAAGGAGTGCATGGTACATCTGGGCTCCATCTACGTGCATGACAGCAACTGGGAAATATTCCGAGTTGAAAAGATAGTTCTGCACAAAAACTATTCTTCTTTCACTGCCTCAAACGACATAGCTCTCATTAAATTAGAGAGTGAAGTTCGTTACACTCATTACCTACAACCGATCTGTCTACCTACAACTCCGTCATCCATGGTCCTACAAGCTGTGTGCGTGGCCAGCGGTTTTGGAATAACTGAGAGAAGTTTTTCTAGTTTTTTTTTAAACAGTGATGAACTTCAATTTTGAAGCGTTACATTTTATTTGTCTAAATATATAGACATGCAGCCAGTGAGATTGCTAAAGACGAGAATGTCTATAATAGCTTGTCACAGTCGTCGCGATATCCTATGCATCAGCAGTTACGGCGAGCTTGGTGTGAAAGGAAATCCAAATATTTGTAGAGTAACAAAACTAGTTACTGAATAACTAATTTGTACAAACAACTTTGTGCACGAGCAGAGTATTAAACTTTGCAAATGTTTTCATTACAAAGGGTGACAGCGGAGGTCCATTCATCTGCAGGAACAAGTTCGATGGTCGGTGGACTCTTCATGGGATCAACAGTTTTGTTTCAGGTTGGATGTTAAACGAGATTTACATTGTTATTAATAAATTGTCCAACGGTTCTGCTACTAAGACACATCATTTTGAAATTAATGACTCAGGGGCTGGTAACACTGATACGTACGACATATGCCAGAATGGATTTGTTGTAAACGTCTATTATTTTATCGATTGGATTCACAGGACCATTAAAACTTATTACTGATCGTTTAGTTACCTACAAAGTTTCATTTTAATTCTCAGCCTAAATTGAAATTAAATTAATTAATTTATTACTTACAATGTTTTTCGTAGTTTAAGTTTTAGTTGTGATATATTTTGTTGATTACATATTCAAAACAACACGTATTAAAATAGTTTTGGCGAACATTAAATATATGTGTTAAAATTTAAAAATATCAAACATTGAATAAAAAAATTAATTTTAAAACATCCAATTTAGAACAAAAACGCATGAACATGATTTTAATTATATAAGAAAAAATTATGACTGATATCTTAAGAAGCCTTATACTCCGTCTTCCCACTTTTAAATAATTTGTTTCAACTTTTGGTTTCCAATTTTGAAACAAACACTAGTTTATAAAAATATAAATTTCTAACATTTGACATCTAACATCTTTACAGTATAATCATTCTCAATTGATTTAGTATACATTATATTAGCAATATTGAAAGTTAATCCTAAAATATTATCATATTAGTGTTTATTGTTCATAAATATCCCAAATTTTGAAGATATTCGCAAGGGCACAGAGCGGAGAAGTAAATACTCAGTTTGCATCATATGTCACCGTGCGTAAGTTAGGTATATCAGTGGCTTTCTAAAATTTGAAAAGTTTGCGATCGTAGTTTGTTCGTGTTTGTTTCTAAGTTTTCAACGCGCAATATCGGGAAAGGTAAAAAATTGTTCCAGCATTAATGTATATTTCTTTAGACCCCTTCCTAATAAGTAGATCAATTTCGGACTTGAACTGTTAACCTTCAGCCCAATTATCCAATATAACTCCATACCTACCGCTAGACTGAGTTGAGGGATGAATTTTGTAAACTGCAGGCTAAACTTTCTAATCTAACCTCGGTATCTCATTGAGCTTATTTTCGGAAATCAGTACTTAAATTATGATGTTGTGACTACACTCAGTACAGTGTGTCAATCTTTTGACGTTGGTAAATAGTTAAAGTGACTAAATGATTGCATCATATCGGAGTCGAGTGACAAATCTCGACACTAAATCCGGTTGCTTTTAGAGTTTTGACTTCAATTCATGCTCCAACAGTCTGGTTGTGGGAAGATGAAACGAATGCTGGTATCGTCAGCTATTCGTGAAACACCCGCCCCGCATTTAAATCTAAGGGACATACCATGCGATTCGTTAATGTTATTGGAAAGCTGGTTCGACTGAATTTCATTTACAAGTTTATTTTAATTTTCAAGTTTATATGGCACTCAATTATTTTTCATCTATTTTAATTTTCTGTTTTAAGTGTATGGTCAGTTTTCAGTAGCAAAAGAACTGGTTTGCAACCTGTACGCCTGTTATGATAATAAACTCGTTTACAAATTTTAGTCTTACGATGGTTCTTTATATCGTTATGATCGCGTTTGTCCATCATTTATTTAGTTACCATCTTCCATTCTATAAATTGCATGATGTTTTTTTCTTTAATATAATGTGTAGATTTCTCCAATGCGTTCACGAAGTTTAAAAATATATTTATTTAATTTTTTTCAGTTGGTATAAATTTTGAAACTACAAGGGAATAGTGGAAGTCCATTTGCTAGTCAAAGTTCCGGTGAGGACCACTGGACACTCACTGGATGGCATCCGCTGTTATGTTCCTGCTAAGGTTCATTAACTTTCCATCCGCGTTTTATTTTATTGGAGTATTTTTTTCATCAAACTAATTTTGAAACAGTCAGGAGCGGAATCCTCGAACCTGTCACATCTGACCTCTGCCGAAGTAGTTGAGCCGCAAAAGTTTTTTAGTTCCAACCGTGGATGGAAAATGAAAAATTAATGAATTGAAAAATTTCAATGGATATTTATAAAAATATTTTGTAAAAACAAAATCATGAAATTTTTAGTCAACGGAAATTCAGCCAAGTGGCCACAGAAGACAGAAGTTGTTTGTTGTTACTCGCAATGAACTACTTGAACAGTGGAATATTTGCCCATGAATAAACAAAAATCAATTTTATCTATGTTTTTATTAGCTGTATAAATATATTTACAATTTATTAATAATAATGTTTAATAATAAGTCATGCAAATATAATAGCAGTTTTTTTTATCAACATTTGACTTTTTGTAATCAGAAGGTTATTCTTTTTTTTAATGCTTACAGCCATATTCGATTATCAAATTACATTTTGACAAATTATTTGTCTTACTTTGTTATTTTGATTAAATCTGAAATACGAAAAATAATTTATTTGTGAATGAACGTAGCAGGCGGTTTGGGCGGGAGGATTTGCTCCTCAGAGATGCAGGGAATTTAAAAAACAGTTGAAAAAAAAACAAAAAATGTAATCGAATCCAATGAAGAATGTCAATATTATTAAATTATTATCAAAGTTTAAAAATAAAAAAAATAATTTATTTTCAAAATATTTAAAACACGACAAATATATCTACGACAAACAAACATGGCATACATTTAGATAAAATAGATTGACGATACTAAACTCTATGGCAAATTCACACAAATTCAGTTATTATAGTAACTGCTTTTATAACTTGTGGATTACTGTGTTCTATTATTTAATAAAATTTCAAATCGATGTCTATTAGAAACTCGATATTTTTAGGTAAAATTTAGGCATGAATTGTACCATTAATTAACCAACAAAAATAATTTGATAGGATGTCGTAGTTCAAATTTATATTTTCCTCTTGTTGCCAAAACCTCTCTATATTATTGCGTTTTTCATGTCAAATATCCAGCAAAAAACATTTTTGAACATTATAGTCAAATCAAAAATTAACGAGACAATGGTTCTAGAAGGGCTGATGAAACATTCCAAATGTCACACACGAAAATTATTCAGCTACATCAATTCTCAACACTATAATGGTTTGATAAATTTTTTCAAATCTATTCCATGCCATGACGTTTCCTGTTTATTTTAAAAATATTTACAAAACAACATAATTGCAACAATTGTTTTTGAAAAGCTTCGATTCAAAAAATAATTAAAAAATGAAATTGATGGAAAGCATCGCCAGTACAAAACCACAGCCGAGTGAAAAGGAAAGTAACGAACTGAACTTCGGCAGACGATCAAGGCCAGATAGAACGCGGCAGAGTGCAAGGACAGCTCGAACCACGAAAACCTTTTACAGCCTCTTTTTATCAGAAACCCCATTAGTGTAAGTTAATAAGCTTCATTATTTCAGGTCCGATAAAAGAAAAAAAATTAAATTGCTTACAACTGCGTTATTTCAATCTTTTTGATAACATAAACCATAAATTTTGCTCTTATCTATACTTTATTAAAAAATAAAATATATAAAATAATAATTTTAAAAAAATTGTAGCTGTTATCCGGAAGGAAGCACACTTTCTCAATCTTCCTACTTCCAAAGCCGAAAAGTATTAGCATTCCTCTGGGTTATGATCACCGTCTTCATCATCCTAAGTTTGACCAAATTTGTCGAATTCATTTCAGTTTACCCATTACGATCAGTAAATAGAGCGATGCTTTTAGGTTTATCATTTGTTTTAAAAATAAACAGTCGAATATTTCCAAACTATTATTATGTAGATGAGATGTGAATGACAGCGCGCACCAACCGTGCATTCGATGACTTCTTTAATTTTTTATTATGTTTATGTAATTGGTTGTAAAGTTTTGTATTTTCATTGATATATACACAAATCTCCTACTTAAATATTTATATTAAGATCAATTTTATATAAAAGAATCAAGTACATTTTTTTCTATGTTGTGGTTAAATAAACACCTCGACACCTAATAATTATAATTTCGATTTGAATGTATGCAATCTAATAAATTAGATTATATAATAAATTTTTTGATAAATTAATTTCAAACGAACTGAACACATGTTACAGTTTTTAGCAAGGCAACAATCCTGGACGGTAATAATTATGAACGTTTGTTAAATTGGCACAGACCGTACCTAAATTGTGAAATAATACGCTGACAGATTGTCCGGTTGGGACGCCAATGTACTGCCCTGAAAATAAACTTTGTATAAGATACAGCCAGTTATGTGATCGATACCAAGACTGTCCAGACGATAGAGATGAACATAATTGTAGTCAGTTGTTTTTTTTTTCATTTGTTTATCCAATTTTTGAAATGTTGAAGTTTGAAAATTAAAATAAATGCTTCAGCTTGCAATCAAGCAGATCATCATTGTGAGAATGGAAGATGCATATCGTCAATGTACCTGTGCGATGGTAAGCAGGACTGTCCCTTGGGAGACGACGAGAACGCTAAGAACTGTGGTCAGTTTTCTAAAGATGTTTTTGAATAATGTTCACTGAATAAGCTTAAACAGCGTAATCGAAAATTTGTTAAAATTCAAGTATTTATTTTTTAAACTGTTTCTAATTGCAAAAATGTGTAGCCGATCGCAGCAAGCCGTTTATGCACTTGCTCTAAGTTTAAATTAAGTTAATATATCAGCGGCAAGAGATGAAAAAAGTTTAGTTAACAGTGCCTTGCTCTTTTATCCAATCACATCTGCAATCCATTGCGTAAATTTTAATGCTGCTGTTGCAGCTGCTGCCCTAAGTCCGCCACCAGCTTATTGGTTCAACCGAGGCTGTAGCCAGCTGGCAACCTGCGTAGGATTTTTCCAAAGGTCGGTTGTGTTGAGATGGGTACAGGATTGTTGATGCGATTGAAGCACATCATCTGATTGGAGATGGCAAAACGGACAAATGTTGTTGATGCTGTTGCTTTAATTTGATTTGTAGCTATTGAGGAGTCTTCTACGGCCGGACAGAAGTTGTGCAAGTAAGTCTTCTTCAATCGGATCTTGTTAGTGTTTGTTCGGACTGATTCATTGTAGGTGGAGAGAAGGCCATCCATCGAGTAAAACTATCGCTTCATCAGAATGAATGGAGTTTCTGACTGCCATTTTACGTAGTTGTTTGAACAAAATTTTTATGGAGGAATAGTTGATGTCTGAAGGTATCAATTAGTGGAGTGTGCTGTATTATTTTGAATGAAGTGTTTCTTTCATTTTATAAGGATGATGAGTTTGCGTTGTGATAACCAGCACGGTTGATGTTATAGCTTTTTTTTTATAAATATTGATCAGAAAGGAGGTCTGTGTGTTGTTGCCTGTTGTCTCTGGAGCAACGACCTTCTCGCAATGAAACCAATCAAAGCAACGAGAAAGAAAAGATTTTAACAACTTTTACGCTGGTGAAGAAGTTGTTGAAATATCTTTTTTCTCATCAACATTCTCATCTCTTTCGATAAACCGTTGTCCCTATGGATAGCACCATCCTATGGACAACACCTAAATTTTTGGCTGGTGTTTGCTACTGTTAAAAAACGCAATGTGCAAAACATAAACAATACTTAAAATATATAATACATATTTTTGTAAAAGGCATTGAAAAGTTGGTGTGATTTTTAAAGAGTCTGTACAAGGCATGCTATTCTTTGCAAAGACATTTGCATCACGTTTGTTTGAGAGATAATCGTAAGTTATAATATTTAAATGGTTGAAACACGCTGAGCTAATATAATCGCTAGAACAATTTAATATTGATGGGGAAAGGATAAGAATTTTCAAACATTTTCATTAAATCCACCGTGCAAATCTATCTTGCTATTGGTGGTTCTGATAAAATGACTGTTTAATGTGGCTATGTATTATTTCACACAATGTTTCACGTGTTGTATATAGTTGTAATTATGAAAAGGTTCGTCGTAGCTTAAACTAAAAAGTTAATTTGATGGTGAAAACATAGATATCATTTGCGTCTGAGTAGACTTCTAATGTTCAAGAGTCTAAACGAACTTATGATCTTCAGTAAGAAGAACATTAAATACAACACAACCAAGCAATAATATCAACATTGAGATGGAAGAAATTATATGCATATATTTCCACGTACATCACTCATCATATTGCATTTCAGTTCCTTGTCTAAACCACGGTTTCAGGTGCCCTGGAAAGCTGTCAATTTGTTTGCATGGGAGTAAGTTATGTGATGGCAGAAGAGATTGTCTGGACGGTAGTGATGAATTTAATTGTGGTTGGTATAAAATGATTTTAGTAATTTTTATTATTTTTCGTTTCAAAATATAAAAGTTCGTAGGTTGTTTTGAAACTGCTCCCGCTGAACCACCATGGTCATCATGATCTTCATCTATCGAAGCCGCGCGCACTGTTTACAGATACACTCATCAATAACATATTACCAAATAACTAACAAAATCACTTGTTCGTCTTTTATTTTTATAGTTTCTTTTTTTAAATGGCGAATAGAAGGAAATATGTTTAGGTATATATATCCAGCAGGTCATGAGAGAAAAAAAATAAATAGATTTTTTTTTACGACGCAATAGATAACAAAGTCTTTTCAAAATTAAACAGTAAAGCATTCACCATCAAACCAAAAACAAAAACTGTTTAACACCATAATGTACTTTGTAAACCTGAAAATGGAATATAACTGCTTAAACTTGCAAATAGAACATTACAGCGTAAATATTTTATCAATTTCATTTATTATGAAAAACTGCTGAACACAACGCTCACGACGATATTTTTCGGATAGTTTTCTTATTTAAAAAAATGTTTGTCCCCGGAAAGCAGCTTCTTCCAATCAACATGGCGTAGTCTCCAAAAGTTCTGGTTCCATCACTGACTACGTTCATTTTCTAGAATCTTTTTTGCCGTCTTCAACTTCAGTCGTTCTCTTTTCTAACTCAATACTTGTCCCAATGTTGATGCGACAATAAGCGAATTTAATACATTATTTTAATTTGCATTTACTTGAGCTTTCACAAATAACGAAAAAATTTTTTTTATAAACACAGTTAATAATTTTTATAACTACATTTGCTAATGTTTTTACTATTTGATTTTGATAAATAGAATTGAAAATAATTTTTTAATTATTATTTAAAGTAAAAGTTTCAAATGGAGGCACGTTGTTGTTAAAGGCTGATGACAAAACATGGGAGCCTGTATGTTCAGACGACTGGAAAGATGCTTGGGTGTCTCATTTTTGCGTCCTTTCCAATTTTAGGTTCCATTCTGATATGGACGTAATTTGCCTCAGTTCATTCTGTCAAACATTATAATTTAATTTCAGAAAGGGCTTAAAACACACTGTCCAGCCGAACACCAACAAAAGTATGGGCTTTGTCATTAAAGTCGATATTGATGATACAGATACGATATACACAATAAGCAGACGGTAATTTAATTTCACGGTTGTCAAGTGTAAGTCATTGACACTATGGAATAAGTAGTAACGTCGCTTATTTAAGTCGAAAGTTTTGTAACTTTTGCAACATGTAATTAAAATTATTATTTTTGCTTGCAACAAAATACAGCGACGTGGTCTGCAGTGGGTTGGTCGTTTTGCATTGTTTGGATGAAGGTAATTTTAAAAATTTTCAATCTAAAACTTCAGTAACGTACTTCATTGTTTCAACACGCCAGATTGTGGCAGACGACCCCACGTGAACAAATCTTCTCAGTATATCATATATGGTGCAGCAGTTTTACGGGGAGAGTTACCTTGGCAAGCCTACATGATGTGCCCGTTCACCTCATGTGGAGCTGTTCTGATTAAAGATCAGTGGATCATGACTGCAGCACATTGCTTCAAAAATTTGTGAGTTGACTCTGTTCATCAAAATTATAATTTAACGTTCTCAATTATTAAATGAGATATTTAACTAAAAATATTACATAATTGACGTGCTGCTAAACATTTCCAGTAACGAATTTTTGTTGTTCTCAGAAATAATCGCTGGGTTCGCAAGTTATTTAAATCTGCTTTTGCGATGTTGCAAACACCAGCAAGCGGAACGCATACAATTCGCATCGTGAGCTTGACCATTTAACAGGCAAAGATCAGTGCAGTACCCTAGACACCTTAAAATAATTAATTCATTTAAAATGTCTATGCGTTGTAGATAGCGATATATATGCTCAACCGATCTTAACGGTGAAGTTAATTGCACGTTTTTCTTGAATTACTTATTGAAAATCTATGAACATTTGTATAAATGTCCGGTAAACTTAATTTTAGCACAGAAACTAAAGCAAGAATAGCTGAATGCACAATCCATCTTGGCTCCGTTTATAAATTTGACGACAGCTGGGAAAGGTTTACAATAGAGACTGTTTTCCTTCACAAAGACAATGATCGTTCAAGTTTGTTAAACGACATTGCTCTCGTAAAACTGAGAAAGAAAGTAAGATTCTCCCACTACATCCAGCCCATCTGCCTTCCACGTGCTTCAACGTCCACCGTTCTTAACAACCTTTGCATCAGCAGTGGTTTTGGATACACTTTAAAAAGTTCAATTTAAAAAAAAAATTTGTAAACCTAGTTTTTTTCAAAATAATTGATAAAAATTTTAATTTACTTTATTTTTAATGATTTTTTGATGATAAAGTAGTTTTATCATTGAGAAGGTAATTTTTTTAATGCAATTTATTAAATTGAATATTTTGAAAATGTTAAAATAGCATTAACTAATAAAAAGTAACTAACTTCTCAGATGTTGGTTCAAACAGAATGTTGAAGATTAGAATGTCTATACTGCAGTGCAACGAACGCTGGGATGTCATATGCATAGGAGCCTATGAAAATTTAATCGTGCAGGGTATTTCTAACATCTGCAAAGTTAAAATCTTCAACTGCATAATAAAATAAAATGAAAATAAAATAAAATAAAGTTTAATAAATTGCCGGATGTAAACAATGATTAAATTATTGAAATTTGACTCTAAATTTCATTCAATTTACCTTCGTGCCTTTTGAAGGTCTCCATTTTGGTAATGCCTTTTAATAATTTTTTAAATAAATGAACCCTCCGGTTATATCCACACCGACTTTTTCCTGTTAGATCAAGAAGAACTGTGAAAGTTTTAAAATGTGAACGCAATCTTCAAAAAAATGCAATTTTTTGAAAACCTACGAAAAGCAAAAATTTCCCTGAATCAATTGAACCAAACATGATCATCATTTCACGTCTAAGTTTACTTTAAAAAAAAGAACGCAAAGGATTTTAAACTATCGCTCTCTACATTTTTTCGGATAATTTTGTTTTAAAATCTAAAAATTTCACTAAATACAAATTTATCATTGAGTATCTCAAGAGAAAAAGTCAAGAATTTAATTAGAGCACTAAAATTTGATCAGGATTTAATAATAAATCACATTGTGTGTAGAAAATGAAAATGTGTTTAGGAGACATACATTCCAACAAACATCCACCATTTTAATATTTCTCCGATTTTGTATCATCAGGGAGACAGTGGAGGTCCATTTTCTTGTAAAAGTGTAACAGAAGATCGATGGACACTCTATGGCATACACAGCTACGTGGCTGGTAGGACTCTTCAAATTTTCAGTTCGGTGATTTTCAGTAATTGAGATGGATTTTATTTAACAGCACCATTTTCGGCCAAGCCTGGGACATCTGAAATGTGCCAAAGCAGTTACGCCGTCAACGTCTTCTATTTCAGGCAGTGGATTGATGAAATTTTACAAGATAATAATTAATATTGTTTTATAAATTAATAATCAGTTAATATTGGTTCACAAATAATTACATAAATAATATTTATTCGACACTATAAAAAAAATCATGAAATTTGAAAAAAATATTGTCTAGATGAAAAAATGTGACATGCAACATTTTATAAACTGGCATATATCGATAGTTAGAATATAAAGACCAGTTTCGCTTTAATTTTCACTCGTTTACTATATCAAAAAAATGTTTCAACAGAAAATATTTTATTTTAAGTTATGACATTCAAAAATGTATAATCAGTTTTGTACATTTTATTAAAATTGATGAATGGAAAATTGATTTAAAATTTTGAGTTTTGAGATTAAAGAGTAATATTATTGTTAAGAATTTTTAATAAAGACTTTCAAATGTATGCGTTTCAATTTGATGGTGTTTAAAACGAAAATGCATAAAAACTTAAATAGCAACATCTATTTTGTGAGCAAATTGAACATGGTATTAAAATTGAGTCAATATCCTACACTCAATCAACCAGGATTTGAAAAAACACAACTAGGCATAAACATGCGAGCAAACGATTAGGTGTAAACATTTGGAAAAAAACAACCCAATAAAAACTTTAATACACACCAAACTCTGTACCATAAAATTCTTTTCTACATTTTGACACAAACAACCGTTAGGAAAACATGCGATGCTCTGGACCGGCTGCACGCACAAACGGTGACCACGAACGGGTTTTTTCAAAATCACTCAAAGAAGCACTCAAGTTGATAAATTATATAATAGATTATTATATATATATATTATATATATATAATAATTTATATATATATATATATATAAATTCTACCGAATGTTTGGCGTTGACACATTAACGGTACGGTACGGTAAACGGTAGAATTTATAGAATATTGTAAAAATTATGGTCTATTACCAACATATATATATATATATATATATATATAAATTCTACCGAATGTTTGGCGTTGACACATTAACGGTACGGTACGGTAAACGGTAGAATTTATAGAATATTGTAAAAATTATGGTCTATTACCAACATATATATATATATATATATATATATATATATATATATATATATATATATATATATATATATAATTATATATAATTGCCTATATTTATTTAGGCAATTATTGATAAAAATCACAGCATGTTCGGCGTTAGTTAATTACATGTTTAACTTTTCGATTTTTTTAACGGTTGATCGTAAATCATTCTCAAGTTTCTTGAGTTCAAAACCAAAATTTTTGTTTTTGGTTATTATTGTTATTATCGTTATTAATATCCTTATTATTATTACTATTATTATTATTACTATCTTTATTATTATTATTATTATTATTGTTGTTGTTGTTGTTGTTATTATTATTAAGAATTAGCAATTTAATCAATTAAATTTGGATCTACCGTGGGACAAATGATGAATCTCTTCTGACGATTGTCTGCCAGCAAAAAACGATGATCTCTTCTGTAAATTTCAATAATTCAAAACCTGAAAACTTCAAAGAACAAAAGAAAGCTAAAATCAGAGAAGAACATAAGAAAAGCAAATGAGAAACCAAACAAAACATGTGAACAAGAAGGCAAACAAGAAGGGGAAAAAAGAAGGGGTTTCTATTTTAACGGGCGAGGTAATTATGGTCTCTGCCCTCCTCACTGCTTCATTTCGAAAATTAATAAGTAAATGATGAATGGTAAATGATGAATGAATGATAATGATAAATTGAATCAATCAAAAACTCAGTTTTTATCGGTTGGCACAGCAATTGGAAAAAATTAACATTGAGTCTATCAGACTTGGTGACTCTGACATCGGCACGCAACCTGGGATTTGTTTTTGATAATAACATGTCTTTTAACGTTCATGCTAGAACAATTTCGAAAGAATGCTCTAAAACATTTCGTAGGCTTTGGCGCATCAAACGATCCTTAAGCAAGCATACTTTCAATGTCTTGTTCAGTCTGTCTGGTATAAATATGTCTAGACTGCAGTCGATTCCAAATTGGGTTCAAGGCTTGTCGGTCTAAAATACGATCACGTTAAGCCAATTCTTTTTGCTCTTCACTGGCTTCCGGTTAATCAAAGAGTTGTTTTCAAAGTATGTTTAACAGTTTAAAAATGCATTAAAGGAGTTTTCCCTAAATATTTAACTGATAGAGTCATTCCTGGAACAATGTCACTGCTGAATCAAACATTGCACTCCGACAATTCAGGTTTACTGTTTGTACCTGACACAAATTTAGCTTTTGGTCAAAGGAATTTTTCCGTAATGAATCCTGCTGTCTGGAATGGTTTGCCTAGGAACCTTCGCGATCCTGCGTTGTTTGTTATTCAGTTTTGTAAAAGGTTGACACACCATCTTTTTGTTCAAGCTTACCCGTGCTAATACCTTTTCTCTCTCCATTCATTGCATTGCTACTCAATGTACTGCAATTATCGTTAGCAACTCTGAGGTATTTTTAAACGACGCTTAAAGACGCACCATTAATAATAATAATAATAATAATAATAATAAATATATAGTGCTGAATATTTGGTCTACCGAGCCACTACAGAAATTTCTAAATTGTTCCTATTTATTCCTTTAGATAAAGTTTGTACTCTGTTTATTACATTATAACTAATTGTTTTAACAGATTTTTTTATGTATTCTCTAAAATATTTTTGAACTTCGAGTCCGTATGTGAAAAAACATTTAAGTTAAGAACAGTCCAAATGTCGTTATCATAATAAAAAAAATTTCTATGATGTTTATCCCATAATTGAATGATTGAAATAATCATTCATCGATTCCATGTTATGACGTTTTTATAAATTTTTAGAAATATTTACAAAACAACATCAATGCAACATTTTTTTTCAACATATTTTGAAAGATAAACAACAACAAAATATGACTGGTATAAAGAACTTAACCGACGACTCATCAATTTCAGACAATAGGACGTCGTTTCGTAAATCTTCATATGAATATGAGCATGCCTCAGATAGATATAGGCAAACTTCTCTAAAAGCTTCAGAGAGACATAGGCATATTCTTTCCAAAACATCACATGGACACAGGCGAACTTCTCTAAAAGCGTCAAGTTTGAGAACGGCGCGAACAAACAAAAGTTTTTACAGCTTTTTTTTAACCGAAACTCCTCTTGTGTGAGTTTATAATGTCATGTTTCTGTTCTGTTGTTATGTGCTTACGTATAACCAATTGAAATTATTATTAAATTCAAAATACTAGATGCTTCCCGGAAGGAAGCACCTTATCTCAATCATCTTATTTTCAACATCGAAAGAGGTTAGCATATTTTTGGGTCATCATCAGCGTCGGAGGCATCATTGCTTTGACCAAGATCGTTGAATTTATTTCGTTCTACCCGTTACGAACGATAAACAGAGCGATGCATTTAGGTTTGTACTTTTTTTTGCAACGAATGAAGTTTCAAAAAGTTTTAAAGTTTAAAAAAGTGCACCTGAATAAAATGTAAATTTGTTTACGATATTACGAAGGTTCATTTCATCCGCAATTACACAGTCATGTTGGACGATATCTTTTTCAAATGAACAATTATTATTTTCTTTTCATGAGATGTTTTTTTGATATGTTAAATAATTTTTTTTACAAAACTTTCAATAGCATAGATTAAGAAACTTGCAACTCCAATCGCTTTATTTTTATTCGGTGATATGTTTAATGAAAATGGGCTATCTCAAACCAAACCAAACGTCATCTCATTTCTCATTTCATCTCATTAAACTATTTAACGAAATGTCAATAAATTGGGCTCAACATTATCAACATCACAATTATTAATATAATAAATTTATTTTTTTAACTTTTTTTTTATTTTTTAACCCTCAACAGTTTTCAGCAAAGCGACAATGATAGGGGGTAATTTATACAATTTATTACACTAACATACACCACGCTTAAATTATGAAATAATATGCTGACAGATTGTCCGGTTGGAACGCCAATGTATTGTCCAGTTTTGAAACTATGTTTAAGATACAGCCAACTGTGCGATCGATACCAAGATTGTCCAGACGATAGAGACGAACAAAATTGTAGTCAGTTTGTTTTCATGTGTTCACTGTGAAAAATGTTGTAAGTTGAAACATAAATTTATTATTGCAGCTTGCGGTAAGGTAGAACACCAATGCATCAGTGGGAGGTGCATATCGAATATGTTTCTCTGCGACGGTAGGAAGGACTGCCCTCTGGGAGACGACGAAAGTGAAAAAAATTGTGGTGCCTTTTTTTTACGATTTTTCCTATTTGATGTCAAAGTTAATATTTTAATAACTGCATGATAAACAGTTATAACAGAGTTAAATTATTCTGCATTTAACAAAATTTAATACATTTGTCACAACATTTAACATTTAGCTTAAAATTTTTTTAATAGATGAACGTTTCAAAAATTGTGTTTTAATTGTTTTAAAGCTTGAGAATAATGATAATATGCAACGGTAGACAATATGTAATATATAGGGAGAAAGGTAGTTGTAACATCAGCGCAACTGTTATAATTGATATATTTTCAGTTTCTTGTCCCGAAAATCTGTTCAGATGTTCAGGAAAAATAACAATTTGTTTGGTTAGAGAGAAAATATGCGATGGTGCGAGAGACTGTTACGACGGCAGTGATGAGAAAAATTGCGGTTGGCGTTTCGTCGTATCACTTGCAACAACATTCATTTATTGCTTTAAGAGAAATTTTATTTTTTGAACAAATTAACGAAAATTAAAAAATGCTTGTCATTAAAATATCTTAAGAGTAATAAAATTGAAATCGTTTCTTTTATCATGTAGTTTTTTTATAAACAAAATAAACATAATACTGTTTATTTTTTTTTTTATAAAATTTAAGGAAATTTAAATATTTAATTATTTTGCAGTCAAAATTTTGAACGATAGCACCTTGATGCTAAAAGATAGAGATTCAACTTGGAGACCTGTATGCTCCACTGACTGGCAAGAGGGGTGGGTGGCTCATTTCTGTGTCCTTTCCAATTTCAGGTTTATCTGATGATGAAGCTTTATTTTGGTGATATCAGATTTATTTTTAAATTTGTTTCAGAACTGGCGGAGGTTTCACAATCAGGCATAACACGAACGCAACCATGGGTCTTGAGGTCAATGTCGATGTCCAGCACCTAATCACGATATATACAATCGTCAGACGGTCATTTTAATTATAACGCTTTGTGTTTGTTGAAAAAGATCGTTAATTTTAAATTGTGTCTATAACATAATACAGGAATGTGGTCTGCCAAGAAATAATTGCTCTGAGTTGTCTTGAGGAAGGTAAGACACAAAATCTTCTTTCATGCTTTTGTAACCTGCATCATTGTTTCAACACGCCAGATTGTGGCAGACGACCCCACGTGAACAAATCTTCTCAGTACATCATATATGGTGCAGCAGTTTCACGGGGAGAGTTACCTTGGCAGGTCTACATGTTGTGCTCGTTCACCTCATGTGGAGCTGTTCTGATTAAAGATCAGTGGATCATGACTGCAGCACATTGCTTCAAAAATTTGTGAGTTGAACTTGTATAAAAATATCTTTTTATCAGACTCCATCAATTCTTGTTTTCATTTTATTTAGGCGCAGTAAATGAAATAATTTGAGGTCCATGTAAATCGCCGTTTCATGTCATTTAACAAAGTGTTTGACTGGCTGCTCGTCAACCACATTCCAAACTTACCATGCTAAATTCTTACACGTCTGCTGAATTATTTTTTCCCCATATTAAGAAAGTGCTCTTCAGCTCGTTCTTTGATATTTTTACGTTGGTGGGTCCATACAAACTGGAGCAACATTTTTATGCTTTGCTTCACGAAATTTTTTTGCTTTAAAGTCTTGTAAGCTGTAGTATGTGTTAATTATTCTTCAACACTATGAACATCAACGTCAGTTTATAAGTTTACCACCGTCTTCGTCCTTGAACTAAAACTTGAACTCAACATAGTTAAATTTTTTAACTATGTTGAGTTCATTTTGAACTTCAAATCAATTGCTGCAACCTGGTTTGATTCATATCCCATTTATAATAATTCCTGTAACTTTCACTTTTTAAAGCTTTTTAATGGTACAGCTATTTTGTAATTCAAATATTGCAATTGTATGAGATAAAGGACCAAATTATTTGTTCTCGAACTGAACTCAACAATATACATTTTGATTATGTGTTGAACGTGCTCTGGCAAAGAAATTAAAAAGTTAACGCAGCTAAATAACATTTAGTCACGAAATTTGTTTAACTTTCCACTCAGTGAACTTATTTGATAAAAATATTAAATTTTAAAATTATCTGTACAAGAATTTTATATATTATTTGAATATGTTAGTAAACGTGTATTCAGCACAGAAACTCGGACAAAACTTCATGAATGCACCATTCATCTCGGCTCCATTTATAAATTCGACGAAAACTGGGAAAGAATGAAAATTGATAAAGTTTTTCTTCATGAAAAGCTTCCTGGCAATCATCTAGCAAACGATATCGCACTGGTAAAACTTAAAAGAAAAGTACGATTCACTCACTACATTCAGCCCATCTGCCTTCCTCGCGCTTCCGCCTCCACTGTTCTTCACAGCGTTTGCATCAGCAGTGGCTTTGGATACACTTTAAAATAAGCATTTTTATTTTAACATTTTGTTTAAATAATAAGAATAAAAACAATTCATCATATTCATAGAATTTCAGACGCTTTTTTAAAATTGGGTTGATTTTTAAAAATTAATAATGACATGAACCTACACATGGCAGTAAATAAAAACATTTAAAAACTTGCACAGATGCCGGTTCAGATAAAATGTTGAAGACCAGGATGACAGTTCTACCGTGTGCGGAGCATATTGACATACTATGCATTGGAGCTCACAAAAGTTTCATCAAAGAATTTCCTAACATTTGCAGAGTTAGATTTTTCAATAGTTTAAATATGACTTATTATTCATCAAATAGTTATAAAATATAAATTTTTTCAATCAAACAATCACCACAATCTCAACTTCATATTGAAATTTTGACAAACGGTTCACGACAGACGGTTGCCCTGCCTATATACTACTTATACAGACCGAGAGCTAAAAAATAAGATTTTTCCGGGTTTTTAGTCCTTTTGGCTATATATTTTTTTGTCATGAACGCGCCAGACAATTTTTTCATTCGTTTCTTTCTTTTATAAACATATCATTTTGAATTTACTTTGTGCTTCTTTTTGCAGGGGTTCAATAAGTTAAAAAACGTGTCTATCAAATAGTAATATATTGAATTATTAATGTTGCTTTCTTTGAAATGTTAATGAGTTATGTTCGAATTATAGATTTACTCATTCATTGAACGCCATTTTTTAACATAGTTCTACTCATAAGTCAATATAATAGTTTTTGAAAAATTTGAGCAAAATACTTCTTGTTTTTTGTTTGTCCACCCTTGAAAATAAATTAAAAATATTGAAAATAAATTAAAAATGCAAGTACTTACCACTGCATCCTGTTTATCAATAAAATACAAAAATATTGTGAGTTCGTTAGTTAACATCGTTTAATTTTATTTGCACTTGCAACCACAAGGGTGACAGCGGAGGTCCGTTTGCCTGTCAGAGTTTAACCGAAGACCGCTGGACAGTACATGGCATTCATAGCTATGTGGCTGGTAAGGTTTGCTTACACTCATAGTTCGATTTTTTTATTAAGAAATATTTTTCAATTGTAGCGATAGGACCAGTTACTCCAGAGACATCTGATGTATGTCAAAGTAGTTTTGCCGTCAAGGTGTTTTATTTCAAAACATGGATTGATAGAATTCTAAAAGAACACACATGACAAAGCATTTATTTGGCAAAACAACATTTTTTTAAAATGCGACCGAATCAACCAAATTATTTACCGGTACATTTACTAGGATTTTATTTACTAGGATTTTAGGATTTACTAGGACCAAATTATTTACCGGTACATTTACTAGGATTTTATATAATAAACCTCGGTTTCGAATAATTATTTACAACCAATATTTTGAAAAAAAACAGTTATGTCAATTATTATATATCAGGTTATTCATTTTTTGAATTTGTTCTAATTATATCAAAAACATTTCATTTCTAGATATAACAATATTTATTTAACAAAATATTTATTATATTGTAGACATTTTTAATTTCTTTATAATTGTTGCTGAAATAAACAAATTATCATCCTCAAAGTTCACAACCATTGAATTATAGATTCAAGTTAAAATGGAGTTGTTGGCTTGAATGTTGGCCAAAAAGTTGTTGCATTTTTATATTTTAGCTTTGACCACTCAGGACTACATGGTAGCATGGGGTGAAAAGCTATAGCCAACATTTCGCGGATCACCACGCGCATCAAATTAAATATTTTTCAAACATTTATTGTTGACCGCTGGTTGCATAAATCCATTATTTGAAAGTCACCCGAAAGTTATTATGAACATATATATATATATATATATATATATATATATATATATATATATATATATATATATATATATAATATACTCTAATGTATATATATTTTGGTAACAGACTGTTATTCTAATTATATGATCATGATACATATTTATAAAATTTTATGGTATTAGCTCTATGGTAGTTCAAATTAAAGCATGTGTTTATCGCGAACGATATTAGAATCATCAACATAAGGGCTGGTCACGATCTTTTTAGATTTCAACCGCAATAAATTTGCAAAGTTAATAAGTCGAAAAATAAGTAAATATTTAATTTATTTAGCAATCAGCTCTATTTGACGTATTTAGAATGTCAAACTTAAAAGTGAAAGCAAAGTGAGTGATATTTATTTGTCTTTTAATTTAATCTTTTAAAATTTAAAAAATAAAAACTTTCAAGTTTCAGTTGCTTTTTTCAGAAAGAATTTTTCTTTTATTAATTATGTAGTTATTTATTTATTTATGATTTATGACATTTGTGTGGTCAATAAAAATAAAATAAAGCAAAAACAATGGTCCAGTAACGCCTTTACTGTAACGGTAACCATAATTATATTCATATTAATTATTAATCATTAATTAATATGAATATTATTAAATTAATTAAATTAATGCAGTAATTTATGAAATCTACCGAATCTCTAGCGTTGGTACTTTGCTATTTACTCACAAAAAAATGGAACATTCGTTGATCACATTTATGACTTATGTTCACCTGTTAAGTTTCTTTGGTTGGTTCTAGATATTTTAGAATGCTGGTAAAAGACCATAATTAATGCAGTAACTTAAGAAATCTACCAAATTTTCCAATACTAAAAGTTCGGTAGATTTCATAAATTACTGCATATATATATATATATATAATATATATATATATATATATGCAATAATTTATGAAATCTACAGAATTCCTAGTGTTGGATAGTTTTTTATTACATTTCTTAATATTTCTAACCAAATTCTTGTTGTCATTATTTTATTAAAGTTACAATAATATATAGTTTTCCAATTCATTCTCGATTGTATAGGACCTATTTTGATTTTTCAGTCATTTTCAGCATTTGTTGTAGTTTATATACAGAATTTGTATAATCCAGCACTGGTTGCAGTTTATATAGGAAATTTGTATAACCCAGGCCTTTGTTCCTGTGATTTCCATTTATTGTTACTAGTTAATAATAACAATAAATGGAAATCACAGGAATATGTATCAATATAGATTTGGTACAGGATGAACATTTGATTTGGCATTTGTATTTGCCTACAAGTTACATTACATTCCAAATCTAAGAACAAAAGAACTGAAAACAATTGCAAAATTATAGCTTTTTTTTCATTTATATGGAGTACCTATTCGTTTCCAAACTTGTAGAGCAGGGTTTAGCATGTAATATATCTGCTATTGATGTTGCAAATAGCTATGATTTTGATTTCATGTTAGCATCTTTTTGATTGGATGACATTCAATTTCATTGTTAATATAACTGTCAATTTTTTGTAGTTATGCTCCTGTGAACAAGCTTGAGAAATTTTTCACAAATGGAAAAATTGAGGTGGTTATTCTTTATTTTTTTTAATGTTAACTAGTTGTTAATTACCAAAATGTTTAAATAGTAGTTTTAGTTATTGCTAGTTAGAAATTTTTTCATTTGAAATTTGTTAATTTAAGGTTTTCAAATTTCAATTTTTAAGTCTGATTTAATAGAGTTAATTTTTGATTAAAAATCATAATAATCTTCAGTTGATTTTGAATATTAAATTAAATACTTTTAAAGATAACGAAGGATGGAAATTACTTGTTGTGCGGCATGGAGAACCAGGTGAACGTTTTCAACGTATCCACTGGACTCACGGAATCTTTCTTCTCTCATGTACATCTTTTATACTTCATTTGTTTCATTTCTTTTCTAAATATTGTGTTTTTTGATAGAATGGTTTGTGAGTAGATAGATTGTAGAAAATAAAATGCATTTTGATAATTACATAAAATTATATATGTATTAAGACATAAAACCACGTTAACATTTAAATTCTGTTTGGAAAAATAATGCAAATGCCCTTTATTGTTACCATAGCATTCCAACTGTTTTCTATCTTTTATTCGGGTCTCAAGTGCAAATAGCAAGAGCTAGATTTTTAATACAAGTTTCATATCTAAAGTTTTAGTAAGAATTCTTGACTTCAAGGGCAGAAAATAATGTGTACAGTAAATGTATGTATCAACAGAATCGAAGCATACTTTTTCTTAAATTATTCCAAAAGTCAATTGTACTTGGACATGTTGTACATTTGTGCAGTCAAACATTTTAATCTTGTGATATGTGGCTGTTGAACTGCCTTGGCTGATTCTGTTTAAAATAACTGAGTTGAAATCTGGCTGGCTATATAAGATAATTTCCCATCCATTGAAAAGGATTGGCGTTATTTTTTTAACTGTCCTGACAAGACCAAAGTCTTGTTCATCAGTGATTCTATGCTGCTGTTCATTCATCTTTTGCATTCAGTAGAGAAATATTGGTTACTACAAAACATGTTAATCTGTTTAGCAGGCTGACTTAAATATGTTATAACTGTGTGAATAGAAAGATATTTAATAAGATTGTACAATGAATGACTTAGAGTTGTACGCTGTAATCTGATACTATGCATAGTACTGTTAAAGATAAAAGTAACGGTATGCTGTACTTGTACACTTTCAAGTATAAATGCGAGACATGTAAAAGTACATGGGTGTCAAGTGCAAGTCCTTGGAAATGGTACTTAAATACAACCACATCACTGTCCCATACAATTTATTTACTTTTGGAATTGTTATTATATAATATAATTAAATATATTTTTCCAATTTTATAAATGTTGTTTTTTGGTGGTATAATAATTTTGTTGTAATTGTAGGAAGATGATTCGTGCATCACTTGCTTCACGCTTAGTCCTGATAATGAGGTAAGAATTTCATTTGGAACATTTGTATATTTATATTCATATTTATATGCATGCTTTTATATATGTATATATATATATATGTGTGTGTGTGTGGGTGTGTGTGTGTGTGTGTGTACAATAAATATGGCAATACAATTTAAATATGTAATATATATTTATAGCACCTGGTCACATCAAATAAAGAATTCATACTCAGGCAATGGAATTTTAAGAGTCGAAGTCTTGTAAGGACGTGGAAGGTGAGCAGGGTTCACTATTTTAGATTAGTTAATAACTTAAAGTAAAGTAGCTCTATATTTGATTTAAAATAATGATTAATTTTTTTTGACAGTCTGACCATGTAGGACCTATCTCAACGATGGCTTTTGATTCAACATCAACCTTGTTGTGCACTGGCAGTGCTGATTCCTCTGCTAAAGTCTGGGACCTTGCTAAGAAATATTGCACCAACTACTTCAGGAAGCATTCTGGAGTTGTCAGGTTCTTAAACAAAAGTTATTTTTCTATCTTCTTTGTTCATTAGTTGTGGCTTCAGTCTGATAGGTAACTGATCTACTGTACATTTTTTTAGCCATTTGAATGGGGACTAATGATTTTTATCTATTTAAAAGAAGTCGTCTGCTTCATTAAGTTATATCATCAACCAAGAAAAATATTAAGCTTTCTATTTCTCATTGATTCTTTGTAGATGAATAATGTTACATTTTAATTTATGTAAGACATTGCTTATGTTATTATTGCTGAAGATGGTATTTAGCCCACTAACCAGAAAGTTATTTCGGATGATAATAAAATAATGTTGTTAATTTTTGTGTCTTGGTGAATGCCGACAGCCTTGTGAAGTTCAACGAGAATGACAGCTACCAGCTGGTAACCTGCAGTGACAACTACCATATAATGATGTGGGACCTGAGAACTCACGACTGTCTGAGGTCCCTTGAAGGTCACTTTAGTCTCGTCACCTCAGTTCAATTCTCACACGATTCCAACTTTTTATACAGGTTCGTAATTTTTCAGATTAATTATATTTTTAGTTTTCTTCCTTTGAAAAGATTTCTAGCTAACATCTATTTATATAAGTTGCTTGAGTAACATTCAAATTATTAATGTAATGACTGTAGTCAATAAAATCATTTAGTTTTTTATTATATATTTATTTATTAATTTTCATCTCAGTGATTTTATTTTTATAAAAAAATGATCAAGTTTTATATTTAGTACTCTTTGCATAAAAGATGTTTGAACTTAAAATGATTATACATATATTTGGCGATTGGAGTCTAAGTTTATATTGGAATATTCAATTAATATTTTCTCTTTCTTTTCATTTCAGTTCAAGTCGAGATAAAGTTCTTCTGATATGGAATCTGAAAGAAAAGTCAAAAAGAACCATCCCCATTTTTGAAGTGAGTTGTTGATTGGTATAATCACTTCATTGTGAATACCTGATTGAAAATAAAACCCGTAAATTTAGATTGAAGATGAAATGAATTAGAAATATTAATTTCTTCTTGCAGTCCATAGAGTCCCTTCTCCTTCTACCTGCTCTATCTAAAGAGTTGTCAGAGATTGCCTGTGTTGACGACAAGTCAGATGACCACTTTGCTGTTGTCGGGAGTGATGGTTGGTCTTTCTATATTTATATCACTAATTTGTGTGGACACACAAACATTCACTTTTTGACCATTTAATATTTTGCTACATTATGTTCATAAATGCTAGTTTATTTTTAAAGCTTATTGTCTTAGTTGATCCATATGGTAGCATGCTCTGTTATCATATCCAACAGATCAAATCAACTCATTGCACGATTAATACAGTGATATCTCCTGTAACATCTTGATATTTATCCAGCTAATTTGTCAGTATGGAATGCAAAGACTGGATTATGTGTAGCCTCAACCAAACAACAACAACAGGAGCTGACAAATAGTGACGAGACATCGTTGAAAACTGTTAGCAGCGATGAAACCGAGCAGTCTTCAGAAGGATATTCCCAGTTGTTCTTTGTGTCGGGAATGTTTGTTGTGGTGACCGTCGACCAGAACATCATGTTCATCAATGCATCCAACCTCTCTGTACATAAGCAAGTAGGTTCTTCATTCTTGTCACTGGTTTTTTTTAAATGTTTAGGAAAGATTAATTCAAGTTATCAAATTTTTGGGTGAGTCTTATTTGGTAGAAAGCATAATTTGATTTTATTATCATTATATTGAATAACCATTTAATGAAAGGCTTGGTAGTTTCATTTTTCACATTTTTACTTGCTAAACATTTGGTAATACTTTTCATGTTTCTTTTCTTTTGAGAAATGTTATCACGAGTTGATTTGATCTGTTGTATACAATATAACCAGATGCTTGGTGGCTTTTTCTATATGTTTTTGTATCTATAGTCTAATAAGTTCTATAAAATTACAAAAAACTAGCTGAAATATATTTTAATTTTGCATATCTTCCTGTAAAATTTTGAAATTATTTAAAGAGCTGTTTGATTTTTTAATGGCAGTTTGTAGGTAACAATGACCAAATTTTGGACATGAAGTTCATAGAAGCCAGTTCTTCAGCTGGCTCAAATGATGCTTCAAGTGTTGAGGAAAACAAATACCTCGTAGTTGCCAGTAACACAAGCAAGTTGAAACTGTACAACACGAAATGCTGGTCTTGTTCTCTTAATGCTGGCCATAGTGACATCATCGTATCCATGGACACTTTGAAAATATCCGGGAAGTATTATGTTGTCACTGGATCGAAGGTTTGTATCATTGGAAAATGTTCACTTCGAATAGTTTCTCAGTAGTTTCTAATATTTAAAGTTATTTTCATTAATTCATCTGTTCACATATGATATATAGATATCATGATACGTCCTACCTCGGGGCAACTGGGTCTCTGGACGCTAAACGAAGATTAATTGATTGATAAATATCATGAAATGATGCATGATACTTGATATTTCCACCACACAACAGGACAACACAGTAGGCGTATGGCAATTGCAGGAAGGGGATCCTCCACATCTGCAGTTCATCTGTCGAGGTGGAGGTCATCTTCACACTGTCACCTCTGTCGCACTCCTCAAACTCCTACCGAGTGAGAAGTTGGTGCCCTCTTATCAACGTGACAAAATTATTATCTCAGATTGAAAAATCATTTACTGTTTGACCGAAATGTTTTACGATACCATATTTAGATATTTTTTTGCATACAAGAAATGCATAGATTTTACATGATTTGGATTATATAATTAAGCTTTGTACAATATTCAGAAATGATTATTGATTGAATTAATAGTTACTACAATTAAAAAATGACATCAAGAACACAACCACGGCACATCTGCCATCCTACAGGCAATCTACTTCTCTAGCATTCTTCATTGTATCTGGCTCAAATGACAAAACTTTGAAACTTTGGAAGTTCAGTTCAGACAGCTCGAAGGTGAAGGCTAAACTGACCGTTGATGGTCACGAGAAAGATATCAATTCGGTCTGCGTGTCTCCTGACCAGAAGTTCATCGCATCTGGGTCGAAAGATCGAACTGCCAAGGTGGGTAGATTTCCTTCCTCCTCATTAAACGAAATATTCTTCATTATTAATTTCTGTTTTCTTTTATTTTTTCATTCATATTCGTATTTCATCTCAGATAGAGTTATGTTTGTTTATTAAAATAGGTTACTATTTCACTCGTTGCATGCATTATTTACGTTCGTTCAAAGACAACTATATTGGGTCTCGGGTTTATATTGATTTTAATTTAGCACTTTTTTTGTTGGTTTGCTATAATCAAGATTTCATTTATAAATGTTTTTAAAACTCAACACCACGACAATGGTTCAGCTGTGGAGTCGGTCTGGTTTAAACTTGCTGGGCAGCTTCAAGGGACACAAGAGAGGAGTCTGGTGTGTCCAGTTTTCCAACGTCGATAAGATCCTCGCCACATCTTCAGCTGATGCTACTATCAAACTCTGGGACATCTCCTCATTTGCATGCATCAAGGTCTGCACTTTCTCTTATGCTTCTCATTTTATTTTTGGAATTGCTAAACTGAACTGTAGGATAATTGAATGTTTTCGTACATTACAACATTTGGGATGTAGAAGGGATGATGGCAGAATAGCACTCTAATGGAAACTTGAAACCTCTATAACTAAAAATTAGTATTATGTCTATTATAGTGAACTGAAACTTCAAATGAATAATTATGTGTGGGAGATTATTTTCATTGTTACCAGAGTTGTAACATAGATATAGCGGTTCAACAAGTAAAACTAAGTAATGATTTTATGACCTAGATTTTTATTAGCCATTTATGGAAGAAATTAAAATTAATATTTTGTCTTTCTGTGATGTTCCACTGCTTTCAAAAGTTTATTCGCATAGCACTTATTGTAACATTAGCAATAAAAATACTAACATAATGAAAATGATGATAATTGATACGTTACAATATTGGCAATGTTTTATATTACTGATTTCCAGACATTTGAAGGTCACGAGAGTGCCATTTTGAAGGTCGCATTCATAAGTAGGGGAATGCAACTTCTGTCATGGTTAGCATTCTATGTTCTTTGCTTGCGTCACATCGTGTGGTGAACGTCGTGTGTGTTGAGTTATGTTTTGGTTTGTTGGTATTTCAAATTTTAGTGTCTCGTACTAAATTTTGCTGTACCTTTTGTAGATGTATGATGTAGATTGTGTGGTAGGTGCATGTATATCGCAATAGTTCATGAAATTCTGCAGTGGATCAGATGGACTGATGAAACTGTGGACAGTAAAAACGAATGAATGCGTGAAAACGATTGATGCCCATGACAACGTCGTGTGGGCCATGTGTACTGACCAATCAGGAGAGAGGGTGGCCACTGGGGCTGGTGATGGCTCCATAACTTATTGGAAGGTTTTCATCATTTAACGTTATTAAGATTTTATTGAATTCCAACCTCATTAATTTATATCAATTCATATTTCTTCTGTGTATAACTTGTGATTTGTAATAATTTCACTTAGTTTATTATATAAACCTTTATTTGCTTGTTGTATCGATTTAATGCTAGAACTATATATTGAAGGAATAAATTATTGAGATGAAGTGATAAAAATGTAGCTTTTTTTTCCCTCGCTCTACTCCGATTAACTTTAAAAAACAGACTTATTCGAAATTTTCACGCTCTATGACCGTTTAAAATATTTAATAAAAACTTTTTATTAACTGAGTGCATTACATACGCATAACTTTAGTCAGTCAGTCTGATATGAATTTGTTACTATTAAATATTAAAGATGGTATGATGGCCCCTTGATATTTCAATAAATTCGAAACTTTTTAAAGGACGTCACCGAAGATGAGAGGCAGGAAGCCTTCAACAAATCTCAAGAACTTACAATTAAGTTTGTACATTTCTTTAATTTTTCATTGCTAGATCTTTATTTATTTGAATTGCTTCTCATTTCAAGGTTTACACGTTGAAGGATGATCTATTAATGTTTTAGCTACGACGATGTTACCGAAATTGCCAATAGCCTCAGTTCACGTCGTTAATTTTTTTCCGTATCAATTGTTATTGTTTAGCCGACAACAAATTTTACGCTAAACTTTAGCGTAAAAATTGTTATCCTCGAAATTAAGATAGAAGCTGGCTGATTGATTTTTTAGTGACTACGATTAAGATTGAAATTTGTAAACAGTCGATAACATTATTTTTTTTTTGTCTTTTATAATTATTAATTAATAACTATTCAAATCAAATTGAACTTGAAGAGAGCAGGAACTGTCAAACTATCTTCAAGCCAAACAGTTTGGAAAGGCTCTTGCACTGGCAATAAGTCTTAACCAGCCAAACCGGACACTGGAAATTCTAAAAGGTTTACATTTTCTTTAATTTATTGATAATATAATCTCAGAATTTGAAGTTTTTTTACTTTCAGTTAGTATCAATTGATACTCATTTCGAATATTGCACCACACTTCAGGTTTGTTAAACAGTGAAGGCGACATAAAGAAGCATTTGGAAGGACTTGGAAACGTTCTAACAGGTGCGTGAATCGACAAATTAACATTTATGGTCGTTTTCATTTCACAGCTTTTTCTATATTTCTTATTTTAATTCTCAATTTCGGCAGACTGTTATTTGTTTGGTCATAATGATTTTCTCAACTTTCTTAACTGTCGAAAGCGGTTAATGTATATAATGTAAGTAGTTAACCTTGTTTAAAAATGTCTGCCTAATCGTGTGTAGGAAAAATTTTGTTAGCTAGTTTATGCAAGTTTATTAAATATGCTTACTTTTACGAGGAAAACATTTAAAAAAAATTTTCAGATCAACTCATAGCTTACACTATCGCATGGAATCAAAATTCAAAGAACTGTCTCGTGGCTCAGCATGTACTTAATTTTCTACTGCGTCATTACACACAATCGCAGTTGTTGCAGTTGAGCAACTCGAAAAAATTGGTCGAAGGAATGATTCCCTACACAGGCAAGTTTACGAAACATACAACAATTTGTATTTACTTGTATCCATAATTTAGTTGCTTGTCTTAGAATTAATAAAAGTGGAATTTATTATTTTATATATATATAATTTGTTTTGTAAACTTATTTATTTATCAAATCATTTAAACCATTTTTAACAAAATTTGTAGAAAGACACTTTGCTCGGGTAAAAAAGTTGCTCGTCAAATCAACTTTTGTAAATTATCTTTGTCAAGTCAACCGATTCAGCCAAGTTGTTAATAACAAGTTTGTGTCTTTTAGAAATATTTTTTTAAACAACTTTCGATTCTAAAAAAATTTTGAGCTAAATTTAAAAATTCATTTTGATATATGGAAATCATGTCGTTCACTGACTAATTTTTTTCTGCAGGCATGTTTCTGACGAAGTGGATGATGCAGACTCTGCACTCGAGATGGATTGTGAATGATGGGATGATAAGAAATATGATAATAATTTTTTAGTGAATGAGTGATAAGTGTAGTTAGTATTGAATGGATGGTTATATGTAAATAAGCAGTTTAGAATGTGGGCGGCAATTATGTAGAGTAATAATTGTTGAATCTTCTGATGTTTTGTGATATGATAATACAAACAATTGCTAATATTTATTTATACACGAATTTTTATTTTCCAAGATTCAAAACGTTTATAAAAAAATAACAATATACATAGCACAAGTGACATGAGTTCAAAAGATATTGTATAAAAATAGTAATTTTTAAAAATTACCTAGAAATCACAATGTAACACACGTACAAAACGACGAATGAACAAGCTTTGAATGCAGAAACACAGTAACATTGAACGGTTCCTACTCGATTGTCGTGTCTCCATCTATCGATAACGACCAACATATTCTTAAATATTTAAAATTTAATATTTCATCTATTAACAATGTTTTTTATTTAACCCAAAAATGGGGTTTTTCATCATATTATTTTTTAACACGTTCCATTCTAAATTTCGATAAAAGTTTGCTCAGCGGTAGCCTACAACTGATACGCTTTTTCAACATTTTATTTTTTTCTGCAATTAATTCTTCTCGAGTTTTTATTATTTCAGATTTAAATTGGTTTCCGTTAAGGTTGTCGTCATTGTCGTTCAATGCCTTCATATCGTGAAGCATGACGAGTCTTTTGTTCTGCGGTTTGACCATTGAATGGCGTTGCTTCTCAGCTGCGGTGGATCGTTGAATCACATTTTGTGTTGGTGACTTCGCATAGAGCGGAGGTTCTATGTTCTTAATGGCTTCTGAATATCGTCTATCAATATTTACTTCTTGAGAATAATTGTAACGGCTTTGAATGGGTGTATCTCGGGCTGAGGGTGGATTGTATGCGGTGTTAATTGGTCTGTTAGGTTCGTCCCTGCCTCTAGATCGACTTTCGCATAAATTATTCGTTTGTGTGGTGCAGTTTGCTGGAACATTCTCGTCTAAGGAGTAACTTTTTCGCTTGTTTTCAATCAACATGACTCTTCTGTCGACCAGCGTAGGCTTTTTGTGAGAAGCTGCTTGTGCTTCAGTGGGTCGAATATTTATTTGTCTCATTTTCGGATAATGTTCGGATTCGTAAGAAAAACTTTTTTGTTGTCCGAAAATGTTTCTTTTCTCGTCTAAATGAACTTGAAAATAACGGTGGTTCTCGTTTTGTTGAAAGCTAATTTTTCTCTGCTCCACCCAATTCCTATTTCTCTCCATCAGCCTCTCAAATTTTTCGTTAGCCACAGCCGAATCGACTTCAGGCAGTTTTCTGCGCCACTTGACAATTCCATCAGAAACCATTTGGCTTTCTTCTTGGCTCGTCATTCGGGTTGTTAGTAGTACATTCTCTTGCATCCTTTGAAAAATTTTAAATTGAATTTTACGTATATGGTGTTGTACAAATTTTTGTATATTTATTTATATTTACACATTTATTGATAGTAGCGTGGACAGTATTTCTCAGCGGCGTGAGGATGGCGGACTTAAAAATATGCATTCATGGTTATCATTTAACAACAAAATCATTGTGTTGGTGTGCATAGAATACAACTTAAAATTGTTACATCATTTAGAAATGTTTTTTGGGGCGATCTACACATACAAAAAACACATACGGTAAATTTACCCTGCTGGCCATTTTTGACGATAATAATTTTCTACTTGATTGACATAGGCAGATGAATTATCAATAACATCAGCGAGACGGTTGGAGCTTGGATGTGGATATTCACGCATCTGATATTTTTCATTCATTTGTATCTGCTGTGCCTGAGTTGGAACGGTTTGAGTAATTTTATGGCTAAGTTGAACATTCTGTCGGTTTGTGTTTGATCTCCTTTGCTCTATCATATCGTTATTTCTAATTTTTTCATTAATCTGGTTTTGATACTGGGCATCTTGTGTCGATTGAGTGGCTTGACACTGCTGAGTCTGTTGATCGTTAATTATTGGTGGGTCAGTTGCTTCTTTACTTGAATTTGATGAATCTTTTTCGTAAATTGGCTCTACTTCCATATCAGACTTTGCGAACTGTCGTAGTAACTTTGGATAACCGGTTAAGTTACGCATTTCTCGAGGTGGAATGTGGAATGGTTGGCTAGATGTTTGCAAATAGTAATCTTCGGTCGCCTCGCATGATTGGGACTTTTGATAAGAGTATTGCAATTTTTTATTTTCTGCAGCGTTCATAATGTTTTTGGTTTTGAGCATGACTGGTGACGTAACACCTGAGCGTATTGACTGTGAAACCTGCGTTTCAAATTCTTGCATTTCATTTTGATTTAAATAATCTCTTTTAACCCTGGACGAAACGGTCAACAACTGTTCACTCATTGAAGGCCTTTTAATATTTACTTGCTGCTTATTACTTGTTTCACACGATTGGCTACGTTGCGTGCAGTATTTCTGTCGTCTCATTGATGGCAACGCTTCGTTTTCTTGAGCTGGTTGATCGTTTTCGTAAGTGATGAATATTTCAACGGTCGGTTGTTGGGTTTTTGCAATGTGTGGCGACCGATTTGTAGGAGATCTTGAATAGTTAGAGCCGGACGAACTTACATCAAGGGACTGAACAAATTTATTAGCGTTTGAATAAGGACTGTGAGACATCATTGATAAAGGAGGATGTGCCATGTATCGATTTCGTGAAGTTTGCATTCGATATGTACTGCTTACGATGGGCTCAGATTGTTTGCGAAATTGGGCAGCTGGCTTGGGTTGCATGCTCGGCACATCGTATGAAAAACTCTTCTGTTGCGAAAAAGTTATTCTTTTTTCTCTTTCTAAATCTATTGCAGTAGAATTTCTGGATGATGGCGAAAGAACTGATTTCAACTTGTTTTCACTTTTCTTCATAGAAGTCACAGATCCATCGGGACTTTTATCTTTTAGTCTCATATTTTTTATTTCCTCGTTGCTTATTCGCAACCTTTCACTTGTTTGTTTCGATAATAAGTCAGTAGTTTTTAGTTGTTTTCGTTCTTTATATTTGGACAGCTGATTGTATGCCTGCAATAAATGATTTGGTGAAGTGACAAACGGTTCCCGAACTTCAAACGATTTGTTTTCGTTGCTCATCATAAATCTTTTGCGTTTGTCTCCAACATCTAATTGAGCGTTTGAGTAATAAGAACTATTTTCAGCACTCAAAACGGACCCAGAGCTGGCTGTATTAATGGAATTTCTTTGGTTGCCATGATCGTCAAAGCTGGAATCTAAAGAATGACTTTTGTTTTGGTTCGCGAAATGTTGCCTATTCAGTTTTAATTTTTTGCTGATTTCTGTTTGCGGCGACAATCTCATTACGTGCGATCTGTCGAAATTTTCCATCGGAGATAAGCGTGTTACTTTGGTGCTGGGACTTGATTGTTTTTGTTGGCTATATGGTGAAGATTGCGGTCGTTCATCACGTTGCAGTTGATCGTTTACCAATTTGAGCGATTGATTATAAGGTTTTTTTTGATGTTGAACAGGTTGAACAATTAATTTTTCTTTGTCTTGAACCATTTTATTTGGGTCATTGGGATCATTTGATTCGTACGACGATCCACTGTCCATTTGGAAAAAGGCAGGTAGTTTTATTTTATTAATCTGGTTTGCGTTATAATTTTTATTTCTGTTTGACGAAGGAACTATGATGAGAACTTTGTTGTTGTCATCTACGGGACTCCACATGCCAGATCTCCAGGAAAAGTCCGATGATTTACTTCGTTGCTTTTGTTTCAGCCAATTTTGCCGACGATCTATCGTTGACTCGTACTGAAGATTTGATTTCGGGGCGCAGTATGCAGGTGGCATTCTTTTATTTTTGAAACCTGAGTAGTTAAGTTAGAAAAGCTTTCAATAAATTGAATATTAAATGTCTAACGTTTTTTCATGCAATTATTTTTATTGCCGTATTATTACATAATTTTAATTCTTAACATTTTAAATAAAATATACTATATTATGTCATTCCGACAAAAATATGTCTGCCCTACTAAATAAAAATTGTTTTTAAATATTTGATTACGCAAATAATTCAAAGTTAACTTTTATTATAGAACACAGACTTTTACAATTTCTCGGCAATAAACAGTTATTGCACGTTTTGTTTGTAGCTGTTGAATTTAGTGAATTGTCGTGTAAATAATTTAGTTTTCAAAATAAAAGTGAAGATTGTTAAGTTATTGTGATTACATTTTTGTGTTGACTGGACAAAATTTTCTTGACAAAATTATTTTCTTTGTCAAATCAGAGCTTATCAGCCGGATGAATTTTTTGGTGACATTCAAACAAATTTGTTTGCATTAAATATATATCGTGCTATATAATATCTATTATGCTAATTGGTTCACGTTTATTTAAAAGTCCTAATCTTCTAATTAGAACATTGTCAAAAATTTGCCTTGAACGTTTTAATGAGTCAGAAATCAGAAATATGCCAAAGTACATTTTAAACCTTCTTCATGAGCAAAAGAGTAGTAATCGACATTTTGTTGCATTGTCGCCATTTGGGGGTAGGGACGATAGGGATGATAATGGCGAGGATGGTGCTGCTGCTGTGAATGATGAGGATGGGCTGAGAGAACTTGCTGGTGGGTTCGACGCCGTAGACTCCTCTGCTGGTTGTGGTAGAGTTCAGCGTCTGGATCGTCGTCGTCGTAGTCGCAGCAGATGAGGCTGTCGATGTTGTCGTCGTCGTCCTTGAATAGGTCGGCCTCTGTTTCTGTTGGAGAGATATCGCCGCACGAGTAACTCCTCTGCTGCATAAAGGAAACCCTTTTCACTTCACCTGATCAATTTTGTTCAGAAAATCTTGGATTTTTAAATGATATCATTTTTTTATGAGTGTTTATATGTAACCTTTGACAACAAATTAGATTTATATATTATTAGTATGATTGATATTAATACCATCATTTAGTTATTGTTTTCCTATAAAGGTACATTAAAATTTTACAGTTAATTAACTTTGAAATTATTTCTCATATAGTTCCATCATCTTTCAAAATGTTATTGAATTGAAATTCAGCCATAACAAGATTCACAACCCATTTCAAGCGCAACTAAAATATGACATGCACAAAATTTTTAAACCAATCCAATGAAATTAAATTATTTCCACGTGAAAACTTCTTATATAAAGTATATTTCATAATTACATGAAATGCCAAGTGTTTCAGCAAAGCAGAAAGACTCCAGGGCAAGTGTGTTTGTGTGTGTGCTCGTTTTTTTATTTCAAGTGCAAAAGTTTCAGTGGCTAAAGAAGAACTTTGTTTGTATCGTTAAAAAAAAAATTCTTGAAGTTGAAAAATTTACATTAAAGCACAAAAATGTTACGACATTTTGTAAATAAATAATTAACGTGAACCCAGTGCGTTGCATACATCAAACAATTTGACGTATTAGAACTATCAATACAACATTCATCAAAATAATTGACAGATTAAAACTATCAACTTAACGTTTCAGTGTTACGCAAACAATAATATAAGCTGACTGGCGTTTCGTGCAGCCGAGGTAATTAAACACATTAGCGCTGAGAGAGAGTCTAATGTTTACACAGGGAGGGTCTACAGAACTATTTTTCCATTCAATAAACCATTAACCAAACACGAAACCAGGTTGCATTGGCATGAAAATTCAGTTAATAGCGATCGCATATATCTTTGCGTTTTTGTATGAATTTGTTCTAATGTATATTGCAGCATCGATTAGATGAAAATCTTTGTATAAATGTCCGCGGAGGTTTTGGTCATCATTATCGCTATCTGTAATGTTTTCTGCTACTTTTTCATGTTTACGGCTGCCTTCTTATTTACATTTTTGTGATAAAATATTTCATCTTACTTCAGTTCGATTTTTATAACCAATTAAAACTATTCATTCTGTTTTTTTAAACAAATCCCAAGTCTTTAATTTCTGTTTCATTATAAGTTAATGCCTATGAACGCATCTGTAAGTTTTGTCATTTACAGTACACACAGCATCACTCTAATCATCCTCATTACCATCCTCATCATTTTCTTTCTCCTCATCGTCGTCATCATTATCCTTATATATTAAAACAACCTCGGATTAAAGACTTAATGAACTTTCTGATAATGAGCGCAACTGAACAAGCTGAGGCACGGAGACTAAATTACTTGCTGCACCTGCATACATTCTAAATTCTGAACATGTCATAAAATTTGGTTTCACATTCAACATTTTTATTTGCTTGCATGTGAATGCATAGATATATATATATATATTTATTATATATATTTATTATATAAATTTATATCCATGTATGAATGTTATAAATTCTAAATTAAACTTGAAAGTGCTTGACAAATTTCAAACTCAAGCTGATTTTGTTGGGTTATTTGAATTTTTTTAAATAATTTATTCTCGGTGTTTTTGTTTGTGAATTGTAAAATCAAGTGCATGGCTTTTAAATTTCAAAATATCTTATAAATTCATATCTTTTATATTGTTATTGTAGAGATTATTTCTGGGTTTTAAATGTTAAATGATGAAAGTGTTTACTGCAGTAGGGTAGGCACTATTTATCATTTAAATTTAATTTTTCGATTTATCAAGAATATCGGCTTAAATATTTTATCGATTGCAATGTTGATACACTTTTTAGTAAATGAATGAATAAGTGAATGAATTAATGAATAAATAAAGAAATGAGTGATTGTTAACTAATTAACTAATTAAAAATGGGGCTCAGTAATAAATTTAAAAGATATAAAAATTACGATAGGTCAACAACTTTCCCGTTTTTCCAAGCATATTTAATTTGTTTTACTCCATTTTTTATTCTGAAAATGAATAAAAACCTCCACTCCACCGTTGCCTCATGGCCATCAAACCTCTTACCCGTCCTTGATAGGGGTCGGCACGCTGAATTTTGATTCGTTCGATGAAATAAAAATTTACGATGGAATCATCAGCATCTCACTAACTGCATAACGAACATCAGTCTACTTTTATTTATATTTTGACTGATAGGTTGAAACTTTAATTTTATGAAAACCTTTGGAAGAAGTGTTCTACAAGGCTATAAAAATTTTCCTTATGTTGCTTACACAGAAACAAACAGGCGAGCTATTTTAAACTAAAACACAAAAATGAACAATCAACTAAATAAATAAATGAACCAACCCACCAAGGGACAAACTAAAGTGAAAAAATTAAAACCAAAAATAAAGAATTAGAACAATAAAACATCGATATAGACTTTATAAATAAAACCATAAACATGACAAAGATGAAAAAAGCGCGGGCCTGAGAAACGCCAAATCAAAAAGTAAAAAGTAGTCAAAAAACATAAATTCCTTATCAGCATTCTACGAATTGCCCTGAGAATCGCCCCGCAACTACACGGCACAGACTTCCATGTCGCTAAGGAAGGCCAGCTCAAACAGACAACGCATAATTCCGTATTGTTATAAATTTTCGATCTTTTTTGGTCGGGTACATTTATAAATGAAAGAATTAGTTTTAAAAAAAGAGCTAGTGTATTATTTTTGTTTAATTTTTTAAGACTTTTTTTCAGCAATGTTTTCTATGAATTATTGAAATTATTTTATTAATTATTTCAAATAAAACTGAAAAATGTGACAATGTAAAAACTTGAAATTTTTTAAAATTTCATTCTGTATACAGTGCACACTTATATACAGTGCACACCCACAAGTTTCACACGTGAGTGCCATAGATAACATCATGCGCACGCAGGATAATAAATATTAAGAAGAGTGGCCCATGTACTTAATGAATTTATTGGAGCACGCATCATACTGGCTCTGCAAAAAAGAATGTTAACAAATAACATTTAGAAATGATTGTTGTATATCACCTGGCATCTGCAGGTTGGCTATTTTATTTATTCCGAATGTCTTAGATGCAAGAAAAGTGAAAACAATAAATTTTTGCTCAACTTTTTTGATGAAATACTTCATTTAAAACATAAATATAAAACAGTGCATAAATAAGAAACAGAGCGTAAACATATGAGAAATATTTGCATGAATGCCATCATCAGACAAAACCTCTAAGAGCTGCATTTGTAAAGAATTCTGCAGTGATGCAACTGTGCAGTTAATAAATTCAGATAACTTGCATAAAATGTTTTTAATTGGAATGTACAATATTGCTATGCTTTGCTCAAATTTTTTCTCACTCGGAGCAAGGATAATATTTGTCCGACCATACAAAAAGTTTGTTAACAAGTTTTTATGTCGAATCTTTTCTGAAGAAACATTCAACCGTCGTTAGTATAGACAATTAATTTATAAATTATGTAAACTACATGTGTGTGATGCGTTTCTTCACGTGTATTTCAATACTTTGTCTGTTTATTGTCGATATCTTTGAGGAATACAAAGAAAAAACCGTAAGAAATACTAAGTACATCAATCTATTTATTAATTACACCAATTAAGGCGGTCTTCACATTGTCCGATGATTATTATTTGGCTGCTAACTTTTCCTATTTCCTGATATCTAAAAAATTCATGACACATGCCAAATTCACTAATGCGAAAGTTTAAAGCCGTTGGGAATGACAAACCAATGTAGAGTTAACAAAATATGACTTAGGTGAAAGGCACTTTCACCTGAAGTGTCTTCTCTCCCTTCCTTCTTTATATTTCTTTATGCTAAGAATCATTTGAAGATACATTTATTCTTGATTTAAGGCTAGAACATTTTTACACATAAGTAATTAATAGAGAGTAAATCGTTAGTTGATCAGATTGGGTAAACATTTACGTTTATATTATCTATTAAATAAGATTTAATCGGCACACATTTTGCTAATATTGAAAATAATCAAAATTTTCAAATGAATTCAATAATGCGAGTACGTACGTGTGAAGATTGCAGGCAACAAAATTTGAACTGGAAATCAAAAATGAAGTCACAACACAAGATAAATGTTTCCGTGCGTAACAACACGATATGAAAAAATTAGAGGGGATAAAATGACACAGGCACATTGCACAACGCTTCATTTATTCTATCATATTTTCTTGTTATCTTGCCTAAGCAAGAGTTAGGTTGCCGTCAAATATGAAAAACAATTTCACAGTTTTTATATTATGCCATGAAATAAATGCCATAAATATTTATCTGAATGTAAATTCTTCAACATTCTTGAAAGAAATAATGATTTCTTTGAAGGTTGATGTCGACTGAGTGGCCGAGAGAGGTATTAATTGTGTGCTGCTCTCAGCTTCAAATGTTTACGTAAATGTATATAGTTAATATTTGAAACAAGTAAATGTAATGATGAAAGAAGTTTACTAGTCTTTTTTTATAAAGAACAAACAAAATTATATTTTCTGTTTTACTTTAAAGATCATGTCAAAGAAGAAAATTTTTCAAAACCTAAGAAAGAAAGGCTTATGAATTTTGTTTCAAAGTAAAAAATTATTTTAAAAAAGTTTTATTTGTAATGCGATACAAAACATTAAAAGGAACATTATTTTAGAAAGAGAAACGAAACAATGACAGATATGGTAGATAAAAAAAAATAAACGATGCATCTTCAGTACATGTGCAAATGAAACATTTGAAGTTCGAGGCATTGAATGTTTCAGAAGGAGAAAAGCAAACAAACACAGGTGCCGATGGTCTGCGCACCCTTGCATATCATTCCTTGGAAACATCTTGTCTCTGTCATTTCCCACCGCGTGCAAATATGCTGTGTGTACAAAATGAAATATCAACGCGTTTAACGTATGCAAGCGTTACCTATTACATAAGACCAAATTTTAAAGATTATCCGCTTATTTCTATCAGAAAGGTAACAGCGCGAAGTAAGCATGAGATGCATAGGCAAGATGAGAACGTGCATCAATCTATATCTATCTATATATCTATATCTATGTATCTATTTGTCCGTCCGTCCGTCCAACAATCCATCCATCCATCCATCCATCCATCCATCCATCCATCCATCCATCCATCCATCCATCCATCCATCCATCCATCCATCCATCCATCCATCCATCCATCCATCCATCCATCCATCCATCCATCCATCCATCCATCCATCCATCCATCCATCCATCCATCCATCCATCCATCCATCCATCCATCCATCCATCCATCCATCCATCCATCCATCCATCCATCCATCCATCCATCTATCCATCCGCTCCTCTCATTGGTTGTAATTTTTTTGCAAAATTATGAATTCAATTCATCGAAATTTAATCGTGGAAATTTACTTTTAAAATTATTTTTATAGATATTTAAAATTATTGCATGCAATGAGATGTAGCATATTTCAAATCATTGAACACGAACAAGTTTAATTATTTAGAAGAAGTTCATTGATTAATAAGATAGAAATAAAAACTAGTTGAGCAAAGAAACATTTCCAATTAATGAACATCCCGAAAGACCAATTTGAACGGTTCAATTTATTTAATTGCCATCTTCAAACATTTTACATCACGCATACTCGTTAGCGTTACATGAAAATGCCATGAAATACAATTGCAGTGAAGAACCCCTCCTGCATAACTCGTTGATGCATTTTATACATTTCTTAATACGTCATTTTACTTAATCTTTTGATGTGTAAATCTTTTTATATTTTCTGTAATATATGCTGTAGTTTATATATAATGTTATTTATAAACTTGATTATTTATATATTAAGTTGGTTGAGTTGTTTGAAGTCATTGTTAGAAGTAGTGTGCAGGAAGCAGTGAGCAGTGAGATGAGAATGTATTAAATTATTGGAGGAGTGTGTCATAAAACTCAATTGCCAGTCAAACGAAACAACGTACAATAGTAAAAATTTGTTGCATTGCCAGCTGAAAGTTAATTTATATTCTCAGTAAGTTTTAATTTGAAACGTGGAAGATTGGGAGATAGCTTTCGTTTTGGCGAGTTAGCTCAGACGGTTGCAGTGCTGTCTTGCGCTCTTCCTTCTTGGGTAATGAACTTGTTCGGATGCCGTCTGCGGAAAACTCAAAAACTACCAAACGTCATGTGCGTAGGATAAGATGTTTGAAGTGTGAAGTGGGAATCTTTATTCACCTTGCAACGTTAATAATTAATTTCTTTATTTCAAACGACACACACGTAAGCACACGCACACACACGCACAAACAAACACTCACGCCCATATACAAAGATATATAAGGACTAAAGGGCTTTTAAAGGAAGAAGTAGAGCTAAAAAATAGAAAATACAAAATAAAACATTTAATAAAATATAAGACTGATAAAAATATAATTTAAAACTGAGTGAACCTCGTCATAGAAGAAATTCTCTTTTTTGTTGCTCTATTATTAACTGATGCATTTATACGCTTCCATATTAACGAAAATTGGTTTTATTAAATGGTTGATTAAAAAATATGTGTTAAAAGTTTCACTAATTTTGTGACGCGGGTAGGAAAGTGAAGGAAGAAGCGTGACACTTTTACATAGTGGCATTTTAAGTGTTATTACAACTAGAGAAAAAAATAAAAATACTGTATTATCTAAACGTGGTTAATGAAATTAAACTTTTCTGATTAACCACCATTTTTATCAAGAATTATGCTTGATGATGACCGTTTTAAGCGTTGGCGGTAGGAAGCGAAGCCATTTGGTGTAATTTTATGTGTCCAATTGACGCAACATTTTTGTGAATTTTAACTAGAGGCCACAAAATTTCATGGACTTCAAAAATTTGACAAGATCTTCAAAAATTTGACAAAAAATTTTTTTTAAAAATTCAAAAGTGAGGCATTTGGTTAATGCCCTTTTTTAAGTTCAGGTCATGCATCCGTTATGTTATGTATACAACGAAGTTGGAGCAGATGGTGATGGGGTCTAGTTTGTTAAACGGGGTTCCTCGATGTTCTCCGCTTATAATCCTCAATAGATATATTTCTTAAATTTGCTCAAGAATTTGAGTCCACTAATTAACTTTTATGGTTTCACGCAGAATTTATATTAAAATCTTCGAACCCAGAATCTTTATGGTTTCACACAGATAATTATATAATTTAATTTTAATTTGGTTATTTAATTGGCTTACGAAAAACAAAAAAATACGAAATACATACTGCTACTATTACTACTACTACTACTACTACTACTACTACTACTACTACTACTACTACTACTACTACTACTACTACTACTACTACTACTACTACTAGTTGTAGTAGTATTATCACTACTACAACCGCCGCTACCACAACAACAACAACAACAACAACAACAACCATAACAACAACAACACCAATAACAACAACAACAACAACAGCAATAACAACAACAACAACAACAGCAGCAACAACAACAACAAACAACAACAACAACTACTTTTACTACTACTGCTGCTAGTAATATAAAACGAACAGAAAAATAAAATATATAAATAAAATACTGTGGTAGGCGTTAAATATAGTTATGATATTAATAGATAGGTATAAATTAAGAATGTTGTTACAGCGTTTGATCCATGAAGTTGAGAATTAATCCACTATCAACTTGATTTATTCTACGGCTTCATAACCAGAGGACTTGTGAGATAATTAAGTTTGCCATGAAATTATGTATGGTGGGCAAAATAACACATTCACACACACACACACACACACACACAAACACACACACAAACACACACACAGACACAACCACACAGACAGACACACACATACGACAACAACAACAACAACACACGTTTAGACGACATTTTCCCCGAGATCGGGGGTTGCCGTTTGGCTACCTATGATGAAACCGAAATACCCCTCGACGCCATTCTGAGGGCCATTGTCACTTCTGTCATCATAAGTAATTTATTTGGCTAATTTTTACGCAGGACGCCCTTCCTTACGCAACCACAGTTATAAGCGGTGGGCCTAGTCTTTGATGATCCAACATCACTCACAAGGCAGTGAGGGTCAGTTTAATGTCATAACCAGGACAGAGACAGACACACACATACAAACCACAAATACATATACACTCACATACATACACACACTGTATGATTTATGAATTATGTATTATATATCACAATGAATATTACAAATAATACACTATCTGCAAACGCAATTTGTTTGCATACATTCCGACTTGGTATTTATTGCAACAACTGGCTCTAATTAAGTATTTTTTTACAAAAAACGTCATATTATTTTTATATATCTCCTTTTTACCGATAATTTTTCTAATTTTCGCAAATGTCCATGAATTATTTCCTAAATTCAACGAGATATTTATTTCATGAATTCGTAACGAATGTAAATAAACTTTTTTCATTTAAGCCACAAAAATTTTAATTTCATCTGAACCAATTTTATGTTCAAAATTTTTATTTCAAAACTTGTTTAACGTTCAGTTTTTGTTACTAAAATAAATCATTTTTAAACAGTGAAGCTACATGTTCTAACTTTAAAAATTTATTAACAAACACTTTTTCATTTTTCAGTTTAAACTCAAACCAATTTATCAAACTTCCTCCGAGTTGCCAAAACTCTCAGTGCTTGATTTATCAAAGTTGGAAGAAAGTTGTAAGTAAGAAGGCAGGCAGGCCTCGTGATGCTCATTTATCATACTTCTACCTATCATCTTTGCGGTGACGCACGGCAGAAAAATATTTTTCGGTTATTTGACAAGTGCGAGCTAAACGAACTAAATTCAAAAATTTTAATTAAACAACAAAACTAGGCAGGTTATTGCTAACGTTAAATTCTAGAAAATGCCTCATAGTGATGGGTTAATAGATAGATTGAAACGGCATCAAATGTAGTTCACCGAACATTTTCAAACTTCAAGACCAGTTATTATCTATTTTAACACATCTTCTTTTAAAAAGTTAAAAAGCTATTTATCTTGCATTTTTGTTATGTCCATTTTCCTGTCCGTCTATGAATATATTTCTTTCTCTCTCTCCTTTTTCCAAGAATATGCGCTGTGCATTTATCTGTCATCTTCGCTCTTTTTCATTTCGTTGAAGTCACAAAGCACCAGCTGAAAAACGTTACAGCTTTCCTGTCTACATGCATGCACATCCTAATGATTCCGTGAATTAATGAATAAATAAACAAACAATTATGGGATCAAATAAAAATAAATTAATAAATATTGTATATAAATGTGCATATATAAATGTATATATATAAATAAATAAATAAATATATATATATATATATAAATAACGCAGCCCTTTTAACTTGGTGACAAATTGTGTGCTAATGATCTTAGATAAAGGATAAGCCGCATGTGTTCCATGTATGACTGCCTTAAAAGGCACTGTGTACATTGTATAGTGCAGTGGTTCTCAACCTGTGGTCCGCGGCCACCTGCTTGGTGGTCCGCAAGCAGAGTCTAAAATTGCGCTTTTTAAATTAAAAACATACAAAATCTACAAAAACAAAAAACAAATATATATTTTTGTCTTTTTTTTAATTTCATTCAATTTCGATCGCTAGAATAGATGGCCGCAGGAAACTAATAATGACAAAATTTTCTTACTATTAATATGGTTAATTTTGTTTGTTTTAATCGCTAAATAGCACTAAAATTGTTGCAACATATGAAATTCGTTTTAAATTATGTTTACTTTTAATCACATCACCGGAAACCTCACGTCTGCTTGTTGACATTTTAGCATTTCAAGTATTTCAAGTTTAAATTTTAAAGACCTTATAAAAATTATAGTACATGTACAAATAATTAAATTTAAAAAAATAAATGGATAAATTTCTAACCAAAAAAACAAACGAACAAAATCAAAACGATGATAGTTCCTCTGACTCGAGTGGCTGTGAAACAACTGAAGTTCTGAAAAAAAAGACGAACAACCGTACGACGATATGATGAAAAATACTTGCGTTTTGGATTTATATGTGTCACAGTAAATGATCAACCTAAACCACAGTGTGTAATATGCTCACAAACTCTTTCAAATGAAGCAATGAAACCTGCAAAACTACAAAGACATCTTAAAACTAATCACCCTGATTGCTCAGAAAAACCACTTGAATATTTTATGCGTAAGAAACAGTCACTTGCTAGTCAGAAGGAATGCATCTCAAAAGCAACAAAAGTCAACGAGAGAGCTTTAAGAGCATCATTCTTAGTGGCTATTCAAATTGCAAAAGCGAGAAAACCACACACAATTGCTGAGACTCTAATAATGCCTGCTGCTATAGATATGTGTCGAGAAATATTTGGCGAAGCCATAGCAAGTAAACTAAAAACAATTCCAGTTTCAAATGACACAATTCAACGACGTATTACATTGGCAGCAGGTGATGTTAAAGAACAATTAATTTCCAGACTACAAGATTGTAAAAAATTTGCAATTCAATTGGATGAATCGACAGATGTGTCTGGCCAGGCACAATTAATGGCTTATGTGAGATATATTTGGGTGAATGAAGTTGAAGAAGATTTGTTGTTTTGTAAAACTTGCCCGGGTCATACAACAAGCGCAGAACTTTTTGAAATCCTTGATAATTTCATGACATTCAATGGCATCGAATGGCAATGGTGTGTTGGAGTGTGCACTGATGGTGCAGCAGCAATGACAGGAAGACAAACTGGCTTGTGGGAACGTGTACGTGAAAATGTGCCAACTGCCAAATTTACTCACTGTATGATTCATAGGGAAAGTCTTGCATGTAAAAAAATGAGTGCCGAGTTAAAGTCTATTTTTAACCAGGCTATAAAAATTGTTAATTTCATCAAGACACGTCCACTGAATTCTCGCCTCTTTGCTGCCTTGTGTTTAGATATGGAGCTGGAACATGAACAGTTACTGATGTATACTGAAGTTCGCTGGTTATCGAGGGGGAAAGTTTTTAACAGACTCTATGAATTGCGTGATGCTTTGAAAGAGTTTCTTGAAGAAAAAAATCCCCAACTTGCAGCTTATTTGAATGACAATTCATGGGTTGCTACTCTGGCTTATTTGGCTGATATTTTTGAACAGTTAAATAAACTGAATTCATCTATGCAAGGGAAACAGACAAACTTAATCACGCTCAGTGATAAAGT